GACACCCCAAACTCTAAACCCTAAACCGAACCCTAAGACCTATAAGCCATAAGCCCCAAAAGCCCGAAAGCCTAGGGCCCTTCGCACCATGAGAGGATCCATCGCCAGCTCCATCGCTGCTGGCGGCGTCTCCGTGAAGGCGTCCTCCGTGCCGCGGCCTTTGCTGTCTGCCATGCGATCCCGGCGATTTAGGGTTCAGGGTGTAGGGTTGAGGGTTCAGGGTTTGGGCTTTAGGCTTATGGGAGTTTCGGTAAAAAGGGGGTACCTTATTTTGGGGTCCTTATAATAAGGATCCTACTATTTGGGGTACTCCCATACGATCCCGGCGATCTGCGTTCCTCTTCGCGGCCACTTTTTTGTCATTTCGTTTTTGTCCTTTTTGTGTTTCAAAGTTTGGAGTCTTCGTGAGGTCTTAGACCCCAGAAGCCCCGAACCCTCGAAGCCTCCTGTTGGCTCGGAGCCCAGCATCTCATCTCAGTCCCAGGGAACGGAAAGGCCAAAGCTGACTCACTTCCTGTAGACTCGCTGTTGAAGAAAACTTGCAACCAGCACTATTCTAACCGTTAAAGTTAAGGCCTCTACATGCTTCGATTCTGCAAACTGAGGGGACGCCGACCCTCGACTGCCGGAAGTGGCCCTCTCAGGTTTTTGGAACCAACGCAGTAGAGGTTTGTGCTGGATCTAGTCAGAGCAGCGGGGGGTAGGGGTGGGACATTCCCGCATCATGATGGTGATTGCTACGAGATGATCTTCCAAATCAGTCTTGTGGTAGAGGTGGATCATTCTGCTACGGATCTGCAAAAATAGACCCCCAAGCTCTTCTTTTGATTATTAAGGCCATGCCTACCATCTGTAGAGCCGACAAAAGACGCCTCCAAACTCAAGCCTCGAGTCCAAACTGCTTAGAACAGGTCGCCCTAACAGCAAAGCATGTCCATAGTAAGGTTAAGAGTTTCAGGTTCAAAGCGTACAAGTAGGGAGGTCGGCGGAACCGCAGTGTTCAAGAGAGGGCTAGACTGCTGCTCAGATGCGCCCTCGTTTCGCAGAGGAAGCTTCGCGAAAGCGAGGTGCCTCGCATGGGAGGGGTAAGCAGAGCGGTTCGAGACCAAATGATGCAAGCAGCACCTGAATCCGGAAACCTTACTCCATAGACATCCACGGACACCGAGCCCCGAAACCCCAAGGCCGAAACATTGATCCTTGTACCCAAGATCGAAGGGGGGTATTCCAGGCACCAGTAGCCAAGGTTGACGCATCGGGGCTGACAAGTGGGAAAAGTTAGCGACGGTTCGGGCTTCAGGGTTTCGGATGGAAGTTTAAGTCCTGGCTCTGCAGCTTGGAGTGTCGGGGTCGCCCCTTCATCCGGCATAGGGCCTTCCGTCCTAGCCGCCAGCAATCTAACATGAGCCTTCTGACGATTCGCCCGCATGTTGTCAGGGATGAGGTGTTTGTGAACGGCTTAGCCTCCAATGCGTCGTGGTCCCGGACAGTTCATGACTGCTGCGTTCCACTCGGTCACTCGTCAGGAGGCATATTGGCATATTGAGTTTCTTGGAATCGCTAGACTAGTTGTGAGCTCCGTCCATGTCATCTCCGCAGCTAATCCTTATGTGGTCCACCGAAGGCAGCACCAAACCACGACTTCCAAGTCAGACTTGCATGAAGCTCCGAAGAACTTCCGATTTCGCAGGGAATCGCGACCACGGCCGACCACCAAAATGCAGCTGAGAGTGCAGGCCCCCTCTGGCCGGAGAGGCTTACTTACCTTTGCTACTTAGGGAATGGAAGAATGGTAGTAATAGTAGTTCTAATTGTACCCCATTCCTCCATTCCCTACTAACCCAAGGTAAGTTTTGGGCTTGGAGGGGCTAGTTGTAGGGCTTCACTACGAGCTTGGAGGGCTTGCTGCGGAGCGATCTGCAATCCGGGAGAAGCGAAGCGGGTAGGGCATCTCCGAAGTTTGTTGCACTGCACTGGAGGCTCCTGAAGCACCTCTCATGTCCCTGCTTAGATGTAAGTAGCTTCTGCCGTGTTTCGAGCTGCTTTTTCTTACAGGGGTAGCTGCTCGCATTTGTGCGCTCGTGGCATGTTACGGCGCCTTCTGCGAATTGCTCAGATGCACTCGATACAACGGCCAAAACACCTTCGAAAGCAGAAGCAGCCTTGATGAAACCCCGAAACCTTAAGCCGTAAAGCCACAAAGCCTGAGCCCCAAATGCTACTTGTCGAAGCTTTGTTATTGTCCAGACAAATCGGCCCTTCAGCGCTCCGCGGATGAGGTTCCGACTGCACCGATCGCAATTTTGCTTGGGGGCTACTCACTTGGAGGCTCAGGATTGAAGGTTCAGCATTTCGGCACTGCGGTTTCTCTGAGCCACGTCCAACAGAAAGCTCTCACGGATTAGGCTTGTCTGGTTCGAAAACTTTTCGGTTCTGTGTGATTGGCATGTCTCTGCACCCCTCCCAAACCCTAACTGCCCTAACTGTCCGAAGCCCTACACTACATATACATAGCTGCAGCCACAAATGCGATAAGCTTTCGAACCGCTCTGCGTGGCGTCTCCAGGTGTGATGTCGGCTCAGATGCCCAGCGCCGGGGGTCACAGAGAACCCGACCACAGAGTTGGGGGTTCTTCGGGGTTTGCTTCTTCGACTTTACAGTCGGTTGGTAGGCACCGGGACTTAGGGTCGCGGGTATGGGATTTTTAATGGGCGTTTCCGGGGCAGGAGCTGTTTGGGGTTTGGGATCAGGTATGCAACTATTCTGAGAGGCGTGTCGATCCTGTTCTTCGCAGAAATCAGGGTTCTGATGCTGTGATCAGTCTTGTGCAAGGTATAGACCACACAGCGGCACATGTGCGCCATCTGTCATTGCTGTCCAGGCGATTTATGAGCTGCTATCACATCGGTTGTATAACCACGATCATGGTGCTAACGATCAGAGCCATGGTCATGGCAATAGGATGGGGACCATCCTAAGTCCTAAGCCCTAAACCCTTAACCCCCCCCAAACAGCATAGGCTGTCCCATTCCTGAGCTCCCAAACCATCTTCAGCCTGTCCACCTCCCATTGTCCTTTTGTTCTTTTTTTTTCCGGAGGCCCGGGCACCGCGCCCGCAGTGAGGCGGACGTCAACTCCGAGGACCCCGGCGACGCCGAGGTGGGCCTTGAGAGCACAAAGCCTCTGAGTTTGACTTTGGGATGCAGGGTTTGGGGCCACTTGGGTTTTGGGGCCGCTTGGGGTTTGGGGCAAAGAGAGCTGTTTCTGTAACTTCGCCTTGTCTGGGCCCCCGCTGAGAAAGACCCAATGAGAGCTTAAGAGGTTCCCGGGGTGCCAGGGAACCCTTCAAAGTGGCTTTGCAAGACGGATTGAGGCATTCAGGCTGTCACAGGCTCATGCTGGAAAAGAGGGGGCTCTGACTGGAAGGTCGGGGACCTGCTGCGGATGCCGATTTTCCGGGATCTGGCATCAGGGGTGTTTGAAGTTTGAGGGCTCAGGCGACGTGGCAAGTGGGTTGCGCAGTGCAAAGTGTTCTGACTGGAGTAACCCGAAGCCCCAAGCCTCAAGGCTTGAAAGAAAAACAGCATCGCCAGGCAGAAAGTGGGCCGTCCCGGCCTGCGAACTCAGGGAAGTTTGATTGTTACAGGTCCAGGGTGGGTGCTCAACCCTGAAACCCTCAACCCCAAGTCCTGGGCGGAGGGGGTTCTTTCTGAGTAGCACTTCTCATCGTTTCTATGGCGTTTTGAGTTTCTGACTACTGCAGGCTTTGGCCGCTTAAGCTGGGGCTTTGGGCTTCGGCTTAAGCTGGGGTCTTTGTGGGTCGGGAAGCCTCGGGTTTCGGGCTTTGCGCTTTTGCGCTTCGGGCTCTGGCCTTGATGCTCCGCCGTGTTTTGGAAGAGTTTCCCCCCGCGTGCCTGTGTTGCTCTGCGCACTTCAGATGGAAGATCCCTTAAAAGGACGGTAGGTGTGTCGGGTTTCGGAGCCTGTTACCTACTGCAACTACTGGAGCAGCAGTGGCCACAGCGGTGGAACTGATGATGGTATTGATGGTTGAGTTTGCCATAGAAGAGTAGCAGGGGTAGCAACTCGGCATAATGCAATAGAGATAAGAGCAATGACGACAGTAACGACTGTGACGCTGGAAAGAGACGAGACGAACTCTTGAGCATGATCGCGAAATAAGACGAGTGCAATAAAGATAACGATGAGTTCGGGAGACCTACATGCCAAGACCGCACAGAAAGCCTCACACTACCCAGTGCTCGTCGCAGCCATTGTGGGTTAAGCCGCTCGGACCACACAAAGCGGAAGGCTAGAACACTCGCAGGGCGGCCAGTTTTGACCTGAAGATCACGCTGACTGATGCTCTGCTCAAGGGCTTCACAATTTTTCCCTCATGGTTGGAGCTGGGGGTCTTCAACCCCGCAGCATAAGTCTGAAACTATGAACCGTCCGACGGTGTTCTGTTGCTTCGAGTCATACTTGGTGTTCATGGCCTCGGCGCAGAAAGTAGGTGTCAGACCGGGTTGTTGCTTCGCAGAAGTTCAGGGACCTCTTCAGCTTGTGAGAAGACAACAGCAGGATTTAGTTTACTGGGATGATGCAGCCAAGCGACGAACATCAGCAGAGACTGAAGAGGTCAGCAACAGCTAAAGGCTACCACACTCGCAACAAAGACGACGACGACGACAACCACGAGCACCACAGAAACAAAGTAACAACAGAGACCGCAACAACACGACTCACAAGCTCACGAATCCAATCAAGGTTAATGACTTTTTTGGGAAGGCGACCAATTGTAGCGACCTTCCAGCCCATCGTGAAGCCCGAAGCCATGTGGTCCTCAACTCTAGATCACGAAAGCTTTGGAAGCCGGAAACCTAAGTTTTGGAGTTACTAGCTTGACCCTTCAAGTCTTCAAGTCCTACTCCCTGAGCCGTCAGCTCCTATCTGGGTCACGTCACGAAGCTACGGCCGCGCAGTGGCAAGGACGACGGCCATGCGCGACATTCAGGAGCTAGTGGAGCAGGACGGACCAAAGCTCTACGCTGTAACGGAATTTTGCTTCGGCGATCCTTTCTGTCGTTGGCGCTCCTCATCCGCTTGCTTCTACTCCCGCCGTTGCTGCTACTGCTACTGCTACTGCTACTGCTACTGCTACTGCTACTGCTACTGCTACTACTACTACTACTACTACTACTACTACTACTACTACTACTACTACTACTACTACTAGTACTAGTACTAGTACTAGTACCAGTACCAGTACTAGTACTAGTACTTAGCCTCATGATCTCGCAGCCCTCCAGACTTCCAAGCTCTTGGGGAAGGAGCCGCCCCTCCACGTAGACGTCTGAGCATTCCGCCTCTTTAGACTCTAAGTCCCAAACTCAATAAAAAACCCTAAGAAACGCAGCTTTCCTCGATGAAAGGAGCTCGAGGAGAGGGACGAGGAGGACCTTCTGGATTTCATCTCTGAAGGTCCGGCCCTCAGAATAATTTAGGGATCCTAATCCTCAGGGTTTAGGCTTAAGGGTTTAGGCAGAGGGTTGCGATCTTGTTTAGGGTTCAGGGAACAAGGTTTGGTTCGGGAGATTTCTCGTTTTTCCAGGCTTACGATCTTGGGAAAGGAGTGGAGAGCAACTGTTTCAAATCAAACCCAGCCACCTTACCGGGAACGGGGTTTCCGTCGTCCTGGGTGGAGGCCCTGCGCGCCATGTAAGCTCCCACCTCTTCGAGTTGCCACTACCCCAAGAAACTGTGCAGAGAACCCTGCAAATCGACGTTGGAGCACCTTGCCTAGCGGTCCATAGTCAGGTTCATACGTGGTGTTGATGTAGCAATCCCTCATCTTCTGAAGCAGTGCATCTTCAACAATGCAGCCACATTTCAGGTGATGGAGAGGACATCGACACCCTCGAAGAGCCTCTGCGGCTGGACGAGAGCTTTCCCAGCGCCTGGGCTTGGGTTTGAAGTTACTCGGGTCGGAATACATGTTCTTGGTGAGGTCCAAAAGTCTCCGGCCGAAGCCCTCAAGCTTAATACGGCCCAGGGTTTAAGGGTTGCTGCACTTTAGAAACCCGAAATCCCACAGGTACACCCCCAAGCCACTGTTCGGATGATAGGCTGTAGCAGCTTCATAGCAGAGCGCCCGAGGCACGCTGATCGTCTCCGGCATCCCGCAAGTGCCAAAGGAGAAGTACGACAAACTTCTAGGCCTCGGCCGCGGCAGACATTTCGCTGGCGTTGCTCGTCGGTTTTGGAGCATGAGTTGTGCTCTCTGGGAACAGTACTGCGACAGCAACTCCGTAGTGTGCTACTGCTGGTACTACGACCACTGGTATGACTGGACATTATCGTTGTTCGTAAACGGAGACAGAAGCCTCGACAGCTGCCTCGCACCTTTTGCAGGTGTGATCTCAAAGCTGTTCAACAAGTACGGCGACAATGAAAAAGAGATGCCCTTCAACGAAGCAGGCCACGAGCGGCTGTGGGTCTCGTAATGCCATGTACCGGTATTCCAGGTTGTAGTACTGCAGTAACAGCGTCAGCGGCAGCAGCTGGAACAGACTCGACCTCAACAAGCCCCAAGCCTCTCAGAGTGAATCCACCTTGAATCTTCAATTCCTTGCCCCAAAAGCCGCCTTCAAATCTGATCAGACAGAAGGCACTATGACAGAGGGCTGCGTCCTCATCACGTATGAGGCGGCCGATGCAGCCACCCAGGCGCAGCAGGCGCGCTGCATTTTTGGGGTGTCACATCCTCGTTGCTGTGCCAGGTTGAGTCTCGCGTTCTAGCCGACTCTCAAGCCAAATGGGTTTACGGTTTAGGGTTTAGGGTTCCTCCATGCTGCGACAGATCGCTTCTTGGGGCTGATCTACTAGCGATGAATCCCGAGGCATTCAGTCTAAATCACCCAAGACCCAAAAAGCCCAAGGAGCCGAAGAGAGCTTGAATGCCCTGAACTGACACCTTGCAACTCAACACAGAACCAAACTTGAGGCCGCGATTCCCGATGTCCTTCTGTGCCTCCTCCTCTTCTGCCTGCTCTCTTCTGTTCTCGAACAACCCAAGACTCGAAAGCCTGACTGCTCCCCAGCTCTCTGGGATGATAAGAGCTACGATGACTGGGACGCTCGTCTGTCGATTTGCATCGGGTTACGGTGAACCGCATGGAAACAAAAGATGTGCGTGGTGATGTATGTTGTTGATGCTAATGATGATGATGATGATGATGTGGCTGTTGCTGCTGCTGGTGATGATGGCGATGAGGATGACTATTTACCATTATTGCGATTGGTATTATATATAGTAGTATTATTGTTATTTTGCCACCACTGTACAGCGAGATAGCACAGGTTCTGCTTGATGTCAAGGTCGGTAAGAAACCACACTTTCGTGGTTGCCATGATGCATGCGTTGAGAGTGCAACCTTAAAGCCAAGCCTCAGCTGAAGACTGCAGCGCGGGAGCTGCTTGTGCAGGCTGCCTTCTCGCGTCCTGCATATCAGCATATCCCCACATCCCCCACCACCCAGCTGATGGGCGGGAAGATTGTTGGTATCGCAATCCCCCATAAAAGGGAAGACTAGCGCGAGGCCCTGGATGGCATGAGCTTAGACAAGAAGCACACCTTCAAGGCACCTCGCACGATCTCAGCGTTTCAAGCCGGGCTTCGTTGCGGCTTCGGGTTCCATGATCCGGTGGAGTCCAGTGTCGAGTTTGGAAGCCCCCTGCCTCACCGCGAAAGAATGCACGGAATCTGGGAGGTTCATGGACAACTTCGACGCTTCAGGGTGTAAGGCTGATTCTGACGGGTTCAGCATGCGCAGGACAGCCGGTAGACATAGGGATTGAGGTTATGGCATGGAGTCACAGCCGCTTGTCAGGGATGAAGCACATTCTCTTGACAGACAACAGATGCCCTCGACACTTAGCCCTCATTGAGCCTCCATACCTGAACGGAAAGGTCGTGAAGTTGGACCAGTTCAACGAGATCACGAACCGAGATGAGGACATGTCGGCCCCAAGTTTTCGAGATGAAAGGCACACACCCCTAGTCTCGAAGCCTTAAACGCGAAAATTTCGTAAGGACCCATAACTCCAAGCTCGTGTCTGGCAAAATCCAACAGAGGGCCCAAAAACCTATTCTAAGTTTTCGAAGGCCCCTATATTACACCTCCCAAAACCCTGATCGTAACCCTCATAGGATCTTGAATTGAGGCCCCAAAATTGTGTTTCTTGCTTTTTCAGGACTTCAGGCCGAGGCGTACTCTCGCCAGCTACTCTCGGAACGACTTCCGAACGTGGCTTACGGACACCAAGTGCCGTGAGCAGCTACCGGGCGGCGGAGTTGAGACTTAGGGCTGTTAGGGATAATATATTTATATATATATATAGAGTATAACATATAAAATGTATATGTATGTATATATATATATATATATCTAGTATTTAGGGGTTTAGGCTTTGAAGGTTGAAGTTGGGGGCTTCGGATTCCCTGCCAGCGTGACCGCTGCTCCTGAAGGTTTGTGGTTTAGTATAAGTAGGGTTGGGGGTTTTGGGTGTAGAAGATTTGGTCTGAGCGTGAACTGTGCATCGGCTGTTTTCCCGAGGTGCATAGAACTATTGGAGACCTAACTGACGGTGCCCCGACAAAAAGGCCCCGATGATAGACTGCTATTATAAACAGTCTTCCTGCTTCCTTTTCGAAGAGCTCGCCCGAACACGCTGGATTGAAAATCCCGCTGTTCGAAGGAAGCAAAGGCCAAACCAGCTTGCGCAATGTGCATCCCAGGTTCCTCCTGCGATACCAGACAGAAACAGAGATCTACTGGCACGACACGACCATAGGCAGGGCCTTAGTGGCTGATTCTGTGGCTAATGTACAGGAGGTACGGCCAATGGCAAGATCTTCATGTCGATCATCGGAGTTAGGGTTCCTGACATGCGGCAGGTTGGCAGACAGAGCCCGACAATGCTCCACTTTAAGATGCCTTCGGCCCTCAGCCGACACCAGAATATTATCATGCTCTGAATCCCAGACCCTGATTGTCGGGCCTGCCTACCCAGATCTTAAGCCCCAAACCCCAACTCCTTGTCTTTCAGGCGAGCCGACTCTCAGCTATGGTGGTGAGCGAGAAAAGCGTACAGGAAAGATTTGGTGCGACTGGCAGGCAGGCGGAACGCATTGAAAGGGCTGCCGCTGTCGAGGAAAGGTGTGACCTTCAGGGTTCAGAGTGCTGGGGTGCAGGGCGTTAGAGGTGGGCCTTTGCCCAAGCCCTTAATCTGACATTTCACCGTAAGTCGGAGTTGGCCATCAAACGGAACCAGTGAGGCCTCTAGTATAAAGCAATAATATGTAGGATTACTGTAGGGGGTTGTAATGGGATGCAGAGCAGACTTCCTATGTCAAAAGATTTTACGGGATCCTGAGCGCAAAGCCTCAGCGCCAAGAGCATCCAGGGCCGGCAGGGAAGCCACGAAGCTCCGTCGACAAGACTGCTGAACTCCTGAAATTCAACGCCTATGAAACCCAAGATTCCGGTATGCTAAATCCTAAATCTTCTACCTGATCCCAAACCCTGAAGCCTAGCTTAGCGCCGAAGGCCGAACTGAAACTGTTCGGCCCCCTGTGCTCATAGGTGCAGTGGTCCCCGCTGGGCCACTTCCTGACGACCTTTCACAAGCAGGCCGCACTTTATTTCTGAATTCGCACCCCAAACCCTGAGCCCTGAATAGTTTTCGGTTTCTCGCATCAGGGCTTCGGAATGAGACTTGGGCGGAATTTCGATAATCCGGAGGGCCTTCTGGTGCCTGAGTTGTGCATAGCGTGCTGCTTCATGATTTCAGTCGTGATGCCGTTATGCTCTGTTGGCCTTAACAGACAGCAAAGCCGCAATCTGTGATGTTCTGCCAAGACTTCCTCAACCCCAAGCACCAGAACCTAAATCCTAGACCCCCAAAATCCACCGGCACAGGGTGTAGCCCTTTGGGGCGGCCCGGAGTTTACAAAGAAGATCCGCTTCGCCCACGACGGCGTGAAGCATCCGGGCGCAGTTTTGGGTTAAAGGATGAAGGGATTTAGGGTTCAGGGTTTGGGTTTACCGGATTAAGCTTCAGGGGTTTGCGGGCTTCGGGTTTGGAGTTTGGGGTTTGTTTGTAGGGTGTGGTGACAGGGTTCGTCTTGAGAGGCCTTGCGCAAGTCGATGAATGAGGCGTGACTGAAACAAAGGGTGGCATGGGCAGAAACCACCCTGCGAGCCAGATCGCACCCCAATATGATACCACACCATGGCCCCTTCTATCTTCGTCTCTGGGCCGAGAAGTCTAAATCCCAAGCCCGAAGCCTCAAATCCCCAAACACCCTCGGCTCAAGGTACTTGGAGTTCTCGCCGACAGAGGAGCCCTGGAGCGTTGATAATTCAAGGAACTAGGATGGCCGAGTTCTGAACGTCGTTCTAGGTTCTCTTACGGATCAATTTTCGGGTTTAGCATGTTAGTGTAGGGTTTCACTTATTTCGCGGACCAGGAAGTTTAGGGTTTAGGGCTGGAGAGGTCTCTCCGGCTTCAAGGGTGTGGGGCTTCAGAGCTCAGTATGTGCGATGTGCATTGTCCGGGGCATGATTGATGGATCTTGTTGTTTTGAGTCTTTGAGGGCGTTGCAGGATGACAAGTGTCTGCGGGTTTTCTTCGCGCTGTTTCCACAGATGATGGTCATGTTGATGCCGGTGATGGCTAGATCGGTTAAACCATCGTTGTTTCAAGGGCTGCTCATGTTCAACGTTATTTTCATACCTTTCCCACTCTTCTTCTTCTTTTTCTTCGTCTTCTTCCCTCTATTTTTCCTGGGGCGCACTACTTGCCGGTTTGGCTTTGGGTCGATGATTCGGAGTTTTAGGAGTACGCCCTCACGTGGAACGGCACGTCGGCGCTGGAGAACGACACGCAGGCGCCGAAGGGATTTATGGATGTCGTTGTTTGGGCGAAGTGGATGGTTTCAGAGCGTGGCCAGCAAGCTTGGGACAGGAAGGCTTCGAAAGGGGCTGTGAAAGGCCGAAGCTTGCTGCAGGCGGTGCGCATCCATCGAGTCCTGACCGGTGAGAGCGTCTTCAATTGCCGTGCTCGGGCTGCAACTTAAGGAGGCGTGAGGGCAAGCGCAGGGCTCCGCTTTGCTGTGTTGTGAGAATTCGTGCGCAGAACTTTCCGATACTTTTGGGCACCTTCCTGATTGCTTTGGAGCTTGAGTTGAGGGCATTGGGTTCCGGATTCACGCTTCGAGTCTCCAGCTTGCCCGAAACCCCAAACTCCAGAGGCCTGAGCCCGACAGCTTCATTGGGACCCGAGGCACGCCAGCGGTCGCCCCCTTGGGCGGAGACTTCCCTCACTTCCTTTGGAGTCGCCGGGCCTGGATTTACTGGAATGTCTCGCCTCGAAGGCTTAGAGTACAGTGGCTTTAGCTTTCTGAGGCTTCGGGTTCATGGGTTTTGACATGCTCTACAGACTCTGCGCTTGAACCGAAGTGTTTGGAGCTTTAGGACTTTCGGGGTTTCGGCAGTAAGACTTCGGGTGGTTTCTCTGCATGTCAGCCCCGACTACTTGCGTTCTCGATCACGTTTCTTCACATAGCACTTTCCCTATTCCTCTGTCCTGAAACCTCGAGACCGCCTCAACCCTACCCCCCCCCCCCCCCCCGAAAAAAAAGAGCCAAGGCCATGACGGCAAGTACTTCGCCGAGTGCAATGAGGCATCGATCTCCGTTCGCGAGACCGACACCTTCCAGCTCATCAAGGCTCCGCCCGCCGCTCAAGGTTACATGGTGATTAGAGGCCAGAGGGGTACTTGTAGGTGATGAGGACTCGATTTACAAGTGCGAGTAAAAAGCTAGGGCTGGAAGTAACAGGTCCGATATTTCAGGCTCCTAGTTTGAAGTCTCCTTCGAAGGGGCTGAAGTGGTGAGCCAAAGGCTTGGTGTCTTTCAACGTCCCTCGTGCAAGGAAAAGGCCATGGAGAAGATTTGCACCTAAACACCCAAGCCATGAAGCATTGGCTCTTTAGACCGAAACTCTGGGCGCTGTGCTCGCGCACTTTCAGTTTGAAGGCTCAGCCTCTGAGGCTGAGCTTTGGCCGAGGGCGTATTGCGACAACTCTACGAGCAATGCTACAGTACCAATATAAACCACCCGAGTACCCTGCCGAGAAGTTTGTTCTGGGTAGGCCGTGTATTGACATCCCAACGGGGGCATAACATGCCAGAGTCTGGTTCTCTTATGTAGGTTTGTGTGGAGGGCTTGGAACCGTGCCTGAATATCAAGCAAGCTACAATCTGATTATCATTACCCTGGCAACTAATGGCAGCATCATGTCTTGCACGTCCAGTAGTGTGTTAGCCACAATAACATGCAATAACATAGCAAGTCCCGCTGTTGATGTTGTGATCAGAATTACTGTCATCATCTCCTTGAACTTTGAAGATTCCAACAACGAGTGCCGCTCCGGCCGAAGGATGAGGACGGGAAGAAGCGAACGCTGAAGTTCCCGGAACTTAGCACCTTCCAGTGGTCCCCGAAGGACCTGTGTGCCTCTTTGTGAGCCATGATTTCTTTGGTGACATTGTCGTCTTCGTCGTGGTGGTCGGTGTTCTTGTTGTTGATACTTAGTACCATAACTCTGTGTCATGGGCAGGGGAGGGATTCGAGAAATGTTCAACCCTCGCAACATTCGCAATTCTCGTGTCGTCATAGCGGTAATGCTGCTGCCACTACCACTAGTACCGCGATTCCCACTGCTACTGCAGCGGCTGCCACCAGCACGCCTCCACCACTGCGCCTGCTTCGTGTAACAGCACTGGCAACACAAATACTCCGGACGCTAGAGAATGGCCATAGCAAGAAGAGCAGGCGGCATCTCTTGCCCAGAAGCCCTTCATACTTGTCAGTTGAAGGTGTTGGTTGCTCAGTGCAGATGTATCGTCGTGAGAGAAGTTCCACCATTTGCCGCCTAGACTCCTGCCGCCATTTTCCATTCTTACGGCCACTTACCCCGGAGCATATTTCCACTTTGTGCTCGCTTAAGCTTATTCATACGTTTCCCCGTAGAAGAGACTTTAAGGTCCCCAGCTTCTGGCCTCGAACCCCAAACCGTAAAGAGGCTGTGTCCAGAATGGTTTTGGCAGGACAACCTGCTTAGCGTATGGTGCCTGGAGAAGGAGAACAATCCTGCCAGATTGGCATCTTGGCAGCATGAATTCCGCGAGCCAAGGTGTTGCGTGTGAAGAAGCGAATGGCACCGCCCTCAAAACCTCCAAACTGCAATTCGCTAAAAGCACAGTGAGGAACAGTGCCTTTTCAGCTTACCGTTCTGGCTGCTGGCAGGAACGTTTCTGTTGTATGTGTTCCAAAAAACATACACGAGAAAGTAGCACACATGACTACAGCAGTGTCGCAGGCAACTAGTTTGAAGAGCATGCCTGGCCCAAGGTGCCCAAAAGCCGTGTAAGGAGCGCTCCAACCAACGTATGTTGCCGACGTCCCAGATCCCTTGACCTGCATCCCAGCCATACCCGAGCCTGAACTTGAACCCTATGCCTTCAGCCGTAAATCCCCAACCTTATCCTTAAAACCCCTAGGCGGCAACCTTACATTTCAATGCCGTCAGGGTTTAAGGCAGGTACCTTAAAGGGAGTTGCAAGTTTATAACGGACCGCACTGTCTCGTTCGTGCGATAAAGCTCCCAAGTCAAGCCTGAAAGGCCTAAGCCTAACCCTGAAGTGCCACATAAACCTTTAAACGCGAAGCCCTAAACCGTCAACATCTTACCTCCCCCAAAGCCCTAAACTTGTAAGACAAGCCGTAAACCACTCTAAACCCTAAAGCCCCTAAACCTAGATAAGCCCCCAAGGGCCCCCAAGCACCCTAAAGCCCCTTAAAAGCCCGAAGTCCAAGAGCCCAAGGTCCTCGTTGAGATCCCCTCGCGTCGCGAGCTGGCGTCACGGTCCCGAACGCAGGCGACGCGGGGAGGTTTTGGCGCGCGTGAGCTTTCGGGTTTAGGGGTTGCGGGTGTAAAGTTCAGGGTGTTGTAGTGTAGAAGTATGAGATTGCTGGGGGTTGAATTTCGGACGGTTGCGAGGATTTCTGAGATTCGACGGTTGCACGCCTGTCGCTTGGGAGTCGGGTTCTTTTGATCAGGTGTTCAGGGGAGGTGAGTCTTACCATATCTTACCTGTGTCTTGCTACTAGTCTAGCTTTAGTATGAACAGGATGGCCAATACCATTCAATGACAATGAGAAAGCGGCCTGACGGGTGTTTGCGTCCAGAGCTGTGTGTCTTCCATTGTCTCATCAAAGGCCCGAGTAGGTCCTCCTTAACCCGAGGATCGACAGTCAAAATCCAAAGCCCAAAGTTAGTTGGTGCCTGTCCTAGGCACTGAGCGTGAAAGTCTACACTCTACACCCACTTGAAATCCCGAACGACCATCGCCTGAAAGCTTGCAACCCTGCAGCCCTGCAGCCGTAAAGCTCTTGCACTCTAATAGAAAGATCGGAATAAGTGGTAAGAGTATACCCTTGCATTCTACTCTCCTTATGCTTATAGTTTTATCTGCCGTCAGCTCCCTCTGCTAAGTAGTAAGGCCCCTATCTTAGACCCGTACAGCTCGAAAGTCCTTGTTTACGCTTGCAAGCGGGAGGTGGAGGCCTCAATGCACTGGCAGTCAGAGGCGCGGGCAGACAGGTCTCTAACAGATGCAGGGTTTAGAGTTTAGGATTCACGAGATGCTTCCGGAATGGGTTGATGAAGATTTTGCATACTGTTATACAGACTGCTGATCCGAACAGACGTCAGTCTTCTCATTACTTGTATTGACTTCTCGGTTATCTGTGCTTACGGTAGGAGTCCCTCGTTGGGAAACACTAGGTATTGATATTGAGGTTTACGATGGGCACTCTTGCGAGGCAGCTTTGGGGTTGATCCAAGCTTTTGGGTTGGTTTTCTCGAGCTTGGGGGGATTGTAGGACTGTAAGCTGCGAGCACAGTGTCGAAAGGTCGGCGCACAGTCCAGTACCATGACCGTTAGCATCACGCACAAGCTACCACCACCAACTACGGCTACCCCCACCAATGCCGCTACTTTAATACTACTAACACCACTACGACGACGCCTGGTGCTACCACTGCTACGACTGTGACTACGACTCTACCTGCTGCCTGCTGCCACTGTTACTAGTGCCACTAGCGCTACTACTTCTACTATTGCTGCAAGGATTGCATCCAAGTACTACTGCTGCTCCTGCTGCTCCTGCCGCCACTGTTGCTGCTACTGCATCTGCTTCTGCCTTTGCCACCGCCTGCTACTGCCACGGCGGCTGGTCCTTCACAGAGCTCTCATTGCCTCGACAGCCGCTGTCACGACGAGTGCTCCCCAGTATCAGCGCAACGCAGGTGGAAGAGCATTGGAAGGCTAGCGTAGTTGTAGGCGTGCCAACTCCCAATTCTTCAATGGCTTGGGCCCCAAGCGCTTTCTTCTGCATTCTGAAGCCTTTGGGCTTCAGGGTTGAGGATCATTGTGTCGGGTTCAGAGTCTAACCGTCAGGGCGACTACCTCTGCCTCATCAACACCAAGCTTAGCAAGCCTCTCCGACCAAAATGGTGTAGGTTTAACTCGGGTCCGAGCTGGGAAGTGCACACACAAACCTCATGAGCCACGAGTCCGATAAATGCTCTACCTCGTACATGTCTTGTTATGGGACCCGGAAATGAGGTTTGATTGAGTGCATTGAACAGGTTTGATTGCTTATGTATTTATCATGTACCAACTATCGCTGATGCCGTCGTTGCTGTTGCCAGCATGATCGTCCTTGCTATTGCGGCCGTCGTTGCAGTTGTTTGCCATTGAATTGCTATTGCTTATTGCTTAGCCATGTCTGTTGCTACATTAGCTATGGCAGTGTCGCCTTGTTCTCACTGTGCTGCTTTATCGCCGCATGCCCGGAGCTGTTTGCAAGGTGTATGTTGCCTTATTGTCTCTACTTGCAGAGCAACGGCTGTTGCACTCGAATGCACGTTTTTTTTCTGCAGTCTGTTTCTTGCCATTGACATCATGTCATGTTTTGCTGGGTTTTTGAGATTGCAAACGTGATAGCTGACATGTCAGCGAAGGAATCCTCAACCCTGAATCCAGAAGCTCACGCTCTAAGTCCTGAACTGTGGCATATAGACGCATACTATACATTCAAGAGGGGCCTAAATAATTACCAATGCTATTTTTGGGGTTCCTGATTAAAATTCAAGTAAAACTGGGCCCAAAACCTATTCTAATTATTAAGGCCCTTATATTCGCCCTCCGCTGTTCCCCGAGCTCGGGCCGAGAAGAGCTCCAAAGCCTCGTTCTCTCTGTCTGCTCTGCTTCCCTTTTTCAGAGCCCAGGACAAAGAAGAAGGGCGCGACGAACCTCGAGATTTTCCGCTCCTGGGCCTTGTTCTGTTCTTCACAGTGCCTCTCTCATCTCGTAGGGTGGTTGAGGTTTCGGTCGTGACGATGATGATGGTGGTGCTGATGGCACATACTCCAAGTTTCTGTGGCTGTTAGTATGGAAGATATGGTAAATCATACTTCTTCCGCTGTTCTGCTGCCGTTGCTGTTTTGTTGTTGTTGTTGTCGTTGCTGCCTAGTATCTCCTACAAGAGTTTGGAATCTAGAGTTTCGGTTTAAGCTTTAGGGTTCAGGATGTGAGAGGAAGCCCAAAAAGGAATACCCAAAGCCAAGACATCACCCTTAACATCGAACCATCAAAACCCCAATCCCCGCACTTTTCAATCCGGAGACCAAGCCTTCAAATCCTGAGCGGCAAACCCTAGCTCCCCAGACCCTGACCCTATAATCACTATAATCCTGACCCTGTGAATCCCCAAGCGTCTGACTCCTTTCTGGAGACTTTCTTGCAACCCTACGTAGCGGCCGTCTCGATACGAAGCGCTTTGCGGCATCTGAGTGGTAATAGCTCCCTTGAAGGTAAAGCGAAACCAGTGAAGGTGCGGCAGAAACAGTCTATTGTTCCTGTTTTTGTCAGTCCTTGTGCGAAGCTCAATCCAAACCCCCCCCCCCACAACCCAAAACCCTAAACCCTAAACCCGTCCCGACAACCTGGAGCCTTGACGTCGAGACCCTACATCCCCACATCCTGAAAGCTCCATCCGGGATTCATCAAGATCTTTTTCAAAGTGGGAGTTTCCTGAAAAATAGGGGACCCTTATATAGTTCCCTAAATAGTAGGATGAAGGTACCCCTAATTTTCGGAAACTCCCAAATCCGTCAAGTCAGAGACGCTTAAAGCCTGGAAGCCCAAAGCCCCAGGCATCCGGGAGAAGAACATCCCTGTGGACATCGTCGAGGTCAAGGACTCCGTCCGAGGCCGGGGCTGCATATCCAGGGTTTCCAAAGTTTAGAGCGCTTCAGGTGCGTTTTTTGAGCATTGGAAGCTGAAGGTTTAGTGCTTCAGGTGCTTCTTGAGGTTGAGGGCGCAAAGTTTCAGGTTTAGTGGTTCAGGTGTCTTTAAGTCTTTAGGAAGTTTGGGGGGCTCGGACATATCCGATATCCTGTTCGTGGGGCAGTGATATTGTCAGAATACTGTAGCCTTCAGCCCTCAGCTTTGCATCATCTGCCGCTGGCTGTAGTTAACTGGCCATTGCAAAATATCCAAGATATCATGGCCCTTGCTGTTACATTTTCAGTTCTTTGTGGTATCATGGCCATATTTGTCGAAACTACGACGACGGCTACCAGCTAAAGCTGCAGCCTCTGCCACTGCCACTGCCACTGCCACTGCCACTGCTAGTGCTACTGCTGCTGCCGGTGCTAGTGCTAGTGCTGCTGCTGGTGCTAGTCCGCTGGTGCTGCTGCTACTACTGTCACACTGTGGAGAAGTTTGCACCAATTCAAAAGCCCTGGTATTTATGCATCCCGAGTTCCCGAATCGCGTGAAGATGAGGTTTTGTGGTTTCCGGACATCGCTGTCTGACAGGTTTCCACTGGGAGACGAAGGGCCACCGCTTCTCCCTGCTCACCAGTGATGAGTCTGGGCACCATCCGAAGATGTTCATCTACGGTCTCAGCCACCTGGAGCCAGCAGTTCTGGAGGATTTCGAGGTAGGCAACTTTGCAGGTTAGACCACCGAAGCAGAGACTTCGCTCCAGGACGTCAGGGATCGTCAATGTGGTTAGTTTTAGTAAACTGCCGCTCCTGTTGGGGCGAGGAGATCGTCGTTCAGAGGCAAACGTGGCCGGGTGCAAGAGTTCAGGGTTGAAGGGTGTTCAGTGTTCAGTCACCATCGTGTCTGCGTTGCTTTCGAAGCCACGGTTTGTTTCCGGTTTCACCCCAAGGATTGAAACCTGTGTTGTAGGCAACGGAGCTCCTAGCCAGCCTTGAAAAGCTATCCTGTCAACTGAGGCAAGGAGAAGTGCGAAGTGCTGAGCTTCTTTGACTTGCCATCCAACAGCTACAACAACTTCTTCTGGGCACCGGAGGGGTGACTCGGACGAAGATTTTGTCCGAACCATGCCTTGAAAGACCCGGGTGTGATGTAGCATTGGGGGTCCCGAATATGTCATATGCACCTTTGTTGAATCTCTCCCCCCATGAACCCAAAACCGCGAAACGCGACGCTGCAGACACGGAAATCATGTTGCGCCCGGCTGCGTGCTCCGGGTTGCAGCCCAGTGCCGGAAACGAAACCCGAAGTTACAGTTACAAGTTTTAGGCTTGCAGACCTTTGAGAAAACCCTCCCGCCTCTGCGCCAAACTGTCCGAGTAAACCTTGCATTTCCCCGGCCGTTGAGGCAGTATTTTGTCTGTGCCGCAGTGGGCCACGGCGACCTTCTGTTCGGAGGGATGACCAGCGACAACAAGCTCGAGATCCTGCACAAGGAGAGGTTTCAACGGGCGAGAAAGTAGGTTTGTCCTGCTTTTTTTCACTATGAACATAAGCTCCCGAAGCTTCGCGGAACGAAGGTAGGATTTTCCATTTCTCACCCTCCTCTTCCGGAGATTCGGAGGGTTTCTTCGATGACGGACAGTGTAGATAACCAGGTGCAGACTTGCAAGAAGCATCTAAGCGCACTATGTGGCTGTCTATGTCAATGTGTCCAAACCCGACCCCTAAACTCCTGCGTTGTGTTGCGGCTGCCCTCTGGGAGGTTCATGGGCAGTTATAAGTAGGGATAAAAGTAGCAGAGCTATGGCTATAACCTCTTTTAGAGACTTATAACCCCACTTAGAAGTACCCATGCGCCTCCAAGCAGACCTTAAACCATAGAATCCCGAATCCCTATAGATCCCTTTGAAGGGACCCTTACAGGAACCCTTACACCTCCAAGCTCTCCAGGCACAGCCTGTGCCTGGAAGAAGCCCTCTTGAGGATGAGCACTTCATGCTCACGGATGTGCAGTGGGATCCGTCATCCAGGCAGGAGTGAAGGCTCAAGGCTTCTTGAGGCTTCGGGGCCTGAGATACTTGCTTTGTGCCTCTTATGATTGCAGTCGTTCTGGGTTCGGAGGGTAGGCAATGCAGTGCTTTTCAGACCTCCCCTTGCCCGCGAGCCTTAAGGATACCAAGCCGTCGTGGCCTCTGCTGCTCCCAAACGAGCTGGTTCGCGTATCAAACCCCTGCGGCCTGATCGCAGCACGCCCTACCAGTGAACTTCCGAAACTCCTAAACGATACGCTAAGCTCGTACCCCCCATGTTATATCCTTGAGCCCTCAACATGAACTTTGATGTTGAAGAGACCACCCCTTCCGGAGGTACGTCATTACGGCGGTGACGCAGCCAATGCAGAACGAAATCGGCGGCTTCAAGCGACCTTGACCTGTTGAGAGGTTTACGGCTCGTCTTCGCAAAGCACTGACTGACAAGCTCGACTTTTCAGTCACGACTCTTCCTGAGCCGCAAACCCCAACAGATCAACCCACCGGACCCTAAGCTTTCGTGAGCTGTCCTGCAGGTACAGCATGGAAGCCGGCTTTGCGATCTGGACCTTCCAGGGCCGAGTTCTGTGACAGCGGCCGCACCTTACGTTTCCATGACGGCTTTTGATGTGCGTGTATGTACGCAGGTAGGTGGGTAAGTTGTGTGTGCGTTAGGCGTATACATGTGCATTAATAATATGTATACGTGTATCTATATATATATATATACACACACACCTACATACATACATATGTGCATTATATGTATGTACACGCACGCAAATGTGTACGTACGTCTTCACGAACATACATGCATGCATACATACAGACATACATGCTGGCTTACTTATTTACGCATTTACTTACTTACTCACGCACATGCTCACATACATACATACCTACATGCATGCATGTGCTTACGCACATACATACTCACATATATATACAATGTATGCCTGCCTGCATGCATACGTTGGGTACATACACACATGCGCAGATTAGTGGTTCGGTCCTCATGTATACATGCATCAGCACAGGCACACAACCAAAGCCCGACAACGCTGGCTTGCACCCAGCTGCAATCTGAAACCATGCAAGGCCTTGTGCATAGACTGGGAATTACAAAGCAAGCGCCGCCAGTCTTGTTCCCAACTCTGAAAATGGAAGTCTGCCACCACGCGATCGATCTTAAGCCCCATAATGACCTGCCTGCACTTGCTTCCCCTGGTTTAGAGCCGAGGCATCGGCAGCAGAAGGAGAAGCTGTGGCAAATCTCGCAGCTTCATGAAATTCGAGCCATCTTGCGGGGTCACTTCGGGGCTCTTTCAAACCTAAGCGTCAAATTTGCTTATCAACTGAGATCCTTGGGTGTACCGCGCAAGGTCCATAGTCAAGGTGCAGGTTTCTTTCGTCGCGGTCCCCGCCAGCTCAAATCCCAATATCGTTGTTGCGACCCTCGTTGCATTATGAATACTGCGAGAAGTACTAATTTCGAGAAACTGCTGCCTGTACTGCTTCTTATTCCTGTGGTGGGAGTGGTGGTTTCGTCCTCGTCGACGACGGCTTGTTAGTTGCCACAGACTCTTGGAAATCCTGAAGCCGAAACGAGAGGGAGTTGAGCTCTGAAAAGCTAAAGCTTTCAAGTTTACGCCCTAAGCCACAACCGCACAGTTCACATTATGTTCATGAGGTGTGCAAAGGTTGCACATTGTCGGGGTGCCCCGGACTTAGAAGTTTAGGAAGTGTTTAGGTTGGTGGTCCACTGCTGGCTGCAGGCTACAGGGGCTTTGGGCTTCGGAGATTTCAGGCTGCGGGGTGAGAAGCGAGACTTGACTGTTCGGAGCGATACTTCGGCATGTGAGGTGGCGGCCACACCCGCCAAGCCTCCTCTCCAGCTCCAAGCAGGCTGCTTTCTCCCGGTATTTGTCACGCACAGGGAATTTTCATGACTCCGCTGCTATAACAAGGGTGTTTGAAGGTTGCTATATGGCTACTATACCGGTGCTCAAGGGTGCCAGTTCTAGTTCTCCAAAGACATATCAGATGACGTATCAGCCAAATCAAGCGATCCCTGCTGCAGTTTGCAGAACTCGGGTTGGCTACATGCCGATGGTTTGCCTAAGGTGCTGGGGATTAGGAGCAAGAGGCACCCAGGTCGGCGTTTGGTTGTAACAGAGAGCTGTAGGAATGACATACAAGGCAGGACAGTATCACATACGGCACTCAGATGGAAAGCAGTAATAGAGTTTCCTCACATGTCGTAGATAGTCATGGGTCATGGGCTTCTGCAGTTCCTGCGTTGCAGCAGTGTTGCGGTACTGGTACACATCCCAGCTCAGCATGAGTGGGGTCTTCCTGCAAGCCAAGCCGACGGCAGCGACCGGTTTGCTTAAGACTTCCGCCCAGCCTCACGCCACTTGTATACCCCTCAACCCCCAACGCAATACATACCGCAATAATTACTACAACCTAGGAGCACTAAGCCTTGAAAGCCTAAAGCCTGAAAGCCAAAACTCTTAACCCCGAAACCGTGAAATCCTGAAACCCCAGATCCTAAAACCCTGAAGCCTTAAAGCCGAAAGCCCTTTGATCCTCGCCATCTTCAGCCCCTTGCAGGCAAACGTCCGAAAGAATGTCAAGCAGCCCGTGCCCAAGACGGCCTCAAGAGTTGGGGATTCGAATCTAATCTCGGATTTAGGCTTTTGAGGCTTCGAGATTTTCCAGTTTAGGGCTAGAAGAGATAGCCAGTTTGCAGCATCATTTATGAGCAATGGTACATCGTCGTGACACATGCGCATGGGTGCGTCTCTGCATCTATTGACCACCTGATAGGTCACATGACCAACAAACCCCGAAGTCCGATGCAACCCCCAAACCTGAAGCCCTTTATGCAGTGTTCTGCTATACTGGTAGTGGTTTCAACTCGACGCCAGGAAGCAGCGAACTGCGGGAGCACACAAAATCTTGAACCCACGACTATTCATTAGAGTGATCGCTGTAGTTACCCAATATATTTATACACATGTATGTATATCTATATCTATACATACTTGCATGCAAACATGTATACATGGGTATAACCGTAAGTATAAAATGGGGTATGAATCCGGGTATGAATGCGCATATACATTTAGATATAGTTTCCTGTCATGCAGGGAGTTAACACCATTGAATCGTGCTTACAATAGCTTTTGCGTCATCTCTTTCCATGCGCCTGGGTTCGGGAAGCGAGGTTCTCCAAAAAGTACGACCAGCTGGACGACCAGGCCTGGGTCAAGTCTGCAACAGTGCGAAAAGCCCCCGAAGTCCAATTCAGCGAAGCTTTAACCCGACCAAGCCGTCTCTGCCACGATGCACGCGCTCGAAGCAAACCCGAAAGCAGACTTGTCGCAGGCGAAGGAGGCCGCGCGAAACGCCTACCGAAACGAGACTTGGCTGCTTCTAGGAATTCGGGTCCCTCATTTCGGGGTCATCATCGGATGTTATGCAGGGTCTAGTCTATAGCGTCCCCTGTTGCTAAAGACGTGAGGGTGCCGCATGACAGCCCTAAGCTTACGTGACGCAGCCCGGCGGGCGCTTCTGGAGGAAGACCAAGGCACAAGAAAAGCCTCACACTCAAAGTTTAGGGTTTGCTGCGTAGTGACTAGGACGATGCTTTTCTTGGATGTTTTCTGCAGCTGAATGCTAGGCCCAGGAGCTTGTGAGGAGTTGTTACACTCCTGCCCCTGCAACATTTCTACGATTCTATCTGACTCTACGTACGCTCTCAGCCTTTCTTCAGCGACTCCAATACAGACCCCATGTACACTGTAGGATCCTTACAACCCTGAATAAGGCATCCCTAGTATCAAGACATTCCTAGCCTCATTGTAAAGCCCTACGAAGCCCGACACAAATCAACCAAAACCTGCCTGATTCTTTTTAAGCAACAACCATAAAACCCTGCAAAGGCCCTAGAACAAGGCCCTTCGGTAAGACCAACTCCCATGCTAAACGGCCCTGAAGCCAAAACAAAGGAGCGGGAGGGCAAGATGAATGCATTCAAAGATGCTTGGCCGTTTACAGACTTTTAACTGGGCCTTATAGCATTTGTTGTGGTGCACTCTTTTGCTGAGGGTCTTGTAGGGTTCTTGTTGTAGTTTATGAGTTTATGTGCAATGGTTTATAAGTCTACGTGTGTTTTATAGGGTTTGTACAGCGGCTCTTGAGGGTTTGAGAGGGCTCTGTAGTGGTTGGTAGCACTTTTCGGGTTCTTGAGCGGTTCAGGCGACAAGAACGGCTTCATCATGACTCAGGGGGTATAATTGGCCTCGGCTTGCCTTACAAGGTGGGGTTCTTGCTTCTTGCAACGGTTTGATGCTGTTCTCACTCTTCTTGGGATTTTTGGTGGTGTTAAACTCATTCTTGCCATGTTTACTCTTGCCTCCAGGTGTGCAAACGTCGTCAGTCTCCTCCTCATAACCAGCATCATGACAATCGTACTAGTCGTTGTGTATGCTCTCGAGAGGCTTCTTTCGTCAGCTTCAGTATAACCACTCCGCAACGGTTGCCTTATCATGTATGTACCTACAAAATTGCATGCATGCATGCATGCATGCATGCATGGACGAAAGGAAGTATGTATGTATGTCTGTATGTAGCTAAGTCTGTGTGTGTACGTAAGTATGCATGCATGCATGCACATGGGTAGGTAGGCAGGTAGGTAGGTAGGTAGGTAAATACGCATGTATTTTATTATGCATGTATGCATGTGTGCATGTATGCAAGTATGCATGTATGCGAGTATTCATGTATGCCTGTATGCATATTCTTATGTATGCACGTACATATGTCTGTAGGCAGTATGAGTGAGTGCGTGAATGAAGCCTTTATGGATGGATGAATGGATGGATGGATGGATCGATGGGTGGGTGCATGGACTGATGTATCAATGTCCGTAGACCCTTGTATGTGGCTTGGCCGGCCGATCTGGATGTAGCCGGGGTCTGGGATTGCGAGTGTGACCTTCGAAGGTTATCGATGGGTTATTCCAGAAGGTGATGTGGGTCCACTGTTTCAATTTCGAGGGATAGGGATAAGGATAGGGTTCTGGATCTTACCTATTTCAAGATATCATGCTGCAGTCGACCAAGAAGCTCAGCTAGCTGCAAGTCTTCCACCATGGCGTTCCAAGCTAGACCCTGGACGGTAGGAGCAGGTCCTTGCTGCAAGGACCCCTAACGTGGGACATGCAAACTCAGGAAATCCTCGCGCGCCTGGACGACATCCGGTACGACAAGTACGAGGCCGGTTACGGATCACATGAAGTGGGGCTTGTAAGTAGGTCCGGCGAGTGTATGTGGGCCCAATTTGTCCATGGCATGCCAAAGTAAAGACCGAATCCCGTAGGCCAACCGGCATGAATTGGAGATTGGCGTCTGCTTTTGCTTGCTGCCAGTCACAGCGACTGACTGTCAGGGTGGATTGCTACTGCTGCATGCTAGAGCTGCTAGAAACGAGTGGTCGGCTACAATTGCCAGAGTTTCGCGGTGCAACCTTCTACTTGCTATTTGTCACCTCGGGATTCGATGATGCTATCTGACTTGGGCGAAGCGAGTACATGGAAGCTGCTAGCTGCATCGCCTACTCACCGTCGTGTGCTCAGTACTGCCACGGAAGATTGATAGATACCTATTGCCCATGACGAATTCTTACCACTTTACCTAATTAGCGATAAGACATTGGGTTTGTAGTGCTTTTGCGTTCTGTTGTTACAATTCTCGCCACTGTTCTCGTTCCTCGGCTGCTCCGACTGTCGGTTGCTCTATCTACGACTGAATTACTACTCCGGTGGGCTTGTACGCTTCTAGTGCCGCACTCATTTTGCTTTGCTACTGCTGTTGTTGATCGACAACGTCGACGATGACGACGCTTTTGGTGTTTATGGCGATGTGGGCGGTTATGGTGCGCCGCTGCTGCTGCTGGCGATGATAGCGTTGGTGGTGGTTTCGGCGGTGAGGACAGCAACAAAGACGGCAGCAATGACGAATATCACACAAAAAAGTGATGCTGAGATGATGCGAATGGTAATGGTACTGATGGCGGTGGTGATGATGACGATGATGATGATGATGATGGGACGGGTGGTCGTGGTGATGGTGGTAGTGGTGGTAGTGGTGGTAGTGGTGGTGATGACGCTCAGAAGCGTTGAGCTTATGATCGTCGTGCAGCACCATAAAAGCAGGTCCCCGCCCCCCGGAGCGATTCTGGGTGTTGAGTCCACCTTCACGTCAAAGCTGAAGCCTAGCTTTAAAGTCGAGAACACGGTGAAGGAGACCGGCTGGGGCGATGCCTTCGATGAATTCACAGCGAGCAAGGGATGGTCTCCGCTGCAGGCAAAGGGTTTAGGGTTCAGGGTTTGGAGTTTTGTAAGGCTTTATCGGCCTGCTTGAGAGGGTTTGTTCTTTTTCAAGAGGGTTTCCAGAGCTGACGTATGGATTCTCGCGGTGTTGTGTGGTTTGTTTCTTCTTCCATCGATCTGTGTTGCAGCAAGTTGCGCAATACGGGAATCCCAACTACCTTCAGCCCTTCCTAAGGGTTTCGTGAGGGTTCTTATGATTGAAAATACACTCATATAGCGATGCATGTTGTTGCCAAGTGGGTTTTAGTACGGTTGTTGGATTCCTGTCGGGAAGGGGAGAGCTGGTTTGGAGTTTAGTATTATTATAGTATAGTATTAGTATAGTATAGTATTATTATAGTGTAGTACTCTTATAGTAGGGTTTGGGTTGGGTTTTGTTTACAGGCAGGGTCGATTTGTCGGCTTGGGGCTTGAGGGTGCGACTCCGGGAGATGCCAGAAGAGGAGAGACCCTACTGCCATTCCCTCCCCGGCCCTTGTCGGAATCTTGGGCCCTTTTTGGGAAGACGGAAAGGTCTTACGGGCTTCATGGCTTTAGGGTTTAGGGTTTCGGGTATTGGAGCTTCAAGTCGGGATTCCCCGCTTCGAACTTCATGACTGGCTGAAGAAGCCGACGAGGAGATGCAGGCAATGAGTGACCGCGCTATGAACTCCCGAAGCCCCAGGCTCCGATCCCCCAAATGCTTTAAAACCCCGAACACCATAAGAGCCCTAAAGCCACAACACCCGCAGATCTTTGCACCAGGAAGTGTCGCAGGATGTCATCGAGGTGGTGGAAGAGAAGATCTGATGAAAAGGGTCACCGTAGAGAGGTCCGTACCAAAAACGAGCTCAAGACTCCACACTGCAACCGACAGCAAAGCTTTCTGATCCTAGCCTTCAGGGTTTAGGCTTCAGCCCGAGTTTTGGTATCGGCAAGCTGCCCAAACGAGGCGGGCATCAGGCCCAGATGCCGACAAACGTCGCCAGAGTCCGCCCTCTTGGAGCCCCGGTGAATCTTAAGAGAGGGCCTTCTCAAGTGGTTCAAGTTTCGATGCTCCTCTCGACCTATTTACCTAAGCATGGCCTTAGACATGTGCGAGTTTGACAAAGCCCCGATGTTCAATGAGTTAGGAGACATCGAATAAGCTCAAGCCGTGAAAAGGCTCGAAGCGTTGCAGCACAGCATCTTAGGGACCGAGAGCACGGCAGGGCATCCCGTGCACGAGGCTCTGCTGGCAGGGGAGTTAACCCCCGCGGCCCCGAAGAAACCCAAAGCTCCTGCAGTCAGCCTTTGGGAACGAAAAAGTGTCGTGCGCTGGAGAGCGATGTTTCAGTTTTGATGCGGGGGCATGTGTGAGATCTTCAGGGTGTTACGCTTCAGAGGCTCTCAGATCATCGAGCACTGCTTCAGTTCTGGATGAGTTCTGGATGTTCGCGTGGGGTTCCAGTGTCAGATGGGCCGGTGTGCGGTGTCGGTTTTGTGGTAGATCTCAGACCATCGACCATTTCAAACAGCCTGTACGCTTTGGGGTTAGGGATCTGGGGTTTGGGGCTTGGGTTGAGACTTTAGGGCGGGGTTTTGCTTTGAGTTACTTCGAACAGTGTCTTGCTTTGCTGGGCAGACACAGGCAGAGCAGCTTGGAAGGTGCACACTTGAAGTTTCATGGGTCGATCAGAGTCCGGACTTTGAGTAACGACACTGATATACTTGCCTTAGCCCCACACTTACCACCCTACTTGTACCTAGCCTTGAGCCTTCACAGTCTCAGAAATCCGTTTTCTTGCATGCCAGCCTGACAAACCTAGAAGGTTCAGTGCTTCTTTCGTATCTTTATTGGGTTGGAGTTCCTTTAGAGAGGTTACGCCGCACTATTTAGAGAAGGAGTACGTTGTTCAGGTTTAGGCCTCAGCTGCCTTAGACCCGACCTGAAACCGTAAACGCTTTCAAAGGCCCCAGACATGAACCGCCAAACTGAACCGTGAACCCTCCCTGTCTTGGTGTGATATAGGGCCTTAATAATTGCCAATACTTGCTACTATTCCCTAGGGTTCCTTATTCTAATTAAGTTATCGTATAATATACCACCAAACCCTATTCTAATGATTAAGGCCCTTGTATTATTCTCTTGGGCAAAGGGCTCCAAGGCCTGCCTTCGAAACCACGGCCCTCAGAGGCCTCCACAGGTGACACCGAAAATCGACTCAAAACTCGGTGTTCCTTGCGAATCCCTAGAACAAGAATCAACAACTCTCGGAAGTCCCCGCTTCTCGATTTGCGTGCTATCTCGGCTTCCCCGCCCAGTCTCTGCAGCCACGCCGCCAGCTCGACCGCAGGAAGCTCAGGAACGCCAAAGAAGGGCCAGGGCAGTGCGGCCTTCGAGGTTTAGGGCAAAAGGTTTCGATGCCCCGAGCGGCGAGCCGCGAAACTAGACACTTTCGTCGGGGAGTCTTCAGTGAGGTTTCGAATCTTGGATACCCACCCTGGTTCCGAAAAGTACAGGTGGCTGCGTTAAGGCTCTTTACCCTAACGCGAGGGAACTCTCCCACCGTGGCAGCTGGCCCCTCGATGATTCGTCTGCTTCTGCTTGCCCCTCATGGCAAAGCTTTCGAATCGCTTTAATGAAGCGCTTGGTCGCTGCGAGTCTCGGTGCTTCTGGCATCTTCTAGTTCAGGAACGTTGCACAAAACCAAGAGTATAGACATGAGTCATCGATCCTTCTGACGCTCTGGCACAACCCATGGTTCACTCCTGCTCCGCAGCCCTTCCGCGCTTCATGCATCTCAGGGCTCAGCGCCCTCCGGACATCGACGTCAGACTATGCTGCACTTTAGGATACAGGGCTTGGGGACACAAGTACACAAACCAATTAAGACATGTAAACTCAGGATTTCCCTGGGAATAGTGCTTCGCTGCTCTTGGGGTGGGTGCGTCTGCTGTCAAACGTGCAGGTCTAGTTGGGCATAACAGCACCAAACCGGTGGAGCTTTGCGGGAAGAGGGGTCCTAAGCCCGAAACCCTATAAATCTATGCCCGACAGCCCAAAACCGCTTCTGAGGAAAAGCGCTTTCACTTATGCCCGCCGACCACAATCCTCTCGCAGTGAAAGGCCTTTGACCGGGGAGCCTTCAACATCAATTCTTGGGCTTGGTGATTTGTAGGCTTCACGGTTCAGGTGGTTTGGGGTTTCAGTTGTCAGCGGAAGTATCGAGAGGGCTGGGATTACGAGTTGCAGCTGCAAGTTTAGCTAGTGATCTCAGGCAGTGTTGCGAGTAGGTTTGACAGGTAGTAGCCTCAGCACCTAACATAGGCAATCTAGGTGGTAGGGCCATATACGAGGTGACCGACCAACCACGACTTTGTTTGCTTGCTTTGGATAAGACAACAACTTCAGTGTTTGGACATTCGGATAGCCGGGAGGCAGGGGTGGATTTCTTGGACGTGTATGTTGCGGCGACGGAATTCTGCTTCGGTCAGAGAGGTGTCAAAGTGTAGTTGCATCATCCTTTCCCAACGCCCTTGAGCCCTGAACCTGAAAGATGTATGGGGGTCATCCTTCTCGTCGGACGCTGCTGTTCCCTCAGTCGTGCTTGTGGCCCGACATGCATGTCATTTCCACTTTTCCAGCACTGCCATAAGATCTTGCCTCATAGCTATGTCGACCTCTCATCTGATCTTAGATCGTGTCAGCCCGATCCTGCCGCTGATCATGGCATTCTCCATGGAAGCGGCAGCGGGAGCTCCGGTTGAGCTGGGCCTCTCCCTGCTCCTGTTCGCACTGAACTGCATACTTTCCTCATCAGATGTCGTTTCTGTGATAGGCTGGCTGTCTACGAACTATCTCACAAAGGCTGCTCCTACCGTGCAGTCAGAAGCTCCGTCGAAGCCTCGTGTCGAAGAAGCGATGCAGAGGCTGACTGAAGAAAATTTCCTCATTGCCAGCCACTTTCTACAGCATGCGATGCTCCTGGCCGTGGTCATGTACGTGGGCATGGGCTCGCCCGCATTTGCAGGACTTTGCTTCTTGTTCTATGCAACTTTCTTGCTCATTGCAAAGGGCTATGTCAGAATGACAGCATACAGGGTCAAGATCTACTTGATCGTGAACTACATCACCTTCATTCCCGTGATGTTTGCCGGCGACCTTTTCGCTGCCGTCGGGCGCAAGGAGGTGCTCGATCAGATCACGTCTGCCTATCGCTTTGTGCTGGTCGTGCTCTGCGTGGACAGCAACTTGCACATTCCTTCTCAAGTCGCCGTGTCGCTCGCTCAGGCGGGCCCGCGGGGGGCAGACTTTCTGGACTCGAGGTTGAGGCTTTGCGGGTTTCCACCGGTCGTGGCTTGAGGGCTTAGGCAGGCTGAGGCTGAGGCTGTTCATGGTTTTCAGTGACCAGTCGGCCCGGCCTCTGGAGGGTAGCCAAGCATAGGGCATAGGGCCCAAGTCCAAGTCCGCACGTGCGCAAGAAGTCCAGGTTCATCGGAAGAATACTGCGCCAGGACGAAAGTTCGTCGCATCCGGTAGGTCTGCTAACACATACTTGCAAACCCCTTTCCCCCGTAGACTCCTTCACGAAGTCGCGATGTCAGGCAAGGACGTCACTAATTCCTCCGTCGGAACAAAAAACAGTGTATGTTCATTTTGGCATGGAAATTCCTCCGCTAGCCAGGCCACGTAAAATGCACTTCTTCGTACTCCGAGTCCCCCGCCAAGCAAAGACATCTTAGTGCGACAAAACTTTCATCCTGCTGATGTAAAATTCCTTGGAGTCCGCGATCTAGCCCACAAGAGATGTGGAGAGCGGAGCTGAGTGGTGACGGAAGCCTGTGACGACGCCCCCACTTAGTGCGTTTTTCAAAGGGTAAGAGAGGAATGACCCTACTCAATAATGATTAATGAACCTTCATAGGATTGCTCTTAGGTATGTATGTCTGCTCTGCGTGCTCTTTCCTGTGTAAGACAATCAAGAGGTGGCTTTCTACGTTTGGAACCGTGGTTGGGATGAGCCCGCCGTGCCCTTTGTGCTGCTCAGCTGGAAATGGAAGAGATGCTTTCTCGATCGAAGGCTTAGAACTCCGACCTAGTTCGACCCAGTTGCATTCTGGGAAAGGGCTGGTCTTGTCAGAGATGCTAGGTCGTAAGCCGAATCCCCAGAGCGACTGGTGCACGTGTGACTGGTACTGGTGATGTCAGATGATCCTTGTCATGGCTACATTGTCTGAGGATTCGCCTTTGTGGCTCTGCCATCAAGGCTTTACAAACATCATACAACCATCGTGGAAGCCCTAGAAAAAGTGCTGTATGCCCCATACCAACCTTTTAGAACCCCCTTGAACAAATCCCATTCTGAATCCTCGACCGATCCGTCACAACCCCCCAATCGCTGCCCTCCAGGTTTGGCCAAGCCTTCACTGCTGCCATGACGAGCACGCTGAGCTTCGTGTTGGAGCATCCTGGTTTAGGGTTTGGAAATCAGGCTTCATAAAGGCTGTGCGAGGGTGTTATCGGCCTTTGCAGAGTTTTTGACGGTTTGGAGGCTCGGGGTTGGGGGTTTAACGTTTGGAGCTTAAGGTTTAAAGCTCCGGGTACAAGGTTTGCCTCGCATTGCGCTGCTGCAGTGAAAACCATGCAACCCTGCGACATGCAGCAGTGGCCCCGCCGTGGAGGGCCATCCCAGACATTCACTCGCCCCGAGCCGTCCGGGGTGCCCTTTCCAGTACTCAATCCCCCTGACGGTTTCCAGATGGGCCTCCCACGGCATCTCTCTCAAAATGTGGGGGCCAGTTAGGGCTTCGGGGCTTCGGGGCGGGTCTTTGCTTTGAGGCTCCGGAGCTGAGGGTTAAGCTTACCGTTGAAGGTCTAGTCAGGGAGCTATGCAAGTCGGCTCGGAGTCGCTGCACGCCCTACGAACCCAGACCAAAGAAGACGCTATAATCTCAGAGCCGAATGGGGATTCCAAAAATGCAAGTCGTCAAGATAAGGTAAGGGGACCCCAATCCGGGGTCCCATATGCTGTGATTCGGCGAGTTGATGGCTCGTCCCTAAACTCTGAATCTCCCCAAAGCCCCGACGCATGGTGTTGAAACGGAGGCAGCGCGGTCATTTGTGGGGGCATTCGCTTGAGCAGTCGAGTGCCGGAGAGGGGCCCTAAACTCGACCCTTAATCGCCGTTATCACAAATGCAGACTTGCAGCGCTCAAGCTCGGCACAACATCCAAGTCCTCACCCCCTGAAGCTCGAAGATGCTGAGGCCTCGAACCATGAACCTTCAAGCTAAACCTCAGGAAAGCTTCACAATCTAGAAGCTTGCATTCTCAACCCTCTGGACTTGTGCCACATCCTGGCGCCGAAAACACAAGCACCTGCATTCTTGACAAGCTCGTCACCACCGAAGCGAGGTATTATCTTCGACAACGCCTTGAAGCCCAATTCAAATCTGCAGATGCTGAGTCCATCACATCAGGCTCGTTAACAACATGGTGCGGTGGCGAGGGTAGTAGTGAGTGTTGTCTGTGATTGCAGGAAGGGGGGAGTAAGAGCCAATGTAAATATTCGGGGACACTTCGAAGGCGTTGTCTGATCGCAACAACGCTAGTGACTTTGTTCTTGCTTAGTTCGCAACCCTTTGCAGCAGCGGCCTTACGAACGGCACTGCCTACAAGAAGTTCGAGAGTCATGCCCATTTCTGACGCGATGCTGCTGAAGAAGATGATTGTGAGTCCTATGATGAAGTGATGGTAAAGATGTTGCTGATAGTCATTATGCTAAAGATGGTAGTGATGACGACTTCGACGGCGATGGAAACGAAACGAACGGTGGAGATGACGACGACGCCAGTCACCAGCACCACCATCATCACCATCACCACCATCACCACCATCACCACCATCACCACCATCACTGCCAGCACCGCCAGCACCGCCAGCACCGCCAGCACCGCCAGCACCGCCAGCACCACCAGCACCACCAGCACCACCAGCAGCACCAGCAGCACCAGCAGCACCAGCAGCACCAGCACCAGCACCCCCAGCACCACCAGCACCCAGCACCCAACACCGCCAGCACCGCCAGCAGCAGCACCACCACCATCAGCACCATCAGCACCATCAGCACCGCCGCAGCAGCAGCAGCACCAGCACCACCAACACAGCAACCGCCACCACCCGCCCGCTACCGCCCGCCACCGCCCACTACCGCAACTGCGGCCGCCGCCACCACCACCACCCCACCAGCCGCCAACACTACCACCCCCGCCGCTGCCGCCGCCGCCGCCGCCGCCGCCGCCGCCACCCCCACCCCCACCACCACCATCACCACCACCACCACCACCACCAACCACCACCACCACCACCACCACCACCACCACCACCACCACCACCACCACCACCACCACCACCACCACCATGACAAGTGCCTTTGCCGTAGTTGTCATCACCGTCATTTCTATCATCATCAACAACATCCTCACCATCACCATCATCGCTGTCAACATCATCACCTTCAGCATGACCGAGCATTGTGTTCAGGATTTCGGCAGATGCTTCGGGGAGTCTGCGACGGCGAGGTCCTGCTGAATGGCAGCTTGGAGATTAGTGGGAGCAGCCGGCGCTTGAGCCGCTTGATCTCTACAAAGGAGGAGCTGGAAGGACGAAGCTTCCAGAGATTGCTCCTGCAGGAAGAGGACGAGCAGAAACGATTCAGCGAATTTATTTCCAGGCCCTTCATGGTAGGAGTGTTAGTAGCCGTAGTTGATAGCAGTAGTAGTAGAAGAAGGAGGAAGAGGAGCAGGGGAGGAGGAAGAGGAGGAAGGAGGGAGGAGGGAGGAGGAGGGGAAACAGTAGTAGCAGGAGTAGTAGGAGCAGTAGTCGTAGTAGTAGTGGTAGTAGTAGTCGTGGTCGTGGTCGTGGTCGTGGTCGTGGTCGTGGTAGTGTCGTGGTAGTGGAAGTGACAGTAGTACTGGTAGTAGTAGTAGGGGTGGTGGTGGTGGTGGTAGTCGTGGTCGTAGTGGTAGTAGTGGTAGTAGTGGTAGTAGTGGTAGTAGTGGTAGTAGTGGTAGTAGTGGTAGCAGGGGCAGGAGGAGGAGCAGGAGTAGGAACAGGAGTAGGAGTAGGAGCAGGCGCATGGAATCGTAGTAGGTTTGTTGCCAGGGCTAGATCCAACTACAAGCCTCCATCAGTCTCATGTCGACATAGTCCTTGTAGCTGCACCCCGGACCAGGGGCATTGCGGTTGATGATATGACTATGAATCCTGCATTACCCATAATTAGGAATATACCATACTTTCCATAGTTTAGAATCCTTAGGGCAATGCAGATTTTATGTCATCAACAGTGCAGTATCACAACAACAGCAGCGAAGCTATGACATATGCTGGTCACAAAGAAAGAGTAGGATCTCTTAGCCCCGGAACTTAAGACCTTCCCTGCTAGGCCTTCCGGGTCATCCGAAGACATGCCAGCTTGTCTGCGAGTGTCTTTGTGCAGCGCAGCAGCCACCAGGGTCGGTGTCGATGTGTACCATGTTGCTCTGCCATGCCTGTATGGATCGGCAGTTGGGCCTGGTTGAGAGCAAGCCTTTGACAAGTTTTGGGTTATTCAACAGGTGAAATCCCCAATGCCCAGACGGTCGGGCACGGTGCCGGTCCTGCCTTAAAATTCCTACCGCCCAGGAAGAGGTCTACCACTTGCTGGCATTGAAGCTTATCTGCACTTCACATCGCTTGGCGCAGGTAGCATGTGTGTGGCTCAAGAGTCTCGATTCTTCCAGTAGCACGGGCTTTCGAGAAACTCGTAAACCATGAAATCACAGTAATGTAGGTTGAGGTTGTGGGCTGCGAAGCTTCAGGCATGCAAGGAGAATTTAATTCTTTGCCTTCAACAGTCGCGCAGCCGAGGAAGGAAGATGAGCCCCAGCCAATCCCGGAAGCCATCCGGGATACCCCGCGGCCTCTGCTTCCGACAGTGTCCATTCCTTCTGCCAAAAGGTTGGGCCCGGAACCTGCTGTGCTTGAGCAGTGAATCTCGACAGGTCATGGCACTTTTACGCATCTTCCTGTCGCTTCCGTTCGCGGTTGTTTCCATTGAAGCGGTCAACCTTGTGACAGCTGTAGGTAGTGTCGTTTCTTTTGCTTTCCTTACAATCCTCACTTTTGCACGTTTCTGACTATGTCGGTTGGCACTTGGTGAAATCAAACATCGTGCACCAAAAACACTACATTGGTTCTTGCATCTTCACGAGACCATGGTTTTCTTTTGTGATTTTGGGATTTTGCAGGAATGGTGCACGTTAGTAGGGCATTGCTACTTCAAGTCAAAGACTTTGTCTTAAACTTGAACCAAGGTGTGGGCACATGTGGGGGGGGGGGAGGCGCCATATATGTACACGTACATATATATGTATAGTGACGTTACATATCTACATATGTATATATAGGTTGTACATAGAATGGGCTGTATGTATCTATCTATCTATATATAATGCGAAGATTTGAGTACACTGTACGCGTTAATGTATGCAACCTGTTATATGTTATCATTGCATATGATATCATCTAGATGACAATCTTCTTTTGTCTTATCTTATCTTATTTCCCTTGCTTTCTGTAACAGACAGTGTGCCTAGCATTTAGTATATGTTACAGTCCATGGATATATATATATATATATATATACATATACACATGAATGTGTATGTATGTATGTATGTTTGTATGTAGTATGTATGTGTACACACAGAAAATCTGCGCTAAACAACGAATGCAAGTATATTGTTTGGTTTTCTCGCATTATGTCCATTATGTCACACACAAACTGTTGCTACTGATTACATCTCGCGTTTACGTACATCTCACTTATGTATTGTAATGTATTTTGCTTATATATATATATATATATATATATATATAGATATGTGTCCTTAAGGTGTATGTTTTTTTCAAACAGTTTTTTCTATTGCATACGTGTACATATGTTGTTTACTGTATATAGTCGAGTATTTATGTGCTTGTACATATATATATATATATGTATGGATACACACACAAAGTATATGTATATGTTTTCATTGTATGTATCTATACACATACATACACAATATGATAATACTTATGTTATGCTTTGCTGTGTTATTCCCCCGACAGCAAAGAGAAACTACACCAACTGTAGTATTTCATAATTTGGTACACCGCAGTGTGTTGTATGAACATCTATTGTATCATATGGTACCATACTATACGGTCTCATTTGTTTTACACTTCATGTTATACATGATGTACCGTTTTTATGTCACACATTATGTAGTATATACTATATTATATTTGCTTTAAGGCTATGTTTGATGTGATCTACTGTTATTGTTTTCGTTGTCTAGTACGTATGTTGTGTTTTCATTGTTATCTTCTACACATTATTTGTGCGTGTGTGCGCGTGTATACACATGTACACGTAAGTATACATGAGCTACCCGTCAATACTGGGTGTAATCGGGCTTTAGTACGGGAGTTGGGTGCATCCCACATCTGGCACATCCTGGATTATTGTCCCAATTTAGCAACCATGTCCTTGTTACCAAACGTATCGCATGCATGCATCGTAACATATATTTCTTTTTGTTCGGTGTTTTGGTCTGCCTGTCTCTCTCCTTCTCTCTCGCTCTCTCTGTCTCTCTCTCTCTCTCTCTCTCTCTCTCCCTCTCCTTCTCTAACTCTGTCTTTCTCCCTGCTGCTTTATTTGTCTGACTTGTTTGCGTGCCATCTGTCTGCACACTGGCCAGGTCAGCCAGCGTCCCTGGCGAGGTGTCGCGGGCACCCCGCCACCGCCGCTTATCAATGTTTGACAGCGATATCCCGGCTTTGCCACTGAGCTGCTTGCCGCAGCTTTCGGACATCGTGATGCTGCTAGACGCTTCATCTCCACAGAAGGACATCAAGCAGCTGCACATGAACTACAGCCGTTCCAAGGGTGGTCGGTCCTCTGCGGATGGCATGCCGAGCTTGAGAAAGCTCATCCGGCCGACTGATTGGGAATCGGTCCACGCCAGCGTCACTTCATACGCAGCGAAGTCTGGTCGGCCATCCGTCTCCGAGAAGCATCTTGGGCCTGTGTGCTTTCGTAGGCCTGATGGTCCTCACAAGTCCACTGGGCCGTAACAGTATCTCTTTTTTCTTGCGTGTTCCAAGTTATCTCAGCAGACGTCCTGAACAAACCCCAGCCCGAAGCTTCCATCTGCTACAAACCGAATCATCATGACTACCATCATGGCGATGTGAGATGAGTGAGAATTACAGCTGTTGTTGTCCTCATGGCTATTCTTGTTCGTACGTTAATTGCTTTTATGATGGTTGCTTTTACGCTCATGGTTACCATGACCCACATCCCTCGCTGCATTGGAGTATATATATATATAAATAAAATACATACAAACTATACAGGTATATGTATATATATATATATATGTATATGTATATATGTATATATGTATATATGTATATATGTATATATGTATATATGTATATATATGTATATATGTATATATGTATATATGTATATATGTATGTATATATATATATATATATATATATCAAAAGCATCATCCCCGTTAGCAGCCAGTCAGGTTCATGGTGGCAAAGCAAGCGAGGCTCTACTTCTCGCCGAACAAGGAGGGAGTTTCCTCAAGGATGTGGCTCTCTTTATCGGGCTCCTGGGCTTGGCTTTGATGTGGTGATCCCGTGATTAGTGGGTCGTTTTTGGGGGTCCTGACTTTCGAAAACTCCCATGTGGCCTAGGCCGTGGACTTGGGATGGTTCAGAGATTTTTTGGCCTTTGTTTGAGTGTCGTCAGATCTTGTTGTATGGCAGACCCTGCTTGATTCTCCCTCCCTTAATGGGATGATGATGCGGCGTGGTGCCTGGAGCTTACGGTTTGGAGTTATCGGGGAAGAAGCACAAATCTTGAATGCCTTTTCTGCTGAACCGCATCATCCCCTGATGCAGAAGCGAGCTTGGTGAAGGGTTGATGCCGCATACATGAAACCTAGCAACACGCCACGGTGACGAGCACTGACATATCGTTACGTACTCTGTGCCAGGTTTATCATGTCCCGCGACGTCTTCTTACGCTATAGTGTTTGCAACTACATACTTGCATACATACATACATACATACATACATACCTGCATATCTACAAAGAACATCCAGTTGCTTCTGCCATGGGTACCCGGTTATCTTCCAGTGGGTGGTGATGCACTCGCATATGCTTTTGTGATGGAGAGAGAGCGAGAGCGAGAGCGAGAGGAGGGAGAGAGGGCGAGAGAACTGGTATGCTCGCATACATTCCGCTATGCGTCATTGTTTACCAGGACGCTCTCGCATCTGATCCAACTAGTGTGGCTGCTAGTGTTATTGCTGCTGGTGCTGCTAGAACAACTCTTGCGGAAGCTACACCACCCTCCCAGTCCTGGGGTGCAAAAGTCAATGAACGCATCGTTCTTCGCATCTGAATGAACGCATCTGAATGAAAGAACATTGACATCTCGCCCCCACCCCCTCGTGGGCTGCTAGTGCTGCTGCTATTGCTACTGAGGCGACTCAACCTATTCACACCCGGCCTGAAGATTTAACCCAACCAAGCAGCTTGGAATATTGAGGTATTACGAAGCATTGAGACCTTTCCTAGGGCTTTGGGGCTTCAGCAACCTTTAGCCCTAAGGGTCCTAAGGGCCCTCAACCCTAAACCCTACTTGCCCTAAGCCCTACACAGCCAAGGCTTCGCATTGTTGGAAAAGCGCACCGAGGCAAGCATATCTGAACTGCAAAGCATCGGGGCTGCCTGGACCGATCTCGGAACTTTTTTTGATTGGGTCTTACGATTCTCCAAAACTTCTTTCAGGGTTCCCGAAGGGATTTTAGAACGGTCTTGTAGGGGTGTGATAGGGTTTAGAAGGGTTAGTAAGGGGGTTTAGGGGAGTGCAGAGATTGGGGTAGTTGTCAAAACTAAGGTCCCTTTTTGGGTACCCTAAGTAGTAGGTGCCGGACTATTTTAGGGACCCAAAAAAGGGACCATAAATTTGACGACCACCCACTTGGGGGTTTGGCTTCGAGTTTTGAATGCTTGAGGGCTTCAGGGTCGAGGCCTCAGGCTCCAGAGGTCCTGCCTCTTTCGGAGGGTAGAAGCCCGGAGGCCCATAAAATGGGGGTCTTAATACTTCGAATAGGGCTTTGGGGCCCAGTATACTATAATTATAACAAGGAACCCCCAAAACAGCATTGGTAATACCTGAAGTAGGAAGCCCTGCTCCATGAAATCGCAGCCCGACAAGCTGCTTCAACGCTCTGCACCCAAGCCGACTCGCGGCAACCCCAACGCCCCCAAGAGCCCAGGAGCAAAGTGAGCCGGATTCTTAGCCTCTCACGAAGAAGTCCTGGAATCTGCAGAGTGTTTCTCTATTTCAAGAGCACACGAGCGTTGGATCTGGGGGGGTTTTGGGGTTTAGAGTTTTAGAGCTTTCAGGTTTCCGGGGGTGTTTTAGAGCTTCAGGGTTTGTCAGGGGGGGGTTTGTCAGTTTTGGGCCTTAGCCTCGCTTCTGGTTTCTGTGCTCCAGCCGTGATTTTGTCTGCAACGGCGAGGGCATCTCTCCTCGGTTTCCGCCCGCCGCGAGAGACCCGAATCACCTTATCGTAAAGGCCGAAGCATGAGCGGAGGATCCTTACAGTGTTGACTCGAAGCGGTAGAAATCCATAATAATCATAACAAATACTACTAATAATACTAATAATACCTATAATAATAAGTTCGTTTCTGCGGGTTGATGTGGCAGGTCTCTTTTGTCAAGAGTGCCCCATGCGTTAGCTTCTGGGTCCGTATTAAGTTCGGCTGATGGCCGGGCTCTGGGAAGGCAGCTCCCATGGTTTCACCGTATCACCGAGCCGAGACTCCAGCACTCCTTACTTGGGGGCTCATGGGTAGTTATAAGGGTTCCTTGAAGGGTCCCTTTAAAGGATCTGAGGGATTCTATAAGGGTATAGGGTATACGGTCTACTTGGAGGTTCATGGGTAGTTATGAGTCGGGTTATACGTGCCCTCAGGTTATAGCCATAGTTATTTTAATAATGACCAAGTACTTCAGAATATTCCTGAAATCAACAGGAAGCCTTGCGGAAGCCGTAGAAGGGGGATCTTGGAGTCTTTGGACCCTTCCTCGTTCCAGTACAGCCGCATTGCATGGAAAGCCTGCCTGCATTCTTAAAGTACCATCCCGTTGCAAGCGAAGACCCACGCAGAAATCTCAAAATGCATGAACTATGCACGGAACTCAAGAGCCATTGCCTCTCTAAGTAAACGCATCCCGCAATGCCGACGTCCCAAAACGTAGGCTACGTGCATCGCGGCTAGCATCAGTGATCCCTTCCAGAACGGTTGCACTCCGTGAGATGCTAGAAACAAGCAGGTTGGAGGGCAGGCAGTGATGTTGGATCCGAGGCTTGAAAATTCCTGGCGGTCAGGTTCCAAGGCACTAACATATAGTCTTTGGTAATTACCTGGGGCTCCTTAGTAGGATTGTAGTATCATATACCCCCAAAACCCCATTCTAACTAAGTCCCCCAAGATAGGTTATGACCATAGTTACCCTAGTTATAACCCTACTTATAACTACCCATGAACCTCCAAGTAATTAACCCCAACACCGCAAAGCCCAGACTCTGGACTCCCCCAAGCCAAGGGTCAAAAGGAAAACATGACCTCCATCTGCTAGATCTGGCAGTTTTACAGCACCGGGGACCCAAACATCGACCCTGTAAGGGCCCATGAGAAAGTACCCCGACCCATAAGAAACCCACGTCTCGAACGCACACGCACACACATACACGCCCCAAGACTGGAACAGAAGCGAACGTAAGAGGGGGGGGAGACATTCCTCTGGTTGTGGATCTTGTTACCATCATAACAAGCTGTAGGCGATCTCTTCATGTCCGTGTTGTCTGGTGTTGCATGATTCGCCCTGTTCCTGTCATGATCACCCCCCTCTTTGTCATGAACATAGTCAGTGTGCCATTGCGACTATGGACATGGTTGCCACCGTCGTCACCATGGCTATGGCGGCTATGGCTTGATGTTTCTGTTTCTGTTGCTTTTACTGTCGTGTTTGAAATGCTCTGCTGCTGATGCTGATGTTGATGGTGATGCCCAGGTTTTCGTCGTCAGTGCTGTCGTCGCTGCGGCTGTTTCTGCTGCTGCTGCTGTTGCTGCTGCTGCTGTTGCTGCTGCCGCAGATGCTGCTGCTATTGCTGTTGCTGTTGCTGCTGCTGGTGCTGCTGCTGGTCCTGCTGGTGCTGTTGCTGTTGCTCTTGCTGTTGCTGCTGGGGGTTTGCTATTGCTGCTGCTGCTGCTGCTGCTGCTATTGCTGTTGCTGTTGCTGCTGCTGGTGCTGCTGCTGGTCCTGCTGGTGCTGTTGCTATTGCTCTTGCTGTTGCTGCTGGGGGTTTGCTATTGCTGCTGCTGCTGCTGCAGCCGCTGCTTTAGTTTTGGTGGTGGCGGCGGCGGCGGTGGTGGTCCTGGTGGTGGAGGTTGGTCGTGGTTGCTGTAGTGGTGCTGGTGGTAGTGGTGGTAGTCCGCTGGACTTGAGGTGAAAGGGGTGCTAAATGTCGACCCCCTGGCTCAAGACTGTAAGTGCTCAAACCTGCAGTGCCGTCGTGGCCGCCCAGCCTAGAGTCCGTAACTTGTGCTTTGGCTCCGAAAGAGGCTCAAACCCAACCATTGCTTTTCCTGCCCCTGTGGACTCGGCGCGTGGGAGGGGTAGCGGCAGTTCCGACCGACGGTCGAGTGCAGTAGTTTAGCGCAATAGCACATCCTTGCCGTCCTCGCATTCCTCCTGTTGTACACTACACCAGTTGTCTTAGGTCTCTGGAAGCTTTGCTTGGGACGAAGAAAGTTTTTCGAGGTGCCCTGACCTTGCCTTCGTGCTGCACCTTGAACCCCAGTCCCTGCTTTCCTTCCTGCAGCACCTTTGGCTACCTGGCCCCGTCCTTCTGTTTACCTGCCTTTGGGTTTTGGGTTGCAGGCCCTGTTTCTCCCTCTTGAGGTTCGTTCTCAGGGGCAGGTCTTCTTCCTGCTCGTCTTCTTCCTTTGTGGCTGAGTGGCACAGCGTTGTTCCTTGCGCTTGACAATTAAAGGGAGAGCATCGTTCCGTGCGCCTCGTTGAGGTCCCAATCGAGGGGCGGCAGCTCAGCTACGGTGGCTGCATATGGGCAGCATGTGGCTCGTCTTCTTCCTCGCTTGCAGATGGGCGGTTGTTTTACTCTTGGCCCTAATAGACCTAACCGCTTCATCCCTTGGGCAGAGGGAGTCGCGCCCCTTCGGTCTCGCTTCGGCCAGCCCAGCAGCCCACTCAACCTACTTGTTTACTTTCTAAGCTGGAGGCTTCCTCTCCAGCCGCTCCCTCACGGTCCCCTCTCTTGAGGTTGGCTTCCAGAAAAGGGCAGCTGCTCTGACTCCTCACCTTCGGGTTCAGTTTCCTCGCCTTCAGGCTGAAGCGCCTTTCTCAGGCTCTTGGAGCCAGGGCCGCGGGTTTTCACGCTTTTACCCTGGGACTGCCTAAGGCATCCCCAACGTGGTAGCGAAAGGGCCTCCGCCCTTCACCCAATAGGGGTCTGAGGTACTCGCCTGACTGCATGGAATTCATGAACCGACCTACGTCTCTGACGGCTTTCGCGCTCGGTGAATAAATGTCGACCCCTCGCTTGGAGAGAAGATCATGTTCCTTATACAAGCGTCAAAGCTCGAAGCCCGGGCTGGGCTCGTGGACTGCACGATGGACTTAGACTTGACATCGGGCGAAGCTTTGTCAAGCCCATGAAAACGCCAGGTGCGCAGATTATGTGCTGTACTCCGGCGGACTTCTGTCCGCTACGTTTCTTCACGATATGAACTAAGGATTGTCGTACTTCCTGCTGCCCATGCTGAAGATGAGAGCTGTTTGCGTGGCGGACGACGGAGAGCGGCAGGCTGGTGTGCAACTTGGTGGAGGGCACAGCTCCTGCCAGGCATGCCGCGACCTGTTGCTATACATGTGAATGACTGTGGGTGCCAGGACCTTCTCGGGGCCTCGATCGATCACACCAAGAGCAGCATGTTCTCGGCAAGCTTCCAGCTAGGAACAATAACCGGGAGGAAGCCGTCGTCGAACGTCTGGTTCTGCTGCACAAGCCTGGAAATGAATTCCGGCGATTGTCTTACAGCACCAAAACGGAACGGCCAACCGAGGATGAGGTCGATGTTTGCGCAGATTACGTAGATTGCTCCGTAGACTATTCGTTCGTCCCGCGGGATACACTGCGCTTGCCGTCTGAGCAGGTTCCGACCAGCACCGAAGCACAGGAGGTCAACGCGCAGAGCTGGTATCAGGGCACGCGCTTCGCCTTGCAGACCGGCCTTTCCAAGTTCTGCGGGTCCAGAAACTTCGCGAGGGCAAGAAAATCTGCACATGTCGGGGTCTTACTTGCAGCGCTGCTCGACAATAGAAGCGACGGTGCTCGTTCCGCAACAGCCGCTTCCTTTATTGGTAGGCCGGGCGAGGCCGCAACTCTTGTGGCAGTTTGCGAGACCTCGGAGACGTTGCTGCCACACCAAGTGTGCGTATCAAGGGCGGGGTGGTGGTGGTGGTGGTGGTGGCGGCGGCGGCCGTGTTTTGGGTGAGGGTGGTGCCGTTTTTGTTGTGGGTGCGTCATCCGTCTGAGTTCAAGATCCAGTGTTGAAGCAAGCTAAACCTAGACGCCCAGATTCATCCAGATTCAGGAATATTCGAAGGGCAGGTTAAATTCATAGCATCAGAAACCGAAGCTGCGAACCCCAGACCGTATTCATCGCCCAGCAGCCGTGTTGAAGTTTGATGTCTACATGCTATACTTGGACGTTCATGGGTAGTTATAAGTAGGGTTATAAGTAGGAGAACTCTGGTCATAACCTGTATCAGGGGACTTATAACTCCGCTTACAACTACCCATGAAACTCCAAGTAAGGCATAAAGTTCGGGTTGTTCAGAACATGGCTGTGATTCAGGCCACCTCTCGTTCCACACTGCCAGCCGCAGGCCGTGATCTGGGCGGGAGAACCCCAGCAGTTTTGTGTTTTTTGGGGTCGTTTCAAGTCTCAGATCTCGGTCCCCTCCGTGGCCAAGCTCTTAAACCGCCTACACTTCCATATCCCGCATCAGAGCCCTGACAGGGGGAGATGAGCGCCAAAACCTAACCCTTGACCGTGTAAGCCCTGCCAAAGCGTGACATGCTCCCAGCAAGCTGAACCTCAAAAGGGTGGTTGCCAAAGCTTGGTGGAAGAGCCCAAATTGTTTCCGAAAGAAGTGAGTAGCTTAGGGCTTATGCAGTTCCAGTGGGGAGACTTGAGGTGCATGCCGACCCACAGGCCGACACAGCGAGATTGACTGCAGAGGGTGGATAGTGTTTGTGCGTGGGCCATTTGCAAGAATGTGGTCAAAACAGACCCTTGAGGTGTGAAACTTGTAGACCGTAACAAAGCCAAAACTTCAGCTTAAAGGGTGTTTAGCCCCTTAGGCCATCCACTTGGTCATATTAGGAGTACCTTGTTTCCGTGTTTTCGTAACAAAGATCCTGTCGTGACACGTCTGCAAAGGGGGCCCCTGTGTTTTAAATCCCGCATCAGCCCTTTGAGCCCCTGAACCCTTCAAGCCCTGAAAACTTCAATCAGTTTGAATCCTCAGCCGCAGAAGCAGGCGCGATGGATGGCAGGTGCTGCGGCCGTTGCCGTAAACAGTTCCCCGCGACGGAATTCGGCGCTCTTTTGTCGGTCGTAGTTTTGTGGGAGGATAGGGGCTAAAGTGAAGTTTAGCATGAAAAGGAGATTTTTTGGGTTTAGGGTTACGCACCTGCGATTCTAGTGGCACAGCCAACGTTCGCCGTGTCTTTTTGAGTTCCTGGATGTCTGCCCAACGGAAATGCATTTCAATTATTACCCTAAACCTTAAACCAAACCCTAACCCCGGACCCAAACCCCAACCGATTCAGACAAGGCTTTGCTTGGGCAGACACACAGGCACCCTCGTTCTTGCCTGTGGCATCCCCATGGAAACATTTCTTCCCAAATATCTCCCAACTCAGTGGGCCCATCCGACTCCCTATGTTGCAGATCGCTATGATCTGCTCTGCGCCATCAAACTTCTCACTGCCGTTCCTTCATGTTCTTGCCAAGTCTCCCAAAACTTTAGCCTTAAACAGCCTGAGGATGCCTTCAGGACCCGTTGACCCGAAAACCTTAAGCCGTAAATTTCCACAACCATACAAGCCTAAACCTCTACCTTTAACCGCAGAAAAACCTACACCCCAAAAGCCTAACACGCTGACCCTCAACAAATCCAATTGGCTTTTCCATGGAGGCAAGAGTGGGTAGGCGCGATTTCGCGGAAGTGTTTTCGATCCCAGAAGCGGTCAGTTCGTGCTAGGAGCCAGGCGGCTGTGACGATTAAGGGTTCTTCCATACAAGAAAAGGGTTAAGTGTTCTCAGGTTGTAGGGTTTACTTAAAGTCACGGAAAAGCTTGGGGTTCAAGAGGTTCAGGGGTCAGAGTAATTATGCGAAGCCATGGAAACAAACGAACCTGCGAGATTTCATATACAACCCTTCTGTTGAGGAGATGTTGTTTTGAGGCGTGGTCGGGGACAACCCTGAACCTCAACGAAACTGGAGCTGCAATCCTGTTCCCTAACAGCCTTAGCTCCAAACCTCGTTAAGCCCTCGATGCCCAGCCCTGCAGCCAAACCTCTGCAACTCAAACTACCCTTCCCTTACCGGACGTCCCTCCGCGATTTAGCTTTCAAGTTTGCCCTGCCATAGACCCAACACATGTGAAGACCAGAATTCCAAAATGCATTGTTAAGGCCGGCTGCATGGGACTATATGACTTTTGGAAGATCGCCTCTGTAGTACGGAGGGCCCAAGACGGGCCTAGACGTAGATTGATTAAGGTCGGACCTTGGAGCTTTCAATTCTTGGGCTTCTGGATTTCGTTTCCGGGTCATCAAGACAATGTGTCCTTCCAGTCTTTTGGTCATCAGAAGCTTCGAACTCTTGCTGTCATGTTGTGACCGGTCGTGTAACAACGGCAGCCGCCAAGCACAGCCACAGTAACAGGCACGAAAATCTGCGACAAATGTGCCGTTCAGCACAACCATCCCACCAGCCCGCACCAGCCCACACCACCGGACACCTCCCAACAACCCCACACCACCACCGCCGCCGCCACTGCCACCGCCACCGCCACCTCCACCACAACCACCCCCACCCCCACCCCCATCCCCAACCCCCACCCTCCACCCCCGCACCACCACCACCACCACCACCGCCGCTACCAGCAATGCAACCACCACTTGCAGCACAACATCAAACATCGCTGAAACGAATACTGGTACACAGGACTATCTCGCGTCTGGCGGAAAAAGACGGTCTGCATTGCCCAACCTGAAGGACCTGAAGGTCAGCTTCCAAGCTTCCAAAGCTTGTTTTCAACAGAATCGACTTATGAGAGTCGCTCTCGTAGGTGGGGCAAGGAGCATGTCTCAAGATGAATGCGCGTGCCAAATGTTTGTTGTGTCAGATGTGTGTTTGAACGCTCACATATCCGCTTTGGAGTTTCTGTCAGTTGTTCGTGGTGAGTTTTAGATCAAGGCTGGTATTTCGATCGGTGCGGTGATTCAGTGTGCCATCAATGACATCACCACGTGGTGATGAGTGCAGTCAGTGACACTGCAGCAGCAGCAGCAGTAGCAGCAGCAGTAGTAGCAGTAGCAGTAGCAGTAGCAGTAGCAGTAGCAGTAGCAGTAGCAGTAGCAGTAGCAGTAGCAGTAGCAGTAGCAGTCGCAGTCGCAGTCGCAGTGGCAGTGGCAGTAGCAGTAGCAGTAGCAGTAGCACATGGCACTGGCAGTGGCAGCGGCAGCGGCAGTAGCAGTAGCAGTGGCAGTAGTAGATGGTACTATTGACAATTGGTAGTGGCAGAAGTGGTACTCGTAGTAGTAATAATAGCAGCAGCAGCAGCAGCAGCAGGAGCAGCAGCAGCAGCAGCAGCTGCAGCAGCAGCAGCAGGAGCAGGAGCAGGAGCAGCAGGAGCAGCAGAGCAGCAGCAGCGCAGCAGCAGCAGCAGCACAGCAGCAGGAGCAGCAGGAGCAGCAGGAGCAGCAGCAGGAGCAGCAGAGCAGCAGCAGCAGCAGCAGGAGCAGCAGCACAGCAGCAGCAGAGCAGCAGCAGCAGCAGCAGCAGCAGCAGCAGCAGCAGCAGCAGAGCAGCAGCAGGAGCAGCAGCAGGAAGCAGCAGCAGCAGCAGCAGCAGCAGGCAGCAGCAGGAGCAGGAGCAGCAGCAGGAGCAGCAGCAGGAGCAGCAGCAGGAGCAGCAGCAGGAGCAGCAGCAGGAGCAGCAGCAGGAGCAGCAGCAGGAGCAGCAGCAGGAGCAGCAGCAGGAGCAGGAGGGAGCAGGAGGGAGCAGGAGGGAGCAGGAGGGAGCAGGAGCAGGAGCAGGAGCAGGAGCAGGAGCAGGAGCAGGAGGAGGAGGAGGAGGAGGATGAGTAGTAGTAGTAGTCATAATAATAATGAATAGTAGAACTAGTAGGAGGAGCAGCCGCAGCAGGCGGGAGCAGCAGCAGTAGCAGCAGTAGCAGCAGCAGCAGCAGCGGCAACTTGTGATTACAGATGTGGCCACCTCCAGATACGGTAACCAGCTGTCCTTGAGACAGCTCCATCGCCCCGTTGCCTATCCGCGAAGACGCTGGCCAAAGGCCGCCACGGCGGAATGCGAGCTTTCAAAACTGGGTACATTTATGGGTCTTTGGGACTTCGTAGGTGACACGGAGTGCTGGAACTTGCGATGCTTGTTGCGTGTGCTAGAGGTTTTGCCATATACTGCAGCGGGACTCCTTCAAGTTTTGGAGTTTCGACTATCTGTGGCTCTTGAACAATTCTCTCGGACTGACAGAGGGCCTGATTCTATGCTTTGCGGCTTGAGAGCTCCGGGATTTCGTCGCGAGGCTCGTTTACAAGCTCAAGAGAGAAGTCCGTAACAATACTCGTCGTCGTCGTAGTATGTTAGAAGCAGTGGGGGCGACGGTAGCAGTACCAGCAGTAGCAACAGCAGTAGCAACGTCTGTTTAGGAAATCTTATTCTTATTCTGAATGTTGATGAGTTTGTTCAGTGGTTACCATCCGTAGGCATACTACTCGTCTTCTTGTTTCCAGTAGTAGTCGTCGTGGTAGTAGCAGTCGTCGTGGTTGTCGTCCTCATCGTAGTAATTAGTAGCAGTAGAGCATGTAGCAGTAGAGGAAGTAGGTCGTGATAGTAGTAGCAGAAGAAAAAGTAGCAGCAGTAGTAGCAGCAGCAGGCGTCGTCTCCGTCGTAGTCGTAGTAGCAGTCGTAGTCGTAGTCGTAGTCGTAGTCGTAGTAGTAGTGGTAGTAGTTGTAGTAGTAGTAGTAGTAGTAGTAGTAGTAGTAGTAGTAGTAGTAGTAGTAGTAGTAGTAGAGGTAGCACTGCATTTTCTGTTGCGGGTATGGACAGCCCCGAGCCTCGACGAGAGCCTGAATGCCGCCCGTTCGGCGGCCTAAACCATCCTTCCCTCGGCTTTGAATTCCAAAACCTCAGGCCTTCTGGGCTGCTTGCTTCTCTCCCCACACCTCAAGTCAAGGCTCGCACGCAAATGCCAAACACTTGTTTCCTTTTCTCGTCCTGCCTCTGGCTTGTGGCTCCAGCGTCTCCCCTGGCCTGGGCCACCGGGGGGCCATGGCCGCCGGCGGGGCGGTAGAGCAAAGCTACCTGGTGAGGCTTGTTGGAGAGCGGAGTGGTTTTGTGGATAGTTAGTAGTGGGTCAAGGTAACCATGATGATGCTGTTGATGATCGAGCACCATGGCCATCACTCTCACCATTACCATCAGAACTGCAATCGTCCTCCAGTCCGCACCACCACCATTCTCATCATCAGCAGAAGCATCGTCACCATGACAACCATCGCCATGATCACCGTAATCGGCGGCTGCATGATCATCGGCACCATCCTATCCGCCCGAATGACCTGCTCATCATCATCATCATCATCACCACCACCACCACCATCACCATCCTATACGAGAGCTCATACGGCTGCACTCTCAACAGTAACAGAATCAGTTAATCATCATGACCATGATGAATCATCATCATAATCTTCGTCACCACCATCATCATTATCATTATCACCATCGTTATCGTTATCGCTATGATTATCATCATCATCGTCATCAAAAACATCATCAGCAGCATCAGCATCAGCATCACCACCATGGATCTTCAGCACCATCCTCATCGTCATCGTCAGTTGCACCAGCACCAGGACGGCACCATCACCAACTCCAGCAGCACCAGCAGCACCAGCAGCACCAGCAGCACCATCATCATCACCATCACCATCAGCATCAGCGCCATGATCACCATCACCATCATCATCATCATAATCCTCATCGTTGCCTTCAGCGTCACCATCATCATCATCATCATCATCATCCTACTTGTCATCAGCAGGAGCACCAGCACCAGCACCAGCACCCATAATTTCAATGTCTACGGCACAGAAGCCTAAGTCCGTAAACCCATTCAGGCCTCCACTCCCGACTGAACCCCGATCCTAGAGAGAACATCCATGAGGTTGAGAGACTGGAGGGCCTGTTTCGCTTTCTGTGCAAGACTGGAGAATCCAGGGGTCGGGCTCCCTTCAGGGTGTTTTGGAGCACCTTCTAAGACAGCCTGCTACACCTAAGTTGGGAGTTCAGAGTTTAGTGGTTTGGGCTTTCTACTAGTTAGGGCCTATAAGCCCGACACCCCCAAGCCCCAAACTCAGGACCCTGAAACCGAAGCCCTTCCCTTGAGAGTAACAGGCGGGCCGACCCCGATGATGTGGACACCATCGATGCGCTGTGCTGGGCTCAGGAACGCTGCCACCCCGGAAAGTCCTGACACCCGTCGAATATCCTTGAAAACAATTGCAGAGTTCCAGATGGTGATGACAAAGCTTATTGATTTCAGAATCCCTGTTTGAGCGTCCCGACGAAGGATCCCAGCTGTATTTTAGGTCATTTAATACTATAGGGCCTTAATCATTACCAATGCTATTTTGGGGATTCCTGTTTAGAAAAAATAGTATGGGCCCCAACACCCTAAACAAATTACTAGGGCCCCTATACTAGGGTCGAATGAGTTTGAGTCTTTTTGATTTTCTTGCGCCGGAAAGTCAGGCTCCCTAAACCCTACACCCTAAACCCTAAACCCAAATTACGGCGAAGGATTCAGGCTTTAAGAGCGCTGCACCCCGCGGTCTAGCGTCTACTACAGGGGCTTGAATACCTAGAATAGGGTTTCTTTCAAGGGCTCTATGAGGGCTACTAGAAGGGCTAGTACAAGGATTCAATGTAGGGGCTTTAATAATTTAAAGAGGGTGTTGCGGCCCCAATATACTATAATTATAATAAGGAAGCCCAGAATAGTAATTGGCAACTATTACGGCCGAGTAAGATTTGGGGCTTGCGTCGGTCTTCTGAAGCGGCTTGGCACCTGGTCTGTTGCCACGAATACTGTGTACTCATATTATTCGTATATTCGTATTAGTATTAATATTAATATTTGTATGAAGAAAAGTATATACATATATAAGGAACGCCCAAAATGAGTTCGGCCCTTAAATGAGGGGTTTACGGGGCATCACAGCCCAAGGTACGATCGGCTCTACGGCGATGGCAACTTCTCAGCCCCTTTGCTGCCGTTTCTTCCACAAAGGTTTCGGACATCCCCGAGCTACAATGGGTAGTTAGCAGCCAACTTCCCGGTTTCAGTACGTTCTGAAGCCATCATTGTTGCACTCTCCAACCCGAATGAGCGGCTGCACTGTGTTCTGGTTTCTCAGACGTGGCGGTGAGGCTCTTGGCTTTTATGAAGCGTCAGAGAGAAGAGCAAGAGAAACGGACACTTGTAGAACCGATGGCGAGAGCATAAGGCTTGAAGGCCTTTATAGAAACTTGGGTATCGTGGAGGCCCAGCCCTTTGCCCTAAGCCCTTGCAGCTACTAGCCTCAGCCCAGCTCATACTCTCCCGGAAGCGGAAACCCGGAGCCCAAAAAGATTAAACCCTTGCCAAGATCCCCCCTGACAGCCCTATAGTATCATAGCTTGAACCTCAAATTGTTCTTCGTCTTCTGATACCTCGTCCAAGGAGGCCCTCGCCATCTTCCACGCGGTGGACAAAGGTGGCGGGGAAGTGGCCGGGGGGACCCGGCGGGGCGGGTGGTGGGAGAGGAAAGACCGGCGGTTGTTGATTATGTTACAATATGTACATATATATACACACACATACTGCATACAAGTACATTGTATAGTTTATATCATTATTGATATCCTATTGTGCACACTATGTACTACACATTCCTACATATTTATATATTATTTGTTACAGATGACATATTCGATAGTAAACTAGAAAGCATTTGATACCGGATATTGGGTATTAGATAGTAGATATCAGGTACAACAAATTTGATAGTAGGTATCAGATAATCGACAGTCGATATGAGATATGAGGTATTGAATATTGGATACGAGATATTGTCGATTCTTTAAATATTAAAAACTGCATTGTATATTACACGGTTTAACGTATATTTTGTGATAAATTGTTGGATGTATTATGTTCTATTCTATTATGAACTATGTTACCTTAAGTTAGCATGTAGTATGATATTATACTGTACCATATGGCATTATATTGTATAAGTTTGTACAGTATTGTATAGTGTTTTATTATCCTATATTATCCTGCCTTGTCTTGTATTATCTTGTGTCAGCTTGTGTTATCTTGTACTGTCTTGTATGGCCTTGAATTATCTTGTTTATTAGTGAATAATGGTGTATCATCTTGCGTTATATTGCAACGTGCTGTGTTCCAGTGTATTATGGTATTTTGTAGCATATGATATATTGTCGTTATATTTCATTGTAGTATATCACAGTATATCATACCTAATTTTTAGTAGTATATAGACAGTGTTTCTAATGAGTTATAGTGCTTTCTAGTATTTTATTGTAGCACAACATGTTGTATTACCTTGTTCTACATGGTACTATAGATAGCACTACATACTTTGCAGTTAGGGACATCTCCTACATCATGGCGTGGGCGCTTTCGAGAGATCGAGATCGCGATGCGTGGGTTCAGGGCGTAAAGTGGGAAGCCTGAAGAATCCAATCCCATCAGATGACACGTCGGGGGGGCGGGAGTGGTATCATGCCGGAACAGTCGCGCTAGTGGCCGGGTGTTGAGACTAAGGCAGGCTTGCAGCACCCTTCCTAGCCACCCCGACTCTTCGGCATCTTATGATTGAATCTGAGAGCAAAGCCCTGGCATGTGTAGCATCGGAAGGATCCGATGACCGTGTACTACAAGGATTCCAAAAAGGATGCCTTGTAAAAGGCATGCCCCCTTGGGCCTTAATGAGCACCTATACTATTTTGGGGATTCCTTATTACATTTATGGTATAATAGGCACCAAAACCCTATTCTAATTATTAAGGCCCCTATATTATACTACCCTTATAGTACCCATATAGTACCCTTATAGTATCCCTTATTATGAAGAGCTTGTTGCCCCGTGGCAGGTTTCCTGACCAAGCAAGACCTCCGGCTCAAGTTCCTGCTGTCCCTGGTAGAGTGGGAGCCCCAGAAGCCAAGCCAGGCCTAGGATTAAGTAGGACCTTGGAGATTTCTGAAGGTTGTTTATAAGGGTCTTTGCAATCGAGACCCTGCTACTTACCCTTCAACATTCATTGTTTGGGTCCCAATTTTTCTGAAAGTCTAGTCTGGGACAGTGTCAGAGAATGGGTGAGGCAGAAGGTTCACAAGGCTACTTATTCGGCTTGAGAGTGTGTCTACTTTGCCTGATTGAGGTGAGAACCTGGGTTGAGAGGTTTGAGGGCTCCGGGGGTCATTCAGCGGAGTCCAGTCTTTTGATCTTAGCCCTGGTTTCGCTCTGCCAGAATCAAAAGCTCACCGCTAGCGAAACCCATCCGGCAACAGCTTTGCTGCATGTTGCTTGGCACAAGGAGGTTCGGCTTGGGAGTTAGAGTTCCTGCGATGGAGCTGACAGGTTTCCAGGTCCCGTGGGGGTCACGGCTCATGTCCATGAACTCGTGGCTTGCGATGATGCTTTGAGCCTCTGCTGAGACTTCCGTAAAGCCCATGGAGTGCCAAAGCTTCGCGCGAACTCCGAGAAGCCTTAGAGCCCTTGGCATTGCGTTTACTGTACAGCTTGACCAATTACTGGCAGTATTCCTTCGGGCTCCTTGTGTTGATGTCTGATGTTATAACACATTTCCAGAAACCCTTCATTATCGGAAACCGGGAACCCCATACATTAGATCCTTAACTCGCAAAACTGCACGCATACATCTGAAAGCTGGACCATCAAATCGTACACCTGAGTCTCCCTGACAATCAGCACTTCAATCGCAAAACTCAAAGTGCGACGCCCAACTCTCAAATCGTCAGCCATAAAAAGCTCGTCGTGCTCCCCTCCTCCCTGAACCCCGCCAAAGTCTATGCAAACCTTAAACCCTAACCGTAAATCCTTCGGACTCCGATGCTGGTGACACACCATGCGGACGAAAAGGCATTCAGCAAAACAAAAGCTTTAAAGCGGCAAAGCCCTAACCGAACCCTGCGGAGGACTTCTTTCATGTCCGTCACCGTGGAGGACGAGGAAGGCCACGTCGTCGGCTTCGCGGTCTTGGACGCCGGGGCACTCGGACGAGTGATCTCTAACATAACAAACTCTAACATAGTATAGTACGCTTTAATGTAGCACACGATAATATATCAATATATTACAATGCAATATAAGCTAACCTAATATGACGTAATATGAAATAATATGATATTATGCAGCAATATAATATCTGAACTCTGTGAACCGATCGGGTGGAGGGTTTAGGGTTTCAGGGGCTTCAGGGTGCTTAGGGTTCAGAGTTCAGAGTTTTAAAGTGTTTCGCTCTTGAAAGCCTTTGGGCACCTACGGTGGTAATCATCCTAATCGTGCTCGCAACATCAAGAAATTTTATTCACCTAAACCTTACATGCTAAGCCCTGAACGCTGAACGTTCGGGTTCTTGATTTTAGGGGCTTTGGAGGTTCCAGGTCCAACATTGGCAGACGTCGGGTGGAGGAGCTGTGACTTCCTAGCCTGCGTGTGGGAGTTTCCGAAAATGGTGGACCCTAATATAGTACCCGAAATAGTAGGGTCCTTATTATACGGACCCCCAAATAAGGTACCCCCAATTTTCGGAAGCTCCCGTGTTGTCAACTGCTCCAGCAGTCTGTGCGCTCCGTCACCCCTGTGCGTTAGGGAGAACCGTCACTCACAAGATGCTTGAACCTTTCGTCCCAAGTTGATGCGACGAATCCTCAACCCCGGACCCCAGTCTCCTAAATTGTCACACCGAACAGTATGAAGGAGGTTACCAGGAAGGCATACGGAAGCACAGGCAACATACCGGACCCAAGACCCATATTGAGACGTTTCCTGAAATCAGACCCTGAAATCCTAATGACCATGCAACAGAACCTATACCCTGTGAACAGAAATGCCAAACCCTTATCCGTAGCCTAAGTCTACATCACGGAACTATGCAGCGTCGATTAAGCAATACGATGCAGCCTTTCTTTTTTTTCAGGGCTTCGGTGGGTTACATAAGACTCCTTTTGATATTGGTGAGTGTACAGCGCGTCTTCGCAAGGATACGCCACTCCACCTCTCGGCCTCGGAGGCATGTGGGCTCAGGAAGAGGTCGACAAACGACTACGACTACGAAACCCCTGAGCTCCTGAACCTCAAGCTCCCAACATGAAGGATGCTCATTGCCAACCGCAACAACAACAGCAACAGAAGCAACAACAGCAACAACGGCAACAACGGCAAGAACAGCCACAGCAGCAACAACAGCAACACAGCAACGACAGCAACAACAAGCAAACCTACTGCTACTGCGGCATACTGCTGCTGCTGTTGCTGCTGCTACGGCTACGGATACTACTACGGCTGCCGATAAGGCTACCGCTGCCGCTGCTGGTATTGCGACTGCGGCTGCGACTAGCTTCCGTTACTACTACAACGACTAATGCGATTACGACAACTGCCATCACCACTACTACGACTGCCACTTGATTTTTTACTGCCGCTACCATGACAAACGTTACCGCGATGGCCTTACCATGGCTTTTGCAACGGTAAGTGCGAAACCGATCTATTTGGTTCCGGATCAGGAAGATTGTAAACAGAAATTATGGTGAGATCGGCGAGCGGTGATCTACAGAAGACGTGGCGAAGCAGCCGAAGCAAACAATCAAGTCAGTGAGTAAGCAAATAAGTACATACGTACGTGCACAGGTAAGAAGGGGGGTCGATCTAAGTACGTAAAGGTAAGGCCATATCCTTGTATGAACATATGTATACATACATACATACACGTAGAAACACATATGTATAAATTATGTATATATATATATATGCCCATGTACATATGTACGTATATATATACATATATTGATGTATGTATATATATATATATATATATAGGTTGTCATATACATTCATCTACATAGGCACATACATATCTGTATGTGAGTGTGTGTATGTGTACATGTTTATGTATATGCAGGTGCACGTATATGTTTAGCTCAAGCCGAGGCAGGGATATTATGCATGTAGTTGGTTCGACTTCATGCAGCCACACTCGCCTGGCAGCCTCGTTGATTCGGATCGGTTCAGATCAGCAAAGATGAAACGACGGTAGCCCTGTTCCTGCCTGGTCTTCGCAATGGCTGTAGACGCGACAACTCTATTTCCGAATCCAGTTCCGACTGCCGAGTCGGGACCAGCCATGTTGAAAGGTGCTCCATGGCTGGATGCCAACTGGCCCTACATCAGCACGTTTCTGTGTCCCATATTCTTCCTGCTGCCTTTTGCCCTGGCTAAATCTCCTCGACAAGCTCTTCAGAACCCGTACGTCCTGGGATGGCTGCCGGTGGCTTTCTACTGCTGGCACCAGACAGAGGAGCATGCCCACGACCTTCGCGGATGGCGCTATGCCTTCGTCCCCAACTTTAATCACACAGTCGGAGCCCTCCTCTTCAAGAGTTGCGAAACTATCGGACACTTGAGCTGCCCACTGAATACACGCCTAACCCTTTACGTCAACGTCATGGTGGTGTGGGTGGGATTTGTCGGAACCATGGTCTCTGCCCACTACCTAGGCGGACCTTATGCTTTTGCAGGACGCCTGAGACCAAATATCGCACCACCGGAAGCAACCCTACTGTACAGCCGTAGCACCGATCGTGATTCCCACACGAAGAAGAATGCTAGTAGTGATTGGTGCAAGAACATGATCACGATGCTCATCGAAATCATCGTCATCATCATCATCATCATCGCCATCACCAGCATCACCAGGAGGATCAGCATCAGCACCACCAGCAGCAGCAGCTGCAGCTGCTGCTGTACCCGACAGCTAGGAAGTAAATGCAACATAATATGTAGTGTAACCGTCTCCTTAACAATAGCAGCTGACATGACCAGAAGGCCTGCTAACATAACATAGTTAAAACTAGTGGACTGCCAACTAGTGGACTGCCAGTCGACAGATAGGAAGTCATCATCTTCTCCGCAATCATTATTCCCAGCATGAGCGCGCATGGTGCGAGCATGAGCATGAGCATCATCAGCATCATCAGCAGCATCATCATCGTCGTCATCACCATCGTCGCCAGTCGTTGTCGTCAATGATGTCACCGTGACCATAAGAACAGTAGTCATCATGATAGCAGCACTGCTGAAGTTAATATACCAAAATCGCAGGACTCGTCAACTGGGGCATGAGCGTTGTGAATGCTTTTGGGGGCCACCTGCTTCCATTCCTCTTCATGGGTTACAATCCTGGTGCTTTCCAGCCCCGCGGTTCTGCAAATTCGGAAGTCTCGTCCACATTTTTTGGCTTTTTGAAGTTGGAGAATCTTGAGGCTCCCAGAGCAGTAACTGTGGACAGCAGTTCGTGCGAGTATCAGCAGCACCCAAGGAGCCTCTTCATGTTTCTCTTCGGCATCTATGCCATCTCACGCGGTGGAAGGCGTCTGGCAGTGGCCAGTATCGTCAACGGCGTCCTCTTCCACATTATCACATTCGGTGTCGGCACGCAGCTGGGCTTGAGGGATGATGCGCAGTGCGGAGTAGTTCAGTTCAGTGACGTGGCATCCCGTGTTCATGTTGCGGAGGGCTTGATACTGTTTGACACGGTTTCGCCGTGGCTGGAGAAGCTGCCGTTGAAGCGATTGTCTTTCTGTCGCAAGCAAGGCTGTCTTGCACATGTAGCCAGGAATCTGGTTCTCGTCGCCCACTGGCCAGAAGAGCTTATGGCGGTTCTGAGTGCTTCGGGCGTTCATTCAGTAGCTGTTCAACTCGCTCCTTTGCTGGTTTGTGGGATATGGCAGCGGGATGCTGTCGAAGGCATCATGAGAGACAGGTTTGGACACATTGAGTATGCCCGTCTCCATCAGGTCTGCGAGCATTCGAAACCCGCCCTTAAGTCTTTACCGTGAAGCTGCGCGTGTAAGGCGTCGTCGGCACTTGGCCCATGCCTCTTCTCGTGGCGCGCTACTTCGCGCCAAGGCAGTACGACAAGTTGGAGGACTTGATGAGGGGTGGGCTCTTGGAGTTTACGATTGCATTGGGCTTTGGGCTTTAGGGTTCCAGGGTTTAGGGCTTACAGGTGAGCCTGTGGGGTTCACGGAGCAGGGTTTGATTTAGGCGTGAAAGCGTTTCACAACGTGAATCCAAGCTGTCAGGAAACAACCACGGGGTTCCTTACTATATTTATAGTATAATGGGCCCCAAAATCCTATTCTAATTGTCAAGGCCCCCTATAGTAAACGGCCACAACAGAGAACCCACAGCCTTCCCCTAGGACCTGGACGACTCTGAGAACGACGAGTCGCCGTGAGATGCGGCGCATCCTGCTGAGCACACGAGCGGACTTGCGGTTGAAGGTTTAGGCTTTAGGGTTTCTGAATGAGAGACTGGGGTTTTGGGGGGGGTGTTGGGGTTCAGGTCAGGGTTTTAGGCCAAATTCTAGGCCTTAGGCTTTGGAGGGCCTCATGCGGTTTAGGGTCCAAGCCCTGTGATTTAGGGTTCGGGTTTGGGCAAAGCCTCCCTTTTTGCCCGGCACCCTAAGACCCTTTACTCTGGCTTACCGCCAAAAACTCAACCTCTGAAGCCTCAACCCTGAACTCTCGGTGCCTCCTTCCCCCCCACGACAAGAGAGATGAGGGTTTCCATCATCTGGGGGCAGGCAGAGTTTGGAGCGGATCGGCTGGAGCCTGGAGCAACGTACTCCTGGGGTTTCGGATGTAGCGTGTAACACAAGGCCCACAACAGTAACCTCCCTACAACCCAAACCCTAAAACTACCCAGAACCTAGAACCCTTCACGATGTTTACTTCTTCTGCCTGTTATCACCACGTTTTCTGATATAGGGTCGTGCTTCTTCATGGTCAAAACCCTAAGTCTGAAGGCCACTTGCATCAGTGCGCTCCATGCCGGGCCCCCGCGACACTTCTTCCCTCGTCAGATCAGATGCAGACGGAAAAGTGTGGTCAGGAAGAACCCAGATGGGCTTACTTGAGCTGGGTGCAGGGTTCTCTGGCTTTGTGAATGCATGGCTGAAGCATTGCGAATCCGAAGCTGGAGCTCCCACATCCCATGTCTTCACTTAGGCGAACATCCGTACGCCCGGAAACCCTAGCCCTACAAGCCCTCAACCCTGAAGTCTGAGCCCTCAACCGGCAGCCTTCAACCGTAAATCCGGTTAGGCTGAAGGGTTTGGCTTCAGCAATTCGGCTCGGTCTTCCGGCATCGGGCATGTTGGGCTTGCAGATAGCTTATGTTTGGGAGTTTAGGAATGGGGGGCCTTGATTCCTCTTTTGAGGACTTTGTGGGCCTACATTTGGAGGTTTCAATGGCTTTTTCCACAAACTCCTCCCGCTTCCCTCGCCCTTTCCTTGAGCCCCTCGGCCGAATACACCTTTTTCTTTGAGGGAGCCCGAAGCCAATGGACTCCGAAAGCCTAAAACCCTAAAGCTCTCAAATCCTCAACGCCCCTCGAAACACCTCTAAGCCACTCTAAGCATCAAATCTCGGCCCTTTTCCGTTCTTTTGGAGGTTCATGGGTAGTTATAAGTGGGGGCATAAGTCCCCTAGTATACGTTATAACCATAGTTATCCTACGTATAACCCAACTTCTGACTACCCATTCACCTCCAAGCTTTCGGAGGAGGGCGGCACAGATTGGGAGCGGTGGTTTCAGGCGCCAGCGGTAAAGCCAGACCTGAAACTTCAAGGGCTAGATTGGCTTTGGAGTTTAGGGAGGCTTAGGTTTTCGATTTCGGGGAACTTTTCCTGCCTTTTCGGCTGCCTTCCCGATCTCGGATTCAGGATCTTAGGGTAGCTGGGGTACGCTGGGCTTGTGGATGCAAGTTAGGTTTCTCAGTGCCAGACCCTGTGGTGGTGCTATGGATTCGTGAGACCGATGTGCATCTCTTGACTAAGTTAGCCAAGACTGCACACGCTGCAGAGCAAGAGTGTAGCATGCCGTGAGCGTGAGCAAAACTTAACGAGGGCGATGCGCGTCGGGCGAGATGAATGGGTGCTCTAGTCACGCCAGGATGCGTTTCAGCAGCCGGATGTGAACAACACCAACACGCTGTGGTGCCTCGACAGTTTAGAGGGGAAGCCTAGCTTGAGTTTACCTTCTGGGGCTTGTCGTCAGGATGCTCCATTGTCAGGTTTTGAAGTTCTGTTCAAGACATGTTGAGCGAACGCAAAGGAAGATGCGGACAGCCAGACATATCAAGACAGAGATGCGACCGCTTCAAAGCAGTTTGACAGCAGCAATACTGACACGAGACTTCAAGCGAACAGCAATACTTGATGTCACCAGCAAATGGCAATAGCAAGACTCATCATGACCTTGAATAAGACATACGAAGACAAGTACAGCGATAATGTCAGAAAGCGGCGCTACAACTCGGGAGACATGAGATAGCACTAAGCGAGTACAGCAATGCAAAGCTTCACGGCTATCGTGGTGTAGTTTGTACGGCAATATGGAAACACAGCGGCACAGCATGTCACATAGTGCCGACCCCTGTAGGGATGCAACAACGAGGATGTTTCGATCTAGAAAGATACTGCTAGGAGACTTGGCGACATCGAGTGTTGGAAGACTTTAAGGCAAAGCAGCAAAGCAACCTGCGTGTGGCAGTCTTGCTTTGTGCACGCATGGCAAAGCGATATCAATCCGTGAAACTGCAGTATTGTGCGCTAACAGCGTGCCCGTAAGTGTGCCCATGAAGCATTGCTACTCGGTCATGAATAGCAAGATAAGGTATCACTGGTATAACACCGTGACTGCATGCGAGACTATTAGCTCTTCGGTGCGAAGCCCCACGTAGCCCTTCAAAGAGCGCTTCTTTGCCTTCAGGTTCTCGATCTGCCTCGTAGAGCCGGACGCGGCGATCATGGCGGAGGTTTTCTGAAGGGAAAATAGGGTTCCTTGAAGGGTCCCTTTAAAGGGATCTATAGGGATTCTGTGAGGGTTTAGGGTTTAGGGCCTACTTGGAGGTTCATGGGTAGTTACAAGTAGAGTTATAAGTAGGATAACTATGGTTATAACCTGGATCAGGGGACTTATAACCCTATTTATAACGACCCATGAAACTCCAAGTAGGGTTGAATGCTGGTCGCTGCTAGTCCTTTAGGCTCCTTATTAAACTCTAAGTTTCAAAACATAGGGGCCTAGATAATTACCAATACCCTTCTGGGGATTCCTTGTCATATGTACAGTATAGACCCCAAAGCCTCATCTTAATTATCAAGGCCCCTAGATTGGACTCCGTACGCCGCGCTCTGCTCCAGTTCTAGGAGCTTCGCCCTGGGTTGTAGGTGGGTTTTGGGGGTCAAATCTCGGGTTTGGGCTTTAGGGTTTAGGGTCTAGGGTTTAGGGTTACGATTTAGGGTTAGGGTTTGGGGTTTGTGTTTTAGGGTTAGGGTTTGGGGTTCGGGGTTCGGGGTCAGATTTTGGGGTTTTGGGGTTTTAGGTTGCAAGAAAGGCTGCTTCTGGTCCCTGGCTATTCGGATTCGGCACTGCTGCAAGGGAGGCTGCTTCTGGTACCTGCAGGTGCGTTTAGAATTACGATTTTTTTCTTACCGTTCCCACCACCACCAAACATCTAGGAAGGAGGGTTGAGTGGATGAGCAGAGAAGCCTCGGCGGATCATTCCGACCCTTACACCCATGAACCCTAAACTTCCCTAAACCCCAAACTTCCCTATACCCAAACTTCCCTATACCCTAACTTTCCATAAGCCCTAACATTTCCATAAGCCCTAACATTTCCATAAACCCTAAACTTCTGTGACCGTACTCCCTCTGCAATTCGGTTTTTTCCGCCGGGAACCCTTTGCCCAGGGCCCGGAGGCCTTCGGCCCAAGGTCACTGCGTGGGCTTCCACTTACTGGATCATGGGACTTAGGAACTACCTTAACTCGGAATAGCCTACCTCTTTAGGGATGTATATAAGGAAATCATAATAAGGAACCCTAAAAAGGTGGGTTCTTCAGGGTCCAGGTAGGGTTATTACCACCTACAACGACTTATAACCCCAATTAAGGTACTTATAACCTCACTTACTAAGTCCCATGATCCTCCAAGTATACAGCTCAGACCCCCCCGGCGGAAGGATCAAAAAAGGTAGATCCCCTAAACTCCTAACCCTTAAACCCCAAACCCTAAACCCTTAAACCCCTAAGCCCTAAACCCCAAACCCTAAGTTGGTACCAAGGGTACTTTATGTTAATTGATTCTAAGCCCTCGGCCAGGCTCGTAGCAAGCTCCGCTTTTTAGGATTCGGGGCTACCGGCTTCAAAATCACCCGTCCAGCTCACACCCCAAAGCTAAACCCTTGAGACCAAACCTTAAAAGCTCGACCCCAAAGATTCGCAATCCCTCCGAAATCGGAAGCTTGCACCAGATCTTGCGAACTACTTTCTCGACGATGCCAGAGCTTCGGCATCTCCTCGTCTTCGTGCCCTCCGCCATCTCCGAGGAGCGGCTTCAAAACCCTACTTGGAGGTTTATGGGTAGTTATAAGTAGGGTTATAAGTAAGGTGATTATGGTTATAACCTATATTAGGGGACTTAGAACCCCACGGATAACTAACTACCCATGCACCGCCAGGTGGACCGTAGGCCCTGGAGGCCCTGAGACAAGCCTTCGTTTTCGTTTCAACAACACTTCTGGCTGTCAGTCTGAGTGTTTCCCAGTCAGCCGCCGTGTCATTATCTCAGCAATCGTCCGGAGCAAGTGCCTGCGAGTAGCCATGAGAGACCGAGATGTTTGCTGAGTGACTGTCATTGCTCACAGACCCTACTGTTCTCAACAACTTCTTTCTGTTGAAGGTTCCTGGTTGCCTCGTTAGCTCAGGATCGCATGCGACGTATCCCACAATTTTTGAAGGCTATTCCCCAATTGAGAGATTTGGAGTGGTACCTGTCATCATCAGAACCAGAAGTGATGTATCAGTGCTGCGAGTAGTATGACAACAGTGCATATGTCTAGTTTATGCGTGCCACAGCTGTTATTGGTGGCACCGTAGTCCCGGAGTTTGTCGCTTGCAAGCTCTCCAGCAGCTTTGAACTCAAAGTCTTGTGATTACTTGCAATTCTTCTCCTCCTCCTCCTCCTCCTCCTCCTCCTCCTCCTCCTACCCCTGATATCGGATTTCTGATCTCCTAATGAAAGGTTTGTCTTGACAAAAGGAAACCGTTGAGTTCTGGACTCTAGACCCCAAGCTCGACGCCCCGACACGGTTGTTATCGCTATGCTCACTGTGATTACAGCCGTCTCTATCCTCCCACTGTAGCTGCTGTCTTCATCGCCTTTCTACTCCACTCTTTTTGATCCTGGTTCCTGCACCCCAAAGAAACTCCGAACCTGGAGGATGCAGCTGTGAAAGTCCTCCAGCCCTTTCAGTCGCATTTCGTGCAGCTCGATGCCTGTGCCTCAGCCAAGGGGGGAAGCAGCCACCCTGAAGCCGAAATCGCCGAAATCATGACTGAAATGGTATTCCTTGTGAGTTTCTTCAAAACTCTCACTTGAATGTATTCAATCTTCTCATCCAACCTTGAAGTCTGAAGTCCGCGAGCCCTGAAGCCTCCAGCGCAAAGCCCCACAGATGGAGACGGAAGAGCTTATGGCGATGAACCACTGGGCTGCGCCGAGCCGGGACCCTGATTTCTGTGTTGCGGCTTGCGGGGCTGTGGGTCTTGAATGCTGTAGCACTGTAGGATTACATGTATATTTGTTAATACGCTATAGTGAAATGGTATGATTACTCCTGTTTCAGCATTAGCGACCCTTGTTGTGTGTGTGTGTGTGTGTGCCTGACCACGGTCAGAATCAGGAACTAATTGTGCCGACAAGCTCTTGTTCGTGATCATAACCATGTGCATGCTCGTATCACAACGCTGATGGCTTTGGCTTTGGCGCTCACATTGCTTTGTGTACGTAGGTCTCTCAAGCCTTCAGGGCGGTTCTTTGGGCGTTCTCAGGCTCATGGGGTTTAAGACCCGGGGTTTGCATGGGTCTTACAGCTCAGGCTTTGAGGAACGTCATCCTACAAAGAGCGCAGCAGATGGACTTTGGATGCCTGAAGCAGCATTCCTCAAGCCCTGACTCCCACACCCCGGTCAAGAATCACCTCGAGCCCTCAAATCCTGCACCCCAAATCCCAAACCCTTCATGAACCCGATGCGCCTGATTTGTCTGGGCCTCCATGGTGTTGTTGTTGGCTCCCCAAAGCCCTGAAGCCTTCAACTTGTTGAACTGGGGGAGTTCCAGAAAAAGGCCGATCCTCATGCGCCATGCAGACCCCAAGGGGTAGCATCTGTAATGAAGCGACCGCCTCCCGTTCCCCTATCAAAATGAAAGAAAGACAGCAGCCTTGCGATTCAGAATCCCCTAAAGACTTTCTGAGCCCGTTCCAGTCCCACTCGAGGCCACCTGAAGACTACAGAGATCTGAACAGTCGTACCCTATACAGTCAGTCTTTGGGAATGGTGTTCCCCTTTCCAGTTTCTTGCTAACCATAGCATTACAACATTCATTCGAGGTTCCAGCCTGGCTAAATCATCCCCAAGCTCCGAACTCTACCATCACTACATGCAATAGCACAGAACGATGCGGTTTTCAAAACTACATGGGCCTGACTCATTGCCAATGCCATTCCGTCGGGCTCCCTATTCTACTTTTCGTACGATTTGGGAATTCCCGAAAAGTGGGAGTACCTTACTTTGGGGTCCTTATTCTAGGGACCCTATTATTTAAGGTACTATTTAGGGTCAAATGGGAAATTCCCACGTATCCCCCAAGGCCTGTTCTGACTGCAAAGGCTCTTGTAGTGTTGTAAGAAGCAAACGACGAAGAATCCTACAAGTTACCCCTACTCTAAGTATTCCAGCTTGGGTACTGCCCACACTGAGTAACAGTTGGATAATATTCAGAATATAGAGAAATTAGGACCTTAATAGTAGCCCTATTATAGACTCTTATTGTGGGGCAGTACCCAAATTCTAGACATTTTGATTCCCGGATGCACATGACCCGGGCCAGGTCCGGAGGGCCATCCTCCGATGGTTCTTTGCTGCAACCGCTCTCAGGCAGGGCTGGCAGGGCTCTCCGTGGGATCCGCGCGCTCAAGTCCTTGAAACTTAGGGCTTAGGGCTCTGTAGGGCCCTTCATTTCTGCACGTCGTGAGTTTAGGGTTTGTCGGTGTAGGGCAAGTAGCCCGAAGCTCGAAACTCCGAACCAAAAGCTTGCAACTCTGAAGCCTAAGCCCTTAAGCAACATCTGAGATCATAAAGCTGGAAGAAGGTGCAGTAACTTGAAACGACAGCAACCAAAGCACACATGCACTGGAGGCCGGGCCCTCCGTCCTAAACGCCTATTGTGGCCTAGTCTAAGGGTCTGCATGATTAAGAATACTCCCGTACAGTCTCTACAACAGTGTACAGGGTATTCTCCCGTCACCGAAAAAGCCCTGTCCTAATTAACCAGGCCCCTTCATTACTTTTTTTATTAATGACTTGAAGGGAGGGTCTGGATCCTTCAAACATGGGGTAATCATGAAGGGCCCTCACGAACCGAAGCGTCAACGTCTCTTCCTCCATCAGGTCATCGCGCCTCTGGGTATCCGCATCGCTCGAGTGGAGGCACTTTGGAGGGCAGAGCTCTGGGTGAGGGGCTTTATAGAGGGGCCTCTGCAGGGCGCTTCGGACTCCAGGCGGAGCTCGTTGACAGGCTTCAGTGGTTTAGGATTGGAGATCGGCACTTGATATTGGATTGCTGCTTGGCGCGTGTTGCTACGGACTATTCTCGGCATGAATCAGATCGGTGGATTCAAAGGTCTGGGTTCCAGGGTGTCAGTTTGTCTGCAGCGACACGAAGGCTTTCTGGTCTAATGTTGTTCAAGTTGTTGCCGGCGTCAGCATCAGCATCTGTGTCAGGATCACCGCTAACGGCTGGCAGCTTCGTCGTGAATGCCTTAGGCGGCGATGACGTTGCGGATCAGAGTGACGAGAATGATGAAGCTGTTCTGACGATGGCCATCATCGGCATCTTCTTCGCCATGATACACAACTTTGTTGAGCAGTGCACGGTTCAAAGCAGAACCTGTTGGCATTCTCCCAACCATCCACAGAAGTTTGCTAGGCCGCACCGTTCCAGCGGCTTGAACAGCACCATGACACCATGCCGCAGACGCGAAGGCATAAACATTGAAGGCCAGAAGCAACGTCGACTCTCTCTGCAGTTTGTGGGTTCTGCCTCGCAGGGAGCCTGCAACCCTGCAGCAGAACTGTGGGTAATGAAGACGAGGTTCGGTTAATAGAGTTTACTATTCCTGCATTGTCCGTATTAGTTCATATAGAATACACACCCAATTCCGATTGGAATTCTCAATAAAGGGCCCTTAAGTACTGATAGGCGAGGGTGAGACGGGCCCATAAAAGCAGCACACAGCTCAGAAGCGAGGATCACGACAACCTCGCAGCAGTCTTCGACGCCCAAAGCGAGGTTGGTTCGCTCAGTGCTACCTTTGGATTTTGGTTGTTTGAATTCCTTCGCGCTCTGTGTACAAGGCCCACTTGTGGCCCATTGCATCGAGCGAACCTGGGATTTCAGATCTTCTCTGGCTTCTGGGTCCCGTATTCAAAGAGCTCTCTGCGTTTAGGGTTCCGGGTCTTCGTGTTCAGTCGTTGAAAGACTCTTAAACAAACAAACTTCGCACATGATGTATTTCTGCATGGGTTGAGTGAGCACGCTGCGCTGAAACGAAAGTTAAAGCCATCATCTCACGTCAAGCACTCTCTCTCTCTCTCTCACTCGATAAGTATGTGCATGTAAGTATGTTTATATATACACCTATAAATACATATGCTTATCTACCTCTCTATTTTTCTATTCATCTATCGATCTGTCTGCCTGTCTGTACCTGTATATATCATATATGTACACACTGAAATATGCACATATATATATATATATATGTATACACATGCATCTCTCTCTCTCTATATATATATACATATATATATATATATATGTGCACATACACCAGAACAATAACATGTACATGTACATGAATATGTATATGTCTATGTGCATGCGGATGTGCTTGTAGACGTATATGTGAATGTGTATGTTTATGTATATGTGTATGTATATGTATATGCAGATGTATATACATGTGCATATGTATATGCGCATGTAGAGTGCAAATGAAGATGTGTATGAACATGCATAGGCATATCTATACGTGTAGATGTAGATGTGTATTTACAGTCTATGTACACGTACATGTGCATGTACGTATGCATGTATGTGTGCATGCATGTATGCATGTATGTATGTATGTATATCTGTATACATATATGCCTAGTTGTTAATCTCTCCCTTCCTCTCGATCTACCTACCTGACCTACCTATCTATCTATCCATATGCTCTTCCCTGGATGATCGTCCCTGAGCCCGAAACCTGAATCGCACTCTCCTGGCTCGGCCTGCCAAGGTCGTGACCGCGGTTTACGGCGATTTCTTCATTGCGGAGCTTGTTGAGGCCCTTGGGGTTCTATGAGAGGTTTATCAGGGTCCCGTGTTCGGTGAAACATCCGCCAAAAAGGGTTCTATAAGGGTTCTACAACCGTTTATGTGGATACTGCACCCGCAACTCTCAGACATCGGCTTGCCGATGTTCCCTGCTAGCTCAGTTCTACGCTCCTGGTTTCACGGGAGCAGGGCTATCGTTAAGGGGCTTGCCTGCAGCTTCAATCGCGGGATGCTCCATTCCTGTGAACGCTATTTAGACCCTCAGCCCTGAACCTCATACCCTAAAGCCTGGAATGCCTGCGGTTGGAACAGAACCCATTGAAAAAACGAGCCTGAAGCATTACCGGAGGCCCCCTTGGAGCCGATCAACAAATCCTGGCACTCAGGCACAGAACGACGAGAACCGCGCCCTGGTGGCCGAGGCGCGGGATCCTACTATTTTTTAGGGCTTCAGAGCATTCTTTCTTGGGGCCTGGGATTCCGAAACCCCGAAACCCCTAAACCCTAAGCCCTAAACACCAAAAGACGACCCTAAACCCTAACCCCTAAGTATCCTTCTAGGACCTTGGGATTCTGAAGGGCCCGGGGCCCTGATCCGGGGATCAGAGCAGTGGAGCGACCGCCTTTGCGCTTTTAACAGGGGGAGCTTCGGCTTCGGGTTGTTTCGGGGATTCACAGACACGGATCGAAACATCGAAACCCAGGGGCCAGGCGCCAAAGTCCCAAAGTCATTGAGTGTTTTGAAAACCTCGAACCTACCAAGTAAGAGGGTCTGAAAAAGAGCAAGGATAGCAGATTCGACCCATCGGCCCCCGTAATGAGCCCGAAACCCGAACTTCGGGTACCCGAACAAATTGAAGCCTTCGACCCGCAAGCTGCAAGCGCTGGAGAAGAACCCCGTATGAAAGGCTTCCAAAAGCCTAGAATCCTAATCCCAAAGCCTCCTACTTTCTACCTGAAAACCCAAGACTCTGCAACCCGAAGACCCTGCTACAGGGTAGTGTATGTATGTTTTGGAGTGGCAGGGAATGGTGCATACGTGATTCTTTGGCATGCATCGCTTCCCGAAATCAGCTCAAGCCTGCAGGGTTATGGATGATCAAAGAAAGCTACATCTCCAAATCTAAAAGGCTTACAACCCACAGGTGGACGGTCGAGCTGTTGGACTGATGTGCCTCACCTCCGACGTGGACATCAACGCTTTGCCCTCAGTTCGCTCGGGCTTTTCAGGGCTGTGTGGTCAGGGTTTAATCAATTTTCAGAGCTTCGGAGTTTCAGGAAGTAAACCGGGAAGTATAAAAAAGGCCAGCTAGAAGACCTCAGCAGGGCTTGGACCAATTTTGACTCCCTCCCCGAAAAGATCACGAACTAAGCTGGAACTCTTTGTGCAACTGCACCTCTGAAGGGTTGTGTCAGCTTCCTCTCTGGGAGTCCTCACGACTTAGAGTCCTACCACTAATTAGCCTTTACACTCGTGGCCTCTCATGTTCTGAAGCTCCGGCATGCCTGTCCTTTTGCTTACAGGCTTCGTTTCAAGACTTCGGCACCGACAGGGTCATGAGTCTTAAAGGTTCATGAGTCATTTGTTCTGCGCAGCAGCATCGTGAGCATCATGGGCTATATTAGAGGTACTCGTAACTATACTTACGGCTGGTTGCGGTGCGTTTGCCGTAACTGTTTATGGTGGCTGGATGTTTCCCTTCCAAATGGAGCTCTTCTCGCCACGTGCTGTATTCCAATACTGCTTTCCCGCAAGCCCAGGTCCTTGCCCAGTGCTTCCAGCTAGATCCCTATGACAACCTTCTCAAAGCACCGTACATGAAGCTCCTTGGCCTGCTTTGGGACTTGAGCCCGCAACCCTACAGCTTTCTTGGAGGTTTGGGGTTTGGACGCGTGGTTTGGTGATTTCGGAGCCCGGGCTTTTGTCCCGAACCTTCGTTCTGACACACGAGCTTTGCGCGAGTTTCGTGACTAAAGCCTGCCTTTCCGCGTGACCGGTAGCGTGCAGTCAGGGTTCTGAACAGGGAATCGGAAGTATACAGAAAAGCATATGTTTCTCAACCAAAAACCCAAGGGGGAATCGAGGGAGGGATTGAGTGCTTTGAGGGGGTTCGAACTTGAGTATCTACGGCCAAGGGTTGTGAGTGTTCAGCCTTTGGAGTCCCCAACTCCGAAGCCAGAGGCACCTAAGTCTTATACCCACATTGGGAGTTTCCGAGAATAAGTGGTTCCTGATTTCGGGGTCCTTAAAAGCAGGATCCTACTATTTAGGGCACCATGTTAGGGTCCCTTACTTTCGGAAACCTGAACTTCTGTCAGGGGAAGCCACGGTTTAGACCCGAAACCCTGAACCGCAAAAGCCCTGGGAGTTGATGACGCCTTGAACTCGAGAGACACCGACAATCCTCGCTTTCTTGGGGGGCCGAGATGCCAAAAACGAGTTTGCTTCTGTTTCCCCCCAGCCCGAGGGTTGAGCCATGTCCGTGCCTTGGGGTGATTGCGTTCAAGGTTTAGGGTGCCCGGCCTGATCCGATAATAGCTCGCAGGCCTCATCATGTGACTGGAGGGTCAGGGGATCTACTGAACCAAGTAGCTCATATCCTCTGCCCGAGTTGGGGGCGTACAACCTTCATTGCCTGCGTTTGTAATCAAAGCCTGATCCCCGAGGAGGTTCACCCTGCCTAGCACGGATGATGATGCGAACTGACAGTTGCAGGTATACAGCAGGTGTGGCTGATCTGGTTCACAAGTTACTCTGCATGCTTGCATAGTTTAGTGAACCTGTCAAGCTTGTGACACTCTCCCCTGCCTTGCAACCTCGCTCAAAGACCGTACTGTAAGTCTCATATCCAGTGGCCTGAAGGCCCTGCACCCATTGCTTTCGCGTTGGTCGTCTCGCAGGCGTGTGCGTGAACATGCCCGGGCCGTGTTGGAGCATGGCGAGCAGGCGGGCTCGGCCGGTAATCGACGGTGTTGCAACCTTCGACTGTTGCTTCTAAGGAGTTCCTATCGCCATAAGCAGTGCTTGTAAGAGGGCTCAGGTCTGTGCAGCTTTGTTTGTTGACAGACTCTATGCCTCTCAGTGCCTCTCTGTCTACACGCCATTTGAACTTTGCCGTCCTCTTTGTACCATTTTAAAACAACTAAATAAATGTAAATATTCAGAAAGTATATATATATATATATATATGCATATGGGTGGTTGTCAAAATTAGGGTCCCCTTTTGGGTCCCTTTTTTTTCGTGCGTATTTAGGGTATCCCAAAAGGGACCATAATTTTGACAACCACCCATATGCGTATATATATATATATATATATATATATGTATATTTTTTTCTACACACATACCTGAACCCCACAAAAGAAATAGACCTCAGCCATGGACCCTGGTTCCCAGACTCCGCTCCTCCGGCACAGGCGTCCCTGTGCTCCCAGGGCGATTTCCTTCAGGTGGGCCCTCGGTTCGGGGTCGAGTTTTTCTTCTTTTGTCTTGTAATATAGGGGCCTCAAGAATTACCAATACTATCAATAATTGCAGTATACTGGGCCGCAAAACCCTGTTCTAATTATTCAGGCCGCTATACTAGGTTCACGGATGCCTGCTCAGTGATGCGAGGCCGGAGGCGGTCGCTACGTAATGTAGAGGCTTCAATAAATACCTACACTCCTTTGGGGGTTCCTTATCATAACTGTAGTATCATGGGCCCACAAACCTATTCTAATTATTCAGGCCCCTATACTACGGGTACTTTGTTGCTGTGGGCAGTGTTTTGGATGGTTCCCTTAGAGGGCTTTGCAATGTCTTGTAGTGTAGGGGGCCTGAGCCTGACGGGCCTGTCCTCCCAACACAACGCCCCACACCCCGTCCAAAATGGGCACAAACAAACAATCAACCAAGCAAACAAACAAGGCACAAACAGACACACATGGACACGCGCAGCCAAAACCAACAGCCTACATCAAGCTGAACCAGCAATACAAACTTGATACAACCCTTGGTACGAACTTGGCAACTCTCTTCTAAACGCCCTTAATTAACCCTTCTTTCAAACATTCGAAACCCCTGGGCCACTCGTATTTTTTGAGCCTTGCCAGGTGGCCTTGGGCTCCATGGACTTTGGATCGCTTCTGGATGCCATCCCACAGCTGGAGGAGCCTTTTAGGTTTGGGCTTCAGGGCCCTCAGGGCCCTTATCGGTTTATGGTTTTAGGGCTGTAGGGCTTTAGGGTTTCAGTGTGTTAAAGGGTTTCGGGATTTAGGAGTTAGGGTTTGAATGGGGGTTATGAAGAGGGTTGTGTAGGGTTTTCGGGGATTTGCACGCTTGTATAGGGGTTTACAGGGCGTCATAGGTTGTACATCGTTTTACTGGAGCTGAGACAGGGTTCTATGTCCAGAATTTCATGGGGGTTGTTGTATTGAGTCTTTCTAGTAAGCTTTAAAGGGTTTCATGGGCTTCATTGGTATCTACAGACTTAAAACGGTTTGCCAGAGGTCGAATTTGGAACCATAAGCCCAGACCCCAGGCGAAGGCCAAAGCCCTTCAGAAAAGGGGCCTTAAAGGCTAACTCCTCAAACAACAAGAACCTAAGCTTTAAGCCCAGGGAGACGGGTTTTGGAGTGTTCTGGAATTTCGGGAGGAAGGGCTTGGATTTTGTCTAAAGCCGCATCGTGGGAACGAAGGGTGCCCTGATCGCTCTTTGAGACTCGAGGTGCCCTGATACTGATTGCGGGGCTGGGGAACCTGGTGGGGCTTCTCGAGTTCATGGCTTTTGGGGCTTCCGAGGTCTGGGATGTGTTTGGGGTCCATTGTTTTGGGCTTCGGGATGTGGAATGCAGGAGGTAAACGATATGGAACCTGCAAGCTGCACAAGCCTTGCACTCCAGAGCCGTAGTCAATTCGACCTGCACGCCTTAAATCGAAAACCTGAAGGCGTCAAGCAGTTTGCCCTTCAATCCTCTAAACTAACCCCCCTCCGCCTCGACAAAACAAATGCATAAACCCCAGAGGCAAGAAGGAATCATGTTTAAGGGGACAAGGAGGGGTGGGGTAGGGCACAGCCCTTAAAGCCAAAGCCTTGAACTTGTAATCACTTTGACAGGCCCCTGATCCTATAAGCGAACCAACCCCTAGGAAGTAGACGCCGTCGCTTCTTTTTTGAACGCCCCTGAACCTTACACCCCAATCCTCCTAAAACCGTCACGCGAGGATGGTCGGATCAATGCTGTGCAGCTGCATGGAGCCTTGCAGCCCGGGCCCTAGAAAGCACGCGGAGCAGCAAGGAATCATCTCAAATCTATAGGGTTTGCTGGGTTTTGGGGATCTCGGGGTGAGGGTTTGAGGGCTTACTTGGGCTCCGCGGTTTTGAGGATTTATTGGTGCGGTTTTTACGGCTGCTTCGCGGCTTTGGGGTGTCTGGACGGAGTGAGGGTTTGAGGGCATAGGTTTTCGCGGATTTGGGTTTTTTAGGCTTCAGGGGTTCATTTTTCGGTTGTATGTTGAGGGTGCAAAGTATGCCTTGCCCACCACTGCAACGACAGCGGCAGGTAGATGGATGGTTTCTCGCAAGATCCCTTGGCTATATCAGTATTATCCAAAGTCGTTGAAGATTCCGGAGGTCCGAGCAGTTTTATTTGTTTGCTGACGAGACTTTATAGGGCTGATGGGGGCTGGTGCATAGTAACTTAGCGTGCTGAGCACACCGCTCGTGGCGTGGATGTTTAGCTCTTGACGCAGAGACGGTAGCCGCGTCTCGCACTACGGCAACGCTTCCCTTGTTTGTATCTGAGGCTTCGCCAAAGATACAGAAGTAAAAAGAGGTTCTATTCGCCTGCTCACGGAACACAGTCGTGCCTTGTAGTGTTTCCCTGATGGCATGTCGAGTTTGGTTGTGGCGGCCCTGCTCTGATGACAAAGTTTCCCTTGGCTGTCTGAGCATCCAGTGACGATGCCAGGAGCATGGTTTCAAGTTGATGGCTGATGGGGGCTGGTGCATAGTGACAAATTGTGTCAAGCACACGGCTGGCAGCGTGGATTCTGGGTTGTTGGCGCAGAGACTGTGGCAGGCAGACGGTAGCGGTATCTCGCAAGATGACAGCACTTCCTTTGTATCTGAGGTTTCGTTGAAGATACAGAAGTTAAAGAAGTTCCATTCGCTTGCTGACGGGACATCGAAGTGCCTTCTTGTAGTGTCTTGTTGATGGAATGTCGAGTTTGGTTGTGGCGGCCCTGCTCTGATGACAAAGTTTCCCTTGGCTGTCTGAGCATCCAGTGACGATGCCAGGAGCATGGTTTCAAGTTGATGGCTGATGGGGGCTGGTGCATAGTGATAAATTGTGTCAAGCACACGGCTGGCAGCGTGGATTCTGGGTTGTTGGCGCAGAGACTGTGGCAGGCAGACGGTAGCGGTATCTCGCAAGATGACAGCACTTCCTTTTATCTGAGGTTTCGTTGAAGATACAGAAGTTAAAGAAGTTCCATTCGCTTGCTGACGGGACATCGAAGAGTGTTCTTGTAGTGTTTTGTTGATGGAATGTCGAGTTTGGTTGTGGCGGCCCTGCCGTGATGACAAAGTTTCCCTTGGCTGTCTGAGCATCCAGTGACGATGTCAGGAGCATGGTTTCAAGTTGATGGCTGATGGGGGCTGGTGCATAGTGACAAATTGTGTCAAGCACACGGCTGGCAGCGTGGATTCTGGGTTGTTGGCGCAGAGACTGTGGCAGGCAGACGGTAGCGGTATCTCGCAAGATGACAGCACTTCCTTTGTATCTGAGGTTTCGTTGAAGATACAGAAGTTAAAGAAGTTCCATTCGCTTGCTGACGGGACATCGAAGTGCCTTCTTGTAGTGTCTTGTTGATGGAATGTCGAGTTTGGTTGTGGCGGCCCTGCTCTGATGACAAAGTTTCCCTTGGCTGTCTGAGCATCCAGTGACGATGCCAGGAGCATGGTTTCAAGTTGATGGCTGATGGGGGCTGGTGCATAGTGATAAATTGTGTCAAGCACACGGCTGGCAGCGTGGATTCTGGGTTGTTGGCGCAGAGACTGTGGCAGGCAGACGGTAGCGGTATCTCGCAAGATGACAGCACTTCCTTTTATCTGAGGTTTCGTTGAAGATACAGAAGTTAAAGAAGTTCCATTCGCTTGCTGACGGGACATCGAAGAGTGTTCTTGTAGTGTTTTGTTGATGGAATGTCGAGTTTGGTTGTGGCGGCCCTGCCGTGATGACAAAGTTTCCCTTGGCTGTCTGAGCATCCAAGTGACGATGTCAGGAGTATGGTTTCAAGTTGATGGCTGATGGGGGCTTGTGCATGGTGACAAATTGTGTCAAGCACACGGCTGGCAGCGTGGATTCTGGGTTGTTGGCGCAGAGACTGTGGCAGGCAGACCGTAGCGGTATCTCGCAAGATGACAGCACTTCCTTTGTATCTGAGGTTTCGTTGAAGATACAGAAGTTAAAGAAGTTCCATTCGCTTGCTGACGGGACATCGAAGAGTGTTCTTGTAGTGTTTTGTTGATGGAATGTCGAGTTTGGTTGTGGCGGCCCTGCCGTGATGACAAAGTTTCCCTTGGCTGTCTGAGCATCCAGTGACGATGTCAGGAGTATGGTTTCAAGTTGATGGCTGATGGGGGCTTGTGCATAGTGACAAATTGTGTCAAGCACACCGCTGGCGCAGAGACTGTGGCAGGCAGACGGTAGCGGTATCTCGCAAGATGACAGCACTTCCTTTGTATCTGAGGTACTTCCTTTGTATCTGAGGTTTCGGTGAAGATACAGAAGTTAAAGAAGTTCCATTCGCTTGCTGACGGGACATCGAAGTGCCTTCCTGTAGTGTCTTGTTGATGGAATGTCGAGTTTGGTTGTGGCGGCCCTGCTGTGATGACAAAGCTTCCCTTGGCTGTCTGAGCATCCAGTGACGATGCCAGGAGTATGGTTTCAAGTTGATGGCTGATGGGGGCTTGTGCATAGTGACAAATTTTGCCAAGCACAACGCTGGCAGCGTGGATTCTGGGTTGTTGGCGCATAGACTGCTCGCAAGATGACACCGCTTCCTTCGATTGTATCTGAGGTTTCGCTGAAGATACAGAAGTTAAAGAAGTTCCATTCGCTTGCTGACGGGACATCGAAGAGTGTTCTTGCAGTGTTTTGTGTTGATGGAATGTCGAGCTTGGTTGCGGCGGCCCGGCTGTGATGACAAAGTTTCCCTTGGCTGTCTGAGCATCAAGTGACGATGCCAGGAGTATGGTTTCAAGTTGATGGCTGATGGGGGCTGGTGCATAGTAACAAATTGTGCCAAGCACACCGCTGGCGCAGAGACTGTGGCAGGCAGACGGTAGTGGTATCTCGCAAGATGACAGCACTTCCTTTGTATCTGAGGTTTCGTTGAAGATACAGAAGTTAAAGAAGTTCCATTCGCTTGCTGACGGGACATCGAAGAGTGTTCTTGTAGTGTTTTGTTGATGGAATGTCGAGTTTGGTTGCGGCGGCCCTGCTGTGATGACAAAGCTTCCCTTGGCTGTCTGAGCATCCAGTGACGATGCCAGGAGTATGGTTTCAAGTTGATGGCTGATGGGGGCTGGTGCATAGTGACAAATTTTGCCAAGCACACTGCTGGCAGCGTGGATTCTGGGTTGTTGGCGCATAGACTGCTCGCAAGATGACACCGCCTCCTTCGATTGTATCTGAGGTTTCGCTGAAGATACAGAAGTTAAAGAAGTTCCATTCGCTTGCTGACGGGACATCGAAGAGTGTTCTTGTAGTGTTTTGTTGATGGAATGTCGAGCTTGGTTGCGGCGGCCCTGCTGTGATGACAAAGTTTCCCTTGGCTGTCTGAGCATCAAGTGACGATGCCAGGAGTATGGTTTCAAGTTGATGGCTGATGGGGGCTGGTGCATAGTAACAAATTGTGCCAAGCACACCGCTGGCGCAGAGACTGTGGCAGGCAGACGGTAGCGGTATCTCGCAAGATTACAGCACTTCCTTTGTATCTGAGGTTTCGTTGAAGATACAGAAGTTAAAGAAGTTCCATTCGCTTGCTGACGGGACATCGAAGAGTGTTCTTGTAGTGTTTTGTTGATGGAATGTCGAGTTTGGTTGCGGCGGCTCGGCTGTGATGACAAAGTTTCCCTTGGCTGTCTGAGCATCCAGTGACGTGGCAGGCAGACGGTAGCGGTATCTCGCAAGATGACAGCACTTCCTTTGTATCTGAGGTTTCATTGAAGATACAGAAGTTAAAGAAGTTCCATTCGCTTGCTGACGGGACATCGAGAGTGTTCTTGTAGTGTCTTGTGATGGAGTGTCGAGTTTGGTTGCGGCGGCCCTGCTGTGATGACAAAGTTTCCCTTGGCTGTCTGAACATCAAGTGACGATGCCAGGAGTATGGTTTCAAGTTGATGGCTGATGGGGGCTGGTGCATAGCAACCTTGCGGACTTAGCGTGCAAAGCGTGAATGTTGTTTGTTGGCGCAGAGACTGTGGCAGGCAGACGACGGTAGCGGTATCTCGCAAGATGACAGCACTTCCTTTGTATCTGAGGTTTCGCTGAAGATACAGAAGTTAAAGAAGTTCCATTCGCTTGCTGACGGGACATCGAAGAGTGTTCTTGTAGTGTTTTGTTGATGGAATGTCGAGTTTGGTTGCGGCGGCTCGGCTGTGATGACAAAGTTTCCCTTGGCTGTGTGAGCATCAAGTGACGATGTCAGGAGTATGGTTTCAAGTTGATGGCTGATGGGGGCTGGTGCAAAGTAACTTAAGACTTAGCGTCCACTTTCATCGTGGATGCTGGGTTGGGGGTGAGGAGACTGTTGCAGGCAGACGGGTAGCGGCGTCTCGCAAGATGACAGCGCTTCCTTTGTATCTGATGTTTCGTTGCTGACGGGACATCGTATTGTCTCGTAGTGCTTTATTGTTGGAATGTCGAGTTTGGTTGCCGCGGCCCCGCTTTGGTGGCAAAGGTTCACTTCGCTGCTTTGAGGTTCATGGCTTTTCCTGAGCTTTAAGCCCGACAGTCTTTGCTCCCAGGATGCAGGAGTTTGCCGACGAAGTGGGCGAAGTCCTGCAGGCACTTCTGTGTCAACACATTCCAAGCTGTTGGGACTTGGATTCCGAGGAGGAGGTAGTTTATGCTCTTGAGGAAATGATTTGAGCGCCTTTCTGCAAAGATTCGCTTTGTCGCAACTCCGTGTTGTCGGTCGCAGAGCTTCGTCCACAAGGGTTGCGATTCTAAAGTGTCTGCTGGCGTCTGCGTGTGACAGATTCGGGTTTCCATGCTGACACCCGTGCCTAGTAGATCATCATGCTACCTAAGAATACCAATCTTTCCCAGCTTCCAGCTTCTTGTAAGCGGTTCGACAGCAGGTTGCTACAGATACCTTTCTATTCTTGGTGCAATCCGGAAAGCAGGATGGCCGTGGTTCACCAAAGTATATACCTGGAAACAAGGTACTTGTTGTGCGCGTGTCAAGTATGCATTAGACGTATTCACAGCAGCAGTACTGACCCTGGAGTAATGGCACAGAAGCAGCAGCGAGTGAAGGAGTTGCGCTACTGTCTGAGCAAGCTCAACACATGCCAAGAGCTAGCAGCTGCTAGCAATTCCTCCTCAGCATATTCTGCCTTGAGCCCTCAAGTTGGAAAAGTCTGCGGTGAAGGAGTTTGAGAAGAGCATCATGATGCTCTTCTGGCAAGTGAACTTTCTAGAGCCGATGCTGCAGGAGCATCATGCTTTAGTGTCTTTGCTTTGGGGTTACGGGTTCTCGGGACGTTGATGGTTCTGTCCCGTTATACGGAGATTTTTAGGGTTGAACGGTTCCCACCGATTACCGGAGCCAATTTAGAGCTCAGCTTTGTTTCGGCCAGTTGCCTAAAGAAGACCCTCCTGCCATCAAGTTGATGCACCTGGGGCTTGTATAGGCTCCCACAAGGAACCTGCCCGTCGCTGCATGTCCGTATGTCTGCCAGTCCTTACCTCTCGCAGGGAGGCCTGTGGCATTGTCATGTCAAGCGAGCGGTAGAAAAGTGGAATTTCGAAGGGGGCAGCACGTATCCTGATCACGTAGCAACCCAGATGCCTGCCACTTTTGTATTACACCTCCACTCCCTTCCCTGAACCCTCTAACTACCGTCAACATAGACCTCAGCTGGTTCACCATCGCAGGAGAATTCCCTTGTCTGGCCCCAGAAGGCGCGCCATTGCAGTCTTGAAGGTCTCAGTCAAGCTAGCCTCCGCGGACAACCAGCTGCATTTATGACAATCCGCGTGTTGAGGGCAGTAGCCAAATACACTTCCTAGAGTCCTAGGTCAATACGGGGACTGCGATCGAGCAATTGGGCATGACCACCATCCCTGTGGAGATTATCCCTCTCGATCTCCTTACTATCATGAGCTCCACTCTCGTCACAAGAACAAGAATTGCCTCAGCCATCTATGATGAGCAAGAGTAGCAACATCGACAATACCAGCAGAAGAATATCATTATGGTGCTGACGATGATGCTTCTCATGGTGACAAACACGACGTTGGTGATTCATTTTAACGCAGATACATGACGACTTTGACTGTAGAGCTGAAGAAGCAGATGTTGATGACGTTGCTCTATAAAGGCGAGTAGCGACTAAGACTCATACTTGTACTGGGGACGTCGTAGTGGCAGTCGCCCAGGCATCAGCTGCAGAAGCAGTGCTGAAGTAGTAATGGTGGTAGTAGTAGTAGTAGTAGTAGTAGTAGTACTAACTAGTAGTAGTAGTCGTAGTAGTAGTAGTAGTAGTAGTAGCAGTAGCAGTAGCAGTAGCAGTAGCAGTAGCAGTAGCAGTAGCAGTAGCAGTAGTAGTAGTAGTAGTAGTAGCAGTAGCAGTAGCAGTAGCAGTAGCAGTAGCAGTAGCAGTAGCAGTAGTAGTAGTAGTAGTAGTAGTAGTAGTAGTAGTAGTAACTAGTAGTAGTAGTAGTAGTAGTAGTAGTAGTAGTAGTAGTAGTAGTAGTAGTAGTAGTAGTAGTAGTAGTAGTAGTAGTAGTACTGGTAGCAGTAGCAGTAGCAGTAGCAGTAGCAGTAGCAGTACTAGTAGTAGTAGTAGCAGTAGCAGTATCAGTACTAGTAGTAGTAGTAGTAGTAGTAGTAGTAGTAGTAGTAGTAGTAGTAGTAGTAACTAGTAGTTTTAGTAGTAGTAACTAGTAGTAGTAGTAGTAGTAGTAGTAGTAGTAGTAGTAGTAGTAGTGGTAGTAGTAGTAGTAGTAGTAGTAGTGGTGGTAGTAGTAGTAGTAGTAGCAGTAGAAAAAGTGCCATGAGCGGCTCAGGCTACGGGGGGCATAGGCATGGCCTGGAGATTCTTCTTCAACCTACAGGTTTTGTAAAACTGGGCCACAAATCGAAAGAAAACGCAGCTCTGCTATCGGAAGCTCTCATCCGGCGGCGCCAAGTGGCGCACATGTGTGATTCGACGCTGCGACTGAGTTGTGAAGATCAATATACAAGTGTGCAAACCCCCCTCTGAGATGAATTCCTCATCCCGGTCCCAAGTCCGGGTGTCAGCAACATTGTGGAAAGGGACGCGAACTTTTGCGCTGGCAGGCACGAGGGTAGTGGGTGGAGCCTCAGACCCCACTGAAGTCCCAGCCGGGACGAACGATGAGGCGACAGGGCCCAATCAGCGACAAGGGGCCTCCAGGGTGTGCAAAAGATCATATAAAAGGGCATTGAAAAGAGCTGCTATGGAAGGGTCTGCGTCTACAAAGGGCGACGTATCAGATTCTGGCAACCAGAGATTCCTTTTCGTGAGTCACAGCGGCACAAACAATGGGAGCCGCCCAGAATCTCTAGCATCAGCTGGAACTGCTCGGGTCTATCCACCGAGCTCTTTCTGGAGCTACAGGTCTGGTTGAAGACACAGCCTTCTGTTGGAATCATGGCCTTGCAAGAAACTCATTGGAGCATTCAAGGGGAGTGGCAGTCAGGGGATTGGTACTTGGTTCATAGCCCTGCACCAAAACCGAAGCAAGGCGGGGTGCTTCTGGGTATCCGAAAGGATCTGCTTGCTTCCACACATTACAGTTGGAATGAGCTGGTGCCAGGACGATTGCTGCATTGGCGCGGGTGCATCGGCAAGCAAGCCTGTGACATTTTTAACATGTATCAGCATGCCCTGACACACAAGACGGAAGAGCAGAAGCAGATGACGATGAAAAATCGCCGAGGAGTCTGGCAACAGCTGGATCGCGCATTATCTGCCTTGCCTTTCCGTTCTTCCATTGTGCTTCTGGGAGACTTTAACATGGTTCTCCAGCCGCTTGCCAGGGTTTCGGGTAAAGGCATTCATCTTGGCAGCCAAAATCTGGAACTCCGCCAAGAGAGGAGTGATGTAATGGAAATCCTGGAACGTCATCGACTAGTGGCCCTGAACACTTGGGGAAAGAAGCAGTGCACGTACAAGCATCCTTCGGGAAATTCGCAGATCGACTATGTCCTCATCAGACAACAGCAAGCGGACAAAATTTCCAGAACATGTGGCCCTGTTTCCGCACCAATTGCGAGCTGGCGTACAGCGGGGCATGAGATCCTTCTGGCAAGTTTCCCCCAGTCATGGCAGCCGTGGAAGACACGAGATCACCGAGCTGCACAAGCGGGACACTCGGCGAAGTCTCTTGAAACCATCGCTGGCATGCAACAGCCTAGTCTTGCGGCGCTCCAAGCCTCCTTGCAGCAGCATCATAACGTTTCCTCTGTTAAACTTGTCAAGCCGGCGCTTCGGGATGTGAATGGTGAGGTGCTTGCTATTTGGAGGGATCTGGCTAGGGCTAGGTTTCGGTACTCCAGGGATAGACTGGGGCGCTTGTTTGGGGCATGGCAGCTGGCACTGCTCAAAATTCGAGCGCGCCGCAACATCAAGCGAATTGCCAGACAGCGCAAGCGGGAGCAGATTCTGAGTATTTTGGCTATGGCGGAGTCAGCGGGAGAACAGCATCAATCTCGAGACTACTATAAGTATGTACGTATGTTGGCTCCCAAAACACAGAACCGCAAGATCTGCCTTCGAGATTCTGATGGTCAGCTGCAAAATCCGGCCCAGGAATGTGATCAGTTGACGACCTATGTTCAGGGACTTTTCGCGGGACCGGCCTATGAGCTGCCAGATCTTGCACCTTTGCCTGAAGAGTGGTTTGTCGCACCAGAGTGGGAGGATGCCATTAAGCACATGAAGAGTCATAAGGCTGTCCCTAAGAATGAAGCTAGTGTTCAAACCTGGAAACTGCATTCGAGCACAGTGGCGCCAATTCTTGAAAAGGTAGCGCGCAACAGTATCTGAAGGGTGCACCACACATTCCGGAAGAATGGCTTCAGGTTCAGCTGGCTTGGTTACCCAAGCCGGGGAAAAGCACGGCCATCCCGGCGAACCTACGAACGATTGGGCTAATGGGCTGTGACTCCAAAGCATGGCTCTACATTCTGAAAAAGCACGCGAACCCTTTTGTTCAAACTGCTCTTCGGGACATTCCACAATATGCATACAGGGTGCAAGCCTCTACCTCGGATCCGCTGCTCAGGGCTAGCAAACATTGTCATACAGTGCGTGAGATGCTGGCTAGCTGCCAGGATGATTTGACTTCCCGCCTAGCAAACCAAAATCAAACATTGCTGATTGGCGGGATGATGGCCAGTTTGGATCTGTCAAAAGCTTTTGATTCCATCACTCATGAGGAGATGTATCTAGCTTTGATTGATACTGGCATGCCTGAAAATTTGGCTGGAATGCTGCTGAGGATACACATGAACACAACGCTCCATGTAGTTCACAAAGGATGCGAGCGCAAGGTCAGCATGGGCAAAGATTTGCGTCAGGGCTGCGGAGTCGCGCCGATGATCTATGCAGCATGGACATGTCGATTGTGCAAGCAGCTTGCCAAGCATCTTGGAGTAGGATGGCATCAACGACATAAGTCGATATATGCTGATGACAAGCATGGCTTCTGGGAAATTCGTAGTCTTGGAGATCTGGATAAGGCGCGCAAGGCTCTGGGAACCATGATACAGGTCATCACTTCACTTGGCATGACTGTCAACAGTGCCAAATCTCGCATTGTCATTGCTCTGAAAGGAATATGCACTTGAAAACACTCAAGCAAATCACCAAGCAGTGGAATGGGCAGCAGTGTATGCTTATACCTTGTGGTGATTCTACATTGTATGTGCCGGTACAGTCAAGCCTTGAGTATCTGGGCATGAAGCTGAGTTATGGCAAATTCGAAGTTCAGGCAGCACAGCATCGTGTTCAGCAAGCGCAGATGACTTTTCAGCAGTTGAAGGCTCCGCTGCGAACTAATGGTGCGCTTCGCATGGGTAGGCGAATTCGGCTCTACAAGACATGCGTACTTCCTTCGTTGCTGTACGGTATTGTCAGTGTTGGCTGCACTACGGAGGTTGTTAAGTTGCTGTCGAGTGTAGTGGCCAGGCACATGCGAAAAATCTGCAGGGTGTACGAGAAAGGGGTTTCGAATGCTGCTGTCCTGAAGAGGGCGGATATCAATCTTTACTCCGATCTGCAGAAGCGCATGGATGCCCAAGCATTGGCATTGAAGCTGGACGTGGACAGGTCACCGCAGCTCTTGGAGATGGAGCTCAGGCGGGCGGAATTCCTTCAGGAACACTATCGTCGGGTTTGTGAGGTTGCTGAAGCCAGAACAGATTCTCACCTCCTCAAAAATGTGGCCCTGGAGTTGGAGTACCCCTGTCCTGTTTGCGGTGTGTACTTTGGCACGCAGTCGGGCATGCAACAACATCTACATCAACGGCACCCGGATGTCGAGATTAAGGCCCGAATGGACTTCGACCGATCGAAACATTGCCTATATGGTGCTCCCATATGCAGGTTTTGTCATCAACGATGTGGGGACTGGCAGTCTATGAGGAAGCATCTTACACAAGGCATGTGCACAGCCGTGAAGGCCGCGGTTGCATCCGGAGAGACAACCCAGCAACTTCTGACCCGTACAGAGCAGGAGGAGGCAACAAATCCAGCTCCGCCTCCGGTCGCAAGGTGGACTCAGGACCAGCCTTTTGCTCTGAGTTCACACGAGGTGTTTCAGGTGCCAGATCATGAACTAGAGAAGCATTGTGATGTTATTAGCAAACAGGTCCAACAGTGTATGCTGTGTGGTCAGAGAATGTCAGCGCCCGGGCACATTAAAACACACTGGCGTGTAGGACATCCGATTGCATGGCAGAAGGCAGCTCGAGAATCAGAGGCCCTTGCAGGAAGCCTTTCAGCCACTTTCAAAAGACCGTGTCAGTACTGTGGCAGCCAGGCGAAGGACATCAGAGCACACTCTCGTAAGTGTCCCAGCTTCTTTCAGATCGCGGCGGTAAGACATCTACAACACATTGACTTTCCCCAGGTGAACTATGCATATGTTCAACCGGCAGCTCCCAAGCAGGACAAGGACAATCCGCAATACAAGACATATCAAGCTCCTATCCAGCGCATGTTACAAGGAACCATCAAATCTACTTCATTGCATTCTACGCGCAAGACAGGAGAGCCCTTTATCTCGGACATTGATCACCCCTCTTCGACTACGGCCAGGTCGGTTCCTCGTGCACAACAGGATGGAACCATACGGTGCTTTTTCAAGCCTGACCCAGGCACTCACTCGGCGACTCCAACTCCATCGACACCTGCTATCTCCAGACCTGCAGGTGGTCCTTGGCAGTGCTGTATTCGCTTTCTGAACCCGCACAGTCTATGTTATGTGAATGCGAGTTTTCTATCAATGACATATGGACTTGAAACGGCAGGCATTTCAATGAGCTCCATTCTGGCTTTCGTACACAAGGCCACGGAGAGGGACATACAGATCAGACTCACGCAGAACCTCAGGTTTCGGAATCTTGTGCCCCATTGGATTTACAACGAGGTGCAAAGAGACTCGGCGGAGTATTTGCAGCATCTCCTCCAGGCACAGCAGTTCCACTCAGTCCGGTGGGAGCATCGCAAGCTTGGGCTCGCAGGTCTACACATTCGAGCACAGGGTGATCTACCTATTCCGATGTCGATACCTCGAGGGGCCAGGGATTTGCAGGATGTGATTATGCACTGGAACACACACCAGGATGTACATGCTTTGGCTCATGCCAGTGAGTGTATTTGCATTCAGCTGAATCGGTATTTGAGGCTAGACCGGACTGCAAAGCTGATGGCAGCCATTCGGTTTGACAGGCCAGTGTTTTGCCCCAGATTCGAGAATCACTTGAGTGTTACATGGGATCGCTTTGAAGTTGTATCCGCGGTCATTCACTATGGCAGGAATACACAGCAAGGACACTATCGCGCTCTGCTCAAAGTCCGGGACCAATGGCTTCAGACAGATGATTCAGCTTATGCCAGTTCGATTGAAATGTGTGCGCAGCTGGAGTCGAATGTGTATCTCCTGTGGCTGAAGCGGTGCTAAACTGTGCCCTTCGTCCCAAGCCTCCCGTCCTCGATCATGGCTGAGCAGGAGGAGAAGGATCGTGACATGGAGGATGCGGCCGCTGAACAGCTCGAGCAAGACATGTTTCGACAGTACTGGCCGGCCGGGGTGGAGCAGCTCAGCACGGCGGCTCCTTCGGAGTCAGCTCCTGATTCCACCCCTCGGGACACCAAGGCTCCCAAGCTGTCGACGGGTCAAAAGGGGCAGCAGCGTGGTGAGCGTGGCAAGGGACTGGGACAGGAGGAAGATGATCCTTGGTCCAACTGGGGCCGGACCAAGCGCTCCTTTGGCAACGCATGGAGTTCCTGGGATAAGTCAGAGGGCAGTGATCGCTCCCAGACGGCATTGATGCAAGAGGTCAAGGAGCTTAAAAACAGCGTGTTTCAGCTCCAACGACTGGCACTTCGTCATGAGGACTATCTTGGGGCCCTGCGGCCAGAGACACAGTATGTGTTCTTCATGAGTGCCTGCTTCTGTCGTCCCTAGTTTGTTCAAGGCCCAGCAAGCTTGGAGAGAATAAAAGGAATCCGATCCGGCCTCCTTGGATCGACCGATGCGGGTATGCCTCCTCTCATGCTTGTTCAAGGAGTTCTCGGCCAGACTTGGGAATTTTGCCAAGCAAGAGAAGACGCAGGCATCCATGGAAAAGCTTGGCTGGATCACTCGCACGTCATGACCCCAGCAAGGAGCCGTTATCCTACGAGCAAGGAGTGGCCACCGTGGAAGCCATACATGTGCTTGTTAAGAGTGTTGGACCGGTGACTCGATTTCATCCGAGTCGTGGCTTGGATGATGACTCGAAGGGTTCGACTATGTCCTTCAGCATGCAGCTGGCCCTCTATGGTGAGCCGGCAAATCAGCTGAGAGAGCACATGGCTACTTTGACCAGCTGCTCGATCACGCAGTTGATGGCCATGAGCTGGCGACCGGAACGGGGTGGCCGATCCAATGTGGCCAATATGGTTCAAAGGACGATGCAAGCATCGACTCGGCGCTAACCTAGCAACTGTGCATCTTTGGTGTCCCAGGTGCAGGTGCAGGGCAGACAGGGGAGCGCCACATCATGGCAGAGCTGCGGGATGCATGCTCTGAAATTTTGCGCATTCATGGGACAGCCTTTGACAAGAAGTTTGTTCTGGCCCTGGAACGCGTCTTTCCTTTTGATGGTCCTATCGGGACATGTGGCCTAGCTGGGAAGTGTATGTCACCATAGATCCGGCTACGGCTGCTCGCATCATGACCAACAGTGCAATAGCCACTGATTTTGCAGTTGCCTATGCCCAGGGCTCCGGACCGCAAAAGCCTTTCATGTGCCGGGGACACGCCTCTGCAATGTATGCTGAAAGGGTTCCTGGATGGATGCTTGATGTCTTCATGATGAGGTCATTCGGCATTCAGTGGCTAGCCCATGGCAATGGGCTTTGGAGGCCGCTCTATGGCAACAGGATGTGGAGGCTGACGTGTACCCTACGACTCCCATGGTCTGGCACGGCATGCTGGTAGGTGTCTCTTGCGTATTATGTTCAGGCTTTTCAGCATTGAGATAGTTGCACTTGGCACGCTCCGGGAACTAGCTGGCCTCTGGAAATGTGGAAGCGCTCCTTTAGCTCAGAGGGATCTCTCGTGCGGGACATTTCTGACATTGTGGAACCGGAGATGGAAGAGACAACTTACCGCGGCTCTGCTGCCTCTGCTATCTCGGTAACTGCAGGCGACTCGGATTCCGAGAGAGATCGACCCACCAAGAAGTCCCGGAAGCATATCAACGATCGGAACTTTGTGCACTTTCTCAGGACCGCTGAATGTGCCCAAACCCAAGAGACGACCACTCGGAAACAGCTCCTATGTGCAGAACAGGCCCTCAGTCTCTATACTGGGCAATGCAATGCAGGGTTTACTTTGGATGTGCATTCGGCTTGGGATTGGGATGATCCTCGACCGGAGAGCGCGTATGAAGCACTTGCCCAAGCATGCCTTCGTGGACAATGGGTTTACTTTGACCAGTTACGCAGAATCTTTGATCGAGCCCCGACTCAGGTTCATACCAGACATGTTTCAGGATCGGCCGCGGATCTCACACCGAGGTCCCTCACGCTTGGCGCATGTGTTCGAGGCGGAGTTACAGCGGTGCACTTGAGCACACGTGACCTGGTCTGGACTACAAGATTGCTGTGTACCATTGTGCGCACTTTGTGCCCAGAGGTGCTATTCAGTACAGTATTCTTGCACCTAAATGTCCAAAGCGGGGTGCACGTAGATGCACACAACCATGCCATGATCGATAATGTGCTGGTGCCGCTTAGTGTATGGCAGGGTGGCGAGTTATGGCATGAATGCTTGCATGGAGATGTCCTTCTGCATAAGGATGGCCCGAAAGACTTATTGCGGCAGGTTATGCTTCCAGGCTTGCGTTTCAATTCTCGATTGAAACATGCTGTCATGCCTTGGGCTGGGGACAGATTCTTACTGGGCACTTTTCACGTGCGAGATGAATGGCGCTTGAAAGAAGTGGACATGCAATTCTTGAAGGAGCAGGGCTTTAAGCTCAGATGTCTTGATCATGCAGTCCAGGATCCTTATCAGGAACCCTGAGCGTGGAGTCTGCTTTCTCAGCGGTTGTGCATTTTGTGCAACATGATCGGTGAAAGGCTTTCGGCTTTTGCATTTTGGGCGCTGCTGAGGGGATCATGCGCATCAGCGTCGGAACAAAGAGCCTGCGCGGAATCGTTGAGTGTTGTGCCTTGCTCCTTGGATCGGGCTCGCGAGGCTTTCTGCCTGAATGTGGAGGTACCTGGAATGGCTATGAAGGAACTATCTCTCGCTATCATGCACCAATCCTGCTGCGCTAGCCTTCGAATGCCTCCTGTGATGCGGTGAACAATTTCTGGACTGAGGGAGCTAGCTGTCGTAGTCAATGTGTAAATCAATGTGAAGATGTCTTCATGGGCCTATCGGGCCACGCTGAAGGTTGCTGGTAGCTTGCGAAACGTCCGACATGTGTCTACCATATGTCGCTTCGTATTGTACAGTCGCTTGAGGGCTACACTATGGGACTACCGGTCCATATGCCTTCGCTACCGCTGTTAATGATTGAAGCTCGAGCCTAAGGTTCAGCTGTATGTCGCTTTATGCCCGGGTTTTAGCTGTCCACTGAGATAGCCGGCCACTGTAGGTCGCCCAAAGGGGCCACGCAAAGACGTCTTCGGATGTTTGCGCATCGAGAGAGAGAGAGAGAGAGTAGTAGTAGTAGTAGTAGTAGTAGTAGTAGTAGTAGTAGTAGTAGTAGTAGTAGTAGTAGTAGTAGTAGTAGTAGTAGTATATAGTAGTAGTAGTAGTAGTAGTAGTAGTAGTAGTAGTAGTAGTAGTAGTAGTAGTAGTAGTAGTAGTAGTAGTATAGTAGTAGTAGTAATATAGTAGTAGTAGTAGTAGTAGTAGTAGTAGTAGTAGTAGTAGTAGTAGTAGTAGTAGTAGTAGTAGTAGTAGTAGTAGTAGTAGTAGTAGTAGTAGTAGTAGTGGTGGTAGTGGTAGTAGTAGTAGTAGTAGTGGCAGCAGCAATGGTAGAAGAAGCAGCAGGGTAGCAGTCGCAGTAGCAGCAGAAGTAGCAGCAGAGGTAGCAGTTGCAGCGGTAGTAGCAGTAGCAGTACCTTGGACGCTGAACTCTAAGCTGCTGTCAGGTCAACGAAGGCGTTCAGCTGTTCCAGAGCTTGGATCTCACCGAGCGCAAGAAGATCGTGGGCCAGGCCGGCCCGACAGCCAGACCATAAGTCCCGGTCGTCCTGCCATCGTACGGTTAGCTTACCTCCTCGAAGTGCGCCTCGAGCCTTTGCAGCTTCTTAAAAGAAAAATCCCTGACACCCCAACCCTCGGCCTTGAAGCCCAGAGCTTCAATGCCTTAACCCACAAGCCCCAAACACTCAGCCTCAGCTCTGCAGGTGCTCGACAAGTGGACGGAAGTGCAAGATATATTCCGGCTGACAAAGGCCGGCCACCCCGCTTAAGAAAGGGCACTTCGGGATAGCACGATTAGTACGGCATGGTATCGGATGAGTCGGCTTCCGGGTTGAGAGCTTGAGATTCAGGGGTGTTACGGGAGTAGAAGAAGCCGTGAGGGTCTGGCATATGCGGGCTCTCGTGGTTTAAGGGCATGGAGTAGTGCACATGCTGTGCATGTTATTCGGCGTTGAGTGTTTCGGGCGTGGGGCGTTTTTTTGGCCAGTGGTTCAGGGCTTACGGGCGTAGGCTTATTTTTCTCAGTAGAGTTTGTGCGGTTTGAGGTTTATGTATTTGCTTAGCGCATCATGTGCGGTGGTTGGGCTTTGGGAACATGGCTTAAGATGGTCTGACGTGTCTCAACTGCATGATGGCGCATTCAGCCGAGCAAAGTGATTGACCTGCTCTCTGGAAAGAGTCTCATGGGCTGATCGGCGTAGATTGATCCGCTCTTGGAAGGCGTCCGGTTTATTTGCGATCTGCTGCTGCAACGCAAATGTGTCTGTCTGATCGCTGTGCATCGGCTTCTTGCCACAGATTCCGAACCCGTTAAGCGATCTGCAAACATATGGAAGTATGCACATGTACAGTTGCATGCAAGCATGTCGAGAAAGTACGAGTGTATGCACTCATTTTATCTTTACAATTGCCGATTATAACACAGGCACATGTACTTACACAGTGTCACGCATTCAAAGGTCCGATTATAACACAAACCCGCACGACATGCATGTGAGAGTGCAAAAATAGAGACAGACAGGCACAGATACATACATGCCCTCTGCACGCGTACACACACACACACATGCACGTTTACACAATCTAATGCCATCTTATGCAAGCATGACTACATACATAACACGTAGAATGTTGAATGCACACCGCATGAAATACCAGGAGTTTGTTTGGGCAACGTACACACGTGTATACAAACTGCGTGTATGCATGCATCATTCTTCCACCAATGCATGCATGCTTGCATGTCAATGTATACAAGGACACATACATAGATGCATCCATCCAACACTTCATTCGTCCGTGCACGCATCCACTCATTCGCGACAACAAGCCGGCAAGTCTATAAACGTATCCGTATATGTATACATACACATGTTCATAAACCATGCATGCATGCATGCATGCATACTTGTTAAAGATAGGTACGTAGGTAGGTAGGTACGTAGGTAGGTAGGTAGGTAAGCAAATAGCTCGATAGGTAGAAGGAGAGAGGGAGGAGGGAGGGAGAGAGAGAGAGAGAGGATAGATGGAGAGAGCGAGAGAGAGAGAGGGGACTGCCCCCGCCTCAAACGCAAAGAGAGAGATAGAGAGAGAGAGAGAGAGAGAGAGAGAGAGAGAGAGGGAGGGTAGTTGGATATGTTGCCTATGCACAGCTTTGTCTTTTAGATGTATTCTGAAGGCAGTTGGGTTCTTCAGAAGCATGCGCTGCCAGTTCCAGGAAGCTCTTTCAGCACCAGAAGATGCAGAGCCGCTGGAGGATGTCCCTATACCCCGAAACCCTACAGCCCCTAAACCGTAAAGCTGCTTAAATTTGGACCCTGAAGCCTTAAACCCCAAACCCAACACCTCTGACCGCTAAACCTTGCAGCCCTAAGCCCTAAACTCGCGTCCTCGCCTTCACCCCTTGGGGTTCGGGGGGTTTCTGGTGGGTGTTTAGGAAAGCAGGGTTAAAGATGTTTACAGTTTCGTGTTCTGTAGTGTTGGGCTCACAGCAAGTTTTCTTCCTGCTCCTAGTAACGGGCATGCATAGTTCAGAAATTCCTAAGCCCATTCTACTTTGAATGGCGAAGCCGAAGGAGCAAGGCCAGGGTATGCAGATGACTCTGCTAATTTGAGCACTGTTATGTCGCAGCATCAGCGTGTCTCTCCCGAACATTACACTCAAAACTGCCAAGACGGAAGCAAGCGTGAAACATGTATGCAGCCCCATGCGGCTTCAGGTGCATGATGCTTTTCTGGTGATAGCTGCATGCAACAAAGCTTTCCGACACGGGCAGCTAGCAAAGCCACAAATGCCACCTCACATTGCATCTCAAGCCTTTGCTACTGATCACGAAACTCGGTCCAGCATTCCAAGCCACTGCTTCCTGCAAAGCCTGGCACCAGAAGCCTTCAAACCGAACGGTGCCACCGCCAGCTCCACTTCCTGGATTTGCTGCTAGCTGTAGCAGCCCCAAAGACAGTCTCAACACCCTACACTCCACCTGACTAGACGCCAAGCAACCAGAACAGGGCTTTGGGCTTCTTCACACATGTAGGGAAGACTCAGAGGGATTCAAGGACAGCAGTCCCGCCAACTCCCATTCTACCCTGAGCCATGCAAGCACGAGCCGCTCATTCGAGCGATGCGCCGCGTGGCGCTGTGGGTGTTGCACCTGGCTCTCTTTGGCGCAGGCGACGCGGCGGTGTGGTTCTCGTGTAGGGTTCAGGGGTTTGGGGTTTAGGACTTTGTCTGGCTTCGCTGAGCTTCCAAGTGTTATTTTGATTTATTCAGGATCACGTGGGACCGCCGCGCCTTTGGCTTTGAAGTTTCCTCACTATATGTTGAGTTGCAACAGGCCTTGCCCGGCTTCTGGTCGGAAGCGACCCAGACTCAAGCTCACCGGACGACTCTACTTCTCTCAAACGTCAGAGTGCAGATCCTAAACGCTTGGTAAGCCCGCAGTACTGCTTCTACCTTAACGCTTGCTAGCCTTACCGCACCCTTCTACAACGAGACCGCCTTACTGAAAGCCTTGAACAGAAAATGCGATGGGCAGGTTATTCTAGCGAAGAGCAGTTCAATGCGGGTAAATGATTCAATGCAAAGTTTAAATCGTTTTTTCCTACGGTTTACGCTTGCTGTAGGGGCCTGAGTCATTACTACTCTTTTCAGGGATCTTAAGTATAACCTGATTATAACATTTATAATATACCCCAAATTGAGGCGCCCTGTATTGGGGCCTCGGTTTCGTTCTGGGAGGTGTTTGCGCGCGTGGCGCCGTCCCAAGCTGGGCTATCGGGTTGGCATGGGCGCTGCTAGCAGCTCGGAGTATGACAAGAGTCGGGCTCAGTGGGATTGGTACTATTGGGGTTTAGGGCTTAGGGGTTAGGGTTTCATGGTTTAGGGCTTATGGTTTAGGGCTGGAGCGGTGGCAAAGCCACGGGAACCAGTGTTTTCATGTTCACTCGCCTGCCTCAAGGATCGCTCCCCGAAACTACATGCCAGACCCTTTAAACCCTAACCCTAAACGTGCGTGACCCCAAGACCTCAAAAATCCCAGCGAAAGCCAAGGGTGCAGATCTGCTATGGCGTCTCCCTTCTCTGTACGAGGACCACCGCTCAGATCTACTTTCATCCACTCCTCTTCCGTGCCTGGCAAAACGGAATAACTCAAAGCTCATGGGGTTTCGGGCTCAGGGATGGAAGGGTTAGTATGCAATTTGTCGGGTTTAGGGCAGGTTGGCTTTAGCCTAGTCTTCAGGAGGGTTTTGGGCTGAGGTAGTCCTCAGCAATCGTGGGTCTCAGGAATTGTTTGCGGGCTTCGGGTTTCGTGGGAGGCTGAAACAAGTACTTATCACTATAATTGTAATGAGCCTCATTCACAGCCGTCATGCGACTACAGTATCTTAAGCAGTGACAGCCCTGAAGCGGAACACGAAATCGCCAGCCTTACTGACCCTGTTCGCAGAGGCGAAACAGGATTCCCTTAGTAGCTGTAGCCTACCACTGTTTCTACTGCAATACAATTCCAGGCCCAAACCCTGCAGCACTTCTCCAGGAAGAGCTAAAGCATCTAGTCGGAGCCTGCAGAGAGACGATGCTTTGCTACTTGCCATGCAGGGCGCACAGGGGGTTTTCTTGAGCTTCCGAGTCCGTTGACGGGGCTCTTGTGTTAAGCTTCTTATTGTTTATTGGAGCTCTATCTTAAAGTAAACGAATTCACGCTTTTTTTGCAGCATCCGCCTTCATTTCGGAGTCAAACCCCTGGAACTTGAAGCCCCAAACCGACCCCACAGTTGCCCTCGCCAAGATCTAAGGTAGAGCTTTTCGAGGTATCGGATTTGGGGCTTGGGTTTTGGGGTGTAGGTCGAACTTTAGGCAATAGGGTTCCCTTTCGTCGAAGTTCAAGTCCGGGGCGTGGGAAGCTTTGATGAGACCCCGCAAATCCCCCTTGAACACAACTGCAAGTTCGGGCGAAGGACTGGCCCACAGGTTGATTTGATAAGGGGTATATGGTGAGGGCTGCTACAAACGTTAGTTACTGCTAGTATAGAGGTACTGCAGGCTTACTGCATCAATATTGAGTCCTCACCCTCAAACCGTGTGTCCAAGAAGACATGAACAGCCGACTGCTGTGGCTCCATCTGGTTCGAACAAAACTGTCGACTCGACCTATCAATGTTGTTGCCAGGGTGGTAGTTGAAGTCTGCTTGCAGGGATTCAATTGTCCAGGCTAAAATGTTTACTAGAAGCGTTGCTATATTACCGGCTCGGGTGCCTCTCTGTTGTTTCCGCTACTACAGGTGAGTGCCGGTAGTGCTTGAACATTAGACATTTACATTGGAGATGCATATACCTGAGTTGTAGGGTCTTCAAAACCTTAAAAGGTACCCTCAATAAGGAGTCTGTGGCTCGCATGAACCCCCACCCATAGTTTCCCAAGCCGAAGCTACACGAGCCGAGGTATTTTGGCACCTCGACTTCATGGGAAGGGGCTCTACTGAAAAAGGAGATTCTCAGCATCAGGGGCCCTTAGCACCTGGGTACACATAGCAGGGATCCCACAGTGTAGGGTCTGTATTGTGTGGGCTCGCTTATTCTGGGAAACTTCCGAGCGTTCATGGGATGTGCATTCTAGACGTTCGGTGGTAGATCTGGACCGGGTACATGTAAGTACTGAAATCTATATCTTTGCCCATCGTACAACAACCTATACACCTTCATGTACGGGTCTCAAAGTCTGTAAGGTGTCCATGGGTCTTCTAGCTGTGATGACGGGATGTTCACATGCAAATGAGAAGATGCGACTTGGAGAATCATGTGAAGTAGTGAGTAGGTCGCAAGTCAGGCTCACATGTAGGGAGGCAATTACGCACTTGTTTTTCCATAATTACCTGCCACAGGATTGTGAGAGCAAGGCCTTTGAGCACTGCAGTACACAGCACTTTGAAGCTTTCGGATCCTTTGAGTCAACTGCCTGCGGGTTTAGGGTACTACTGGTAGGGCATCAGTTAAAGGGTGACACTGGTACACCATGAAGCTTAGGAGGCACGAGTCGTTGCCTGAAAGCCAAAACTCCAAGTCCTCAGCCCTATGTACACAGGCGTACTATGTTGACAGCGTGGCTGTGTACATGGTGGCCGTGATGCATGACAGGCGCGGCCTTGCCCAAAGATGGCGGATCAGGATTCCGGGAACTTCAGGGATGGCTTGAATTGCAGCACGTGCAAGTATGTCAATGTTAAAGCTTCTGGATAATGGCGTGGGCAATACTGCATGCCAGTACTTGCAGTCATGCTGGGGATGATCGTCGTCGGCATCGTCGTGCAAAAAGCACTTGTTTTTCTCATGCAATCATCGTCGTGTGGCGTCGCAAGTGTCGTGCCGCACCCTCATCCATCCCCAGCCCCCGTTGTCTAGACAGAACTATAAGAGCACCGACTGCCGATCTTTTCCGAAGCCCACTTAAATCCTGAACCAAGAACCCCTTAAATCCTGAACCCTGGAACCCCCTCAAGCCCTAGCACCCGAAGCCCCTCTCTAGGCCCCAGGCCGCCTAGGCCCTGAAACCCCAAAGACCCGGAGACCGGGGGGGGAGTTTCGAGGCGCTTTGAGACGCTAAATCTTCAAGACAACGTCCGCCTGGCCATTGACTTCCTCTGCTTGCAGTCGAAGGCCCAGCTTCTGGAAATTTTGAGATTTTTTTGGCCTTTAGGGCCTTTAAGGTTTCATTTGGGCTTGTCGGCATTTCTTAGCCGGCTTGAGGGTATAATCTTCATCGTTTGAGGGTACACTCAGAAGGATTGCCTTTCGAGTCCGTAGGGAAGCTGAACAAGCGGGCTCCAAGGGAGCAGTAGGCTAGCTTCGAGTTACGGCGTGCGAGCACGCGGTTTAGGGCTTTACGGGCTTGCGGTTCAGGGTTAAGAGGTGAAGTAGTCTTTTTTGGGGACGGGGTGTGTTATATGGGGTATTCGAAGAGAGTTGTAGCGACATCATGCTCTGTGTCGAGGCAGCAGCAACACTCATTGCCTGGCTTCCGGAGCTGAACGCGGACGAAGTCGCTGGGGCCCCAGAATTGAGGGCCCAAGCCCCTCAGATCCCTGACACCAGACACCACCTCCCTCAGGCCCGAAGCCCCCTTCAGTGCCCAAAGCGACATCATGGATCCTAAACTCCTAATCCTTACATTCAAGCACGAATCCCAGGCCTTGCCAGGTCCTTTACCATGAACTACGCCTTGGAAGTACGGCAGAAACTCTGCTAAGGGCACCTTGCGGGGTCTTGGGTTGGTGTCTTTATGTTTCAAGAAACCCCTGGTCGTGTCCGTAGCGTCCTGAAGAGTGGACCACTGCTGAGGGTCGTCAGAGACCTCCGCGGCAGCTCAAGCTTCGATCCGACTATGGGGACTCTTAAGTCTGGATTCCTTGTATCAGCAATCGCAGTAGCCAGAAAAGGAGGAGTACCAGCAAGAAGAATGATAGGAGTACGAGGAAGAAAAGATTAAAATCATGAAGAAGAAGCAGCAGAAGCAGTTCCAGCAGCAGCAATTCACCCACGTAGTCTGCGGCTGTTGTTGAGGGTGGTGGCCTGGTTGCTTTCCAGCCGCCGATGCCCGTCATGCTGCGAAGGATATGGATCATCAGCTTGCATCTTCTGGTGCCCGTTCTGCGCGGTGACGGGGGCCAAACCGAGTCGACAACGACTACATCTGAGGCTCAAACTACCACAACATCTGCTGGGTCTTCTGTCTGTGCAGCGGGATGGACCCTGATAGGTACCAGATGCTTCCACTACAGCGCCGAAGAGCGCACGTACGAAGCCTCTGTATCATATTGTGAAGGCATGGGCTCCGTGATTGCAAGCATCCGTGGCGAAGCAGAAAATGCCGGCGTGACCGCCTTGATTCCGTACGCCTGCGGCAGGACTGCTTACATCGGCGCAGAAACTAAGGGCAATGAAGTGTGGAGCTGGCGTGACGGAACCGCATGGTGGCAGCCTCACACCAATGGTGGCCTACTTGGGATTGAAAACACTCGAGTGGTCATCAAGGGCAATGATCGGCTTTGGTACGACTGGGGCAACGGTAGCGCTCTGCACGGAGTCCTTTGTGCCGCAGCCTTTGAAAGCCAAGCTGTGGCCATTTCAGACAATAACGTTTCCACGTTTTGTAGCAATGGCTGGGCACGTGCGGGAGACCGGTGCTTCCTTTATGATCGTGACTATCGCGACTACGATAACTCTGTGAGTTTTTGTGAAGGGCTTTTCTCCATGATAGCAAGCCTACATAGTGAAGAAGAGAACATGGTAGCAACGGCTCTGGTTGGCAAAACCGCGTGGATCGGTGCCGAGAGCGATGGTAATGGCGTCTGGAGCTGGCATGATGGGACTCCGTGGTGGCAGCCGGCAGTAACTGCAGACATTGACGGAACGATGGATGAAGTACGTATTGTGATCAACACTGATGAGCTCTGGCATGACTGGAATCTAGGCATTCCTGGCCGTGGTATTCATGGCGTCCTTTGTGCCTCACCCGTTCACAGCGAAGTTGGCCGAGATGATACAAAATCGTGTGGAGCTTCGAGTGATGATGGAGCCTCTGCAGTTTCATATGCAGTTCTCAAGTCCGCAGCGGCTGTAGCGCCAGCGGTTTTGGTGTCCATCACCTGTCCGCTGTTTTAGGGTTCTTCGTTCTCCATGATCCGCTTGCAGACGTTTGTTTTCGGAAGCAGAGCTTCCGACCGGCTGTCCCCGTGGCCCCAGGGATCAATATTACCATATTCATGCTATAGTCTACTCTCAAACCCTATTGAACTCATTTTGTAACGTGTTGCTGTCGCAGATGAATGAAGGCCGGGTCTGAAAGTCAGGGCATCCCGGCCGCTCTGGTCAACCAGAGGCCGCCGTGTACAGAGCGATGACCCTATCAGAGCCACCCAGGGAAAGGCTTGTAACATGGGGACGACCTAGCCTAGCAGTAGCCTAGTAGTAGTAGTAGTAGTAGTAGTAGTAGTAGTAGTAGTAGTAGTAGTAGTAGTAGGAGTAGTAGTAGTAGTACGCGTAGTAGTAGTAGTAGTAGTAGCAGCAGCAGTAGTAGTAGTAGTAGTAGTCGTAGTAGTGGTAGTAGTGGTAGTAGTGGTAGTAGTGGTAGTAGTCGTAGTAGTGGTAGTAGTGGTAGTAGTGGTAGTAGTGGTAGTAGTGGTAGTAGTGGTAGTAGTAGCAGCAGTAGTCGTAGTAGTAGTATTTCTTAAAAGGTTCTCATTACGGGCATATTGTAACATCCACCTCTTGATTTTGGGATTATCTTAGTATTGGCACCCGATTTTCTGAATCCCCCATATTCCGTACATGTCTGAAGAAAGTCGGACATGCAAAGTGCAAAAGGTGTTAAGGGCTCAAGCTCAGACCTTGAAGTCATTGAAAACTCAAAAACCCACTAACCCCCACGCCCGTACCGAAGCCCCAGAATTGAGATCATAAACCCCTGAAGCATGAACCTGTGGTGGGGGCTTCAGGGCTTCTACACCGAAATCCCCACACCCCTTTGCCAGCCCCAAGCTTCACAAAACGCAGAAACCTGAGCCAAATGACTTGGCGTGTCGTAGCCTCCAGCTTCAAGCAAGCTTCTGCAGCCCAGCCGGCCTCGCGACACCCTCCCCCAAAATCCCCAAAAACTGAAACAGCGAGCCAGACTGCATGAATACCTCCCAGGCTGTCCTCCTGGCGGGTGCCGTCTTCCTCCTGGCTCCTGGCGCAGGGATACCGGCGCCTCTGGCGTAGAATAGTCATTCTGTGGTCTGAGAGTCTAGGGCCTCGAGCTTAGTACATAGAAGGTTTCGAGCTTAGGAATTGAGGTTCAGCTTTCAGCGTTCACGGTTTGCTTTCTGGGCTGTCTCGAACTCCAAATTTAGATGTTATTCATATTAATAACAGCTTTTGCTGGTTGTCCGGTTTGGGTAATAAGGAACCACAAAGATAGTATTCTGTTCTGTTCTGCGTCGGACTCTAGAGTCTCCAGTCCAAAACAGTATTGGTAACTATTTAGGCCCCTACATTGATCCGTGCAACGAGAAGTAGTTCCGGACGGCCCGCCTGAAAGGTGCTCGCGGCACTGCGAAAGCTGGGCAGAGCCATGCGCCACTTCGGCCGACAAGGGCCATGGGAGTGAGGTTCAGGGAGTTGAGGGTTTAGGGTTGAGGGTTCAGGGAGCTGAGTTCGGATTCTTTCGAATCGCCGATCTTCAGATTTAGGTTGGCAGGATGGGGGCATGTTGTCTCATTTCAGGCCCAGCGGTGTGGCTTTGTCGATCTGCATGAGGTGCTCATCTGTCTCAGAAGGTATGCAACATACTGTGGAGAGGAGCCCGAGCCCTTTCTGCCTCAAGGTGTCGGGTGGAGGCTCCGGGCCCTTTGACAAATTTGAGCTGGGATCCGGGTCTCGGGACCTGATGGTTGAAGGCGAACATGACAAGAAGCGCCGCAAGATTCGTCGCATTGTTTCGCGCATGGGTTGGGGTTGGTAGTGATCATCATGAAAAGAGCCTTGCCATACCAATACTATATTGGGGTTCATTTATATATTTTAATTATAGTATAGTGTACCCCAGAACCCTCTTCGAATTATTAAGGCCCCTTTGCTACACCCTTATAGTATCCCGTATATTCACTCTCATAAGGAACCCTTTGCAGGAACCCTACTGTAATTACTTTAAGGGCCCTACATTACTCCCCGGGAACTTCCAAGGCTATAGCCGGCTGTTGAGGGTGCTCTGCTACTGCTCCACGGAGCCTTGGAAGTGAAGCCAGACTTGCAGGGTTCCAAGATCAACGTAGGGGCCTTGATCATCAGAATCGGGTATCGGAATAATATTCTATAGTTATAATCAGGAACCCCCAAAACCCTATTCTAATTGTTAAGGCCCCATCATTAGGGTTACCTTATTTACGGATGCTGATTTCCCGGGTGCTACCTTGGTTTGTATGAGGCTTCCGTCTCGCTGGGCATTGTGGCGTTGTATCTGACTGGTACTCGGGAGTGAGCGCGAACAGCCTAGAAACGACCGGAAGCTTGGTTGCTTAATCGATGTTCCTGAGCGACACCACCGTCTTCCAAAGCATCTTCTCCCTCAGCCACCAAGTCGGTCCCTCGCACCGCTAAATCTTCGCAGCACTGTTGCGATGACGATGACGAGTGTCATGACTGTTACCACTGTAGCAACACTTGTTGATTTCCATGCTCACGTACTCGGTTTGCATGGCTTAGTCTGCGGTCACCGAGGTGCTCCCTTCTCCGTCCTCGGGCTGCTTCGTCCGGAGTCCTAATGTTGGGGGTTTCAGGGTTGGGGGAGTGGGTTTTGGTGCTTTGGGTGTGTGGGTTGCCGTGTTTAAAGCCTCGCATCTGGGCCCAATCCCTAAAACCCAAACCTGCCCACGAATAATGCTTGGTTAAAATGCAAGGGCCGATGCGCTAACACATTCCGACGCTTGCATGTTGGAATCAGACCACAGGGTTCTTCGAGAGTCCCTGGTTCAGCGGTGCAGCTGTTTCAACAGGTGTTTCTCGGTTGTGTAGGTTGCAGAAAGATGATTCTGAATTGGAGTCCTCGTGCAGGTATCTGTGTTGATAGGTGCCGATGCTCTCCCGGGAATGCTCCGGAATTGTGCCTCGTGGACTTAGGTTTGACCTTCCCGTGATCGTTGATAAAGGGGTTTGGTTCTTTTCGTGAGGGAAGAGGCTGTGGAGTGTGGGATCCTCTGTCCATGGTTCGGTCACAGCCCAAGAACCCCAGTTGGCCCCAAACCATGCGCAAGCCCTGCTTGGAGGTCCATGGGTAGTTAGAAGTAGGGTTTTAAGTAGGACAACTATGGTTATAACCCAATTAGGGGACTTATAGCCCCACTTGTAACTACCCATGAACCTCCACGTGAGGTCAATCGCTACGACGAGTCCTACTCCGTCCAGGAGCATTGGCAAGAAGCCGTGCGCCATTTGCGCTCTGGCCTCCTGACTCTAATCACTTAGATCAAGGTTTTGGGCTATAGGGATTAGGGTTTTGAGATATAGGGTTCAAGGTTTAGGGGTGTGGGGTTTAGGGCTTTGGGGTATAGGGTTTAGGGTTTGGGGTTTAGGGTTTGGGGTTTAGGGTTTTTTCAGGATTTACGGTTTAGGGCCTAAGGAGTTGGACGGATTCGAGTTTGGCTTTGGTCTATACGATACCGTCATGCTCCGAAGCCCTGAACCTTCTGCCCCTCACTCCTGAAACAGAGCGCGTCGTACTTGTTCTTTATGCTGGTCTTTCAGATTATGGTGACTGTGACGACTGCAACAAAAACTGCTCGGTTCTGATGTTGATTGGATAGCCCGGGCCCGTGCTACGAACCGCATTGTGCAAGACGCAGTGAACACCTCAGCACCTGCAGCCCTTGGACCATCGCATGCTGCAGCCATGGTTGCTAGCGAAGCTCTTCCTGTTCCAAGCGCCCCTGTCAGGATCACCTCGGCTCTTAAGCGACGATAAAGCCGAACCTTGACCCCCAAACCCCAAATTCGGAACAACTCCACCCACTCCTGAGGCGGTGGCTGCAATGACCTCGCCTCCTGACCTGTGTGCATGGGCAACGACTTCTTCTCGGGTTTAGGCTCTTGGGTTTATTGACTGTTTAGGGCAGAGGCTCTGCGTGCACTGGTAAGGTTGTGCTGGTCTAGTGTGTTTTCGGTGTGTTTCGTGGCGACGGTATGTGGCAGCGCCTTTGCACAGATTCCATGGAGCCGCCATGGCCTCAATCCTTTAAGTCTTAAACCCTAAGCCACCTGGGGCTTCGAACTCCTGCAGTTGGAAAACGGTGCTTAAAAAAACCCTAGGCGCACAGCCCAAGGCCCCTGGTCCCCAGAAGGAGGCACTGGAGGCAACAGCCGGAGCCTGCACATTTCTTCACTGTCTCCCATACCCTAAACCCTAAATGCGCACAGAAACCCTGAACCCCAATCAAACCTGAAGCCCTGGTAAAAATCTGACTATCTATCTATCTGTCTAAGTCTTGCGATCCTTACACAGCACGTATACAAAACCTCACATATCCGCTCAAGCTCTTCGGGTTGGTTCCGAGGTTTTCTCGGGTCATGGTACCGTGCTCGCCTTCTGCGCCCTGCTCCATGCGGCGCCTGGGCTTGGAAGCATTTGTCGTTTCTTCATATTCATTAAACTGGGGTTTATAAGGTTCTGTAATGATTTTATGGGTTGTATAGTACAAGGTCTCATGGGGTTTGATGGGTTGTATAGGCTTGTTGGCGAAATCCAACCAAACGTACCTGAGAGCTCATAGGGCTCTTGAGAACTCTGCTTCTTCTGCTTGTGCTCGGGCCGGGCGACGGGCTTTCTGTACACAGATATGAGGGTTCGAACCTTGGATCTTTCAACAGCTCCAGCATCAAGGTTCTGAGGCATGCAACCCCAACAACCTTTTCTCGGAGATCGGGTTGGTAGGTTTGGGCCTGATCTCAGGGCAAACCAAACCAACCCAGATCAATACCCTAGGCCTTGATGAGATTGCGAGGCTTACTTCTTGAACACTGTTGAGGATGACCATGCTGATGAGGGTGATGATGAAGAAGATGATGTGTAGAATGACTGCCATCCTGAACTTAATGGCTATCATCTTTGGTTCCGATCGCTGCCACCTTGAAACGTTTTCATTGCCTGAGACTTTGGCCTAGCAAGCATCCGAGAAAACCGCAGGAGCTCGGGGCACCGCTGTGGCTGCGGCTGTTTCTGTGGGGCCACTGAGACGAACTTGGCTCAGGGTAGGTGCCACTTGGAGTTGGGCTTCTAAACAACGTGGAGGGCAGGCGTATCGGATTATCATAGGAGGCCCAAAGGGGTTTTAGCCTATGGGGGGATAGTAGGGATTAGGGTTCCCAGAGTAGGGTTCATATTAAGAAATCCCTACTGCAAGAATCTTAACCCCCCCCCCCCCCCTTAGGCCTCCCATCAGTATCGGAGTATCGGGTTTCGTCTCAAGGTCAGTTCGCTCTTGGGATCGGGCTTTGGTCATGGCTTCGGTTCCTCTTTGGTGCAAGCACCGGTGCTTTAGTCTCCAGCACAAGCCCTGTGACCATTTCCATTTTGGGGGTTCCTCATTATAAGTATAGTATAATGGGCCCCAAAACCTTCTGCTTATTAAGGCCCTATACTACAAAACAATTTGGAAAATGGAACCTGCATGTCAATCCGCACATGACAGCCCTCAGCCAGGCAGAGTTGGCCACGCTTCCATCCGCATCGCCCGCGCCCAAGAGGGTTCTCAGAGGCTTCCGAAATGTTGTTTTCGGGCCTTCAGGGTTTGGGGTGGATTTGCCAAGACGTGCTCCGAAGCCACAATGACGCTGAAGCACCCATGGCTCCGTGAACCTTCTCTCGAACGAGGCGTGGGCGCACCCGCACCCCCACACGCATGCACGTACATGCGTATATGCTCATGCATGCATATGTGTTGCGAGAAATCGCGAAAACGCGCTTGAATGTGTGTAGATAGGTGGCATTCACACCACTAACAGACGAGCCCAAGAGCTCTACGGGCACTTTATGCAACCACTGTTTAATGCGCGCCATCCAATCGTTTCGCGAGATCTGGTGCAGCCGAGGTCCAGAGCCAGAGTCACTTCTCCGTGGACTTGGTGGTTGCGATCATCTTTGCCTCGTTGCTCTGGCGCCTGGACCCAGAGTTGTGACACCTACGTAGCTGCCAAAGCAGTCCACTTAAGCCTTTGCATGCCCGGTTCTGGTCCGAAGAACTGCACTCTGAGTCTTAAACACGAAGCGCATTTGCACTTTTGCTTGTCAAGAAGCCGGCTCCTCAGCCCCGGAGCCTAGAAGTGCCTGATACCCACCGAGGCCTCTCCCACGCTTGCTGCGGACTCCTCCTGAACCCCAGCATCTGAAAGCCGACACCAACAAACCCAGGAAGCATCCTTCTGAGGAACGTACTGGAAATGCCGAAGATCAGGGATGAGGCAGGCCCAGGGGATCTGCTCATGTTTGCTACTTTCCACCCACGTTTCGAAGAGCCTCATTTGCAGAGGGGGGTTCCGGTTTGGGGAGCCACAGCTTTCATGTTATGCAAATTACCGGGCGACAGCATTTGTGCTAAGACAGGCCGCATGACTACTGTACTCGTCGTCGTCATGTTCATCGGCATCATATGAGATACTGTTGATGGACAAAATCCTGCATGACCCTACGGACTCTAAACTATGGGAACTATGGTATATTCCTTATAATGGGTGATGCAGGATTTTGTCCATCAACAGTAGTTTGCAGTGGCACTGCTATTCGCAAGAACACGGCACAGTCATTATCCTTGTAGGTGGATGTGATAGCCGATCTATGTTTTAGATACTTTAGTACCTGCTAAGAAGTATTTTACAGACCCCTTCCTACACCATCACCGATGACCTCGGCCACGGCGTACTCCGTGAAGTGCTTCCTTGACCAAGCTTATTCAAGCCTCATAGTACCCCAAAACCCACGCCCTAAACCTGTAATTGGGTGGTTGTCAAAATTATGGTCCCTTTTTGGGTCCTTCATATATATTACGGCACCTAATATTTGAGGTACCCAAAAAGGGACCATAGTTTTGACAACTACCAGATTGTATGCTCAGAGCTCACGAGGCCCCGGGCCTGCCAAAGACGTGGGCGCGCGCTTCACTCCTGAGTCCGCGCCTGAGGGCAGGGGCATCCGCAAGGGGATTCGGAGTTTTAGTGGGGCGTAGGATTCAGGGCTTTGGGTTTGGGGTTTCAAGGTTTTCGTGTTTTCGTTGTGCGTAAGGTTTGGGTATTGCGGTATTCCTGTATATACTTTTCTGCTTCAAGTTTGGGTTTGGCTCAATCAAAATGATACATGGTAGAGATTTGCCATGGCCCTTGTACCGGCCCCGGCCCGAAACCCTAAGCAGTAAACCCTGAATCGAAACTCTAAAACCCAGACCCCCAACGCTGCCTTCTACATCGGGATGACGGACCGCGCACGTTGGGGTCTTACCACGTTTGGGTCTTACTTGCAAGCCGGGCCATTTCAGCTCTGGCAAGTTGTACCTGTGATGCATGCATACAGGCCGGACACTGTTTGGTTGGGGTTGCAGATGTCGTGGCTGCTGGTGTAGGGTTTGGTGAGTTGTTGGAGGTTCAGACCTTGCTTAACGGCGGCAGCGCTCAACAACTGTGGGATTGGAGCCCGCAGACCTTCCTGCACAACCTGAGTTTGGCCGGACTCGGTGCCATAAGACGGGGTATAAGGGGTATGTGCTCATGGCGGACAGAAAGCTGGCACAGGTAGTGTTATGACTACTACCAGTAGCACGGTGCTTCGTCACTTGCTTACACTGCCTGGTCCCAGGGCATCATTCAGCAGGACACTGGGTTATGCTCGACCAAAACATCGAACGGAGTCTAGCGAACGTGATTGCAGTTTCAGGTTCAACCAGTGTCGACGGGAGCAGCTGCGGTCTTGTATATTGTGAAGATGTTTTGATCTCCAGTGCAGTAACACACTGTATACTACATCTTGCAACATATATTCCGATCTTGTAAAGCGTTTTGGGAATCGCAACCGGTAACGTAACATGGTATAACTTGATTCCGTAAGAATCTTGGAACGATTGGAACTTTAGCATGCAGTCATAGTTTACGACAGTCTGGAAGGCGTACAGAAGACAAAACATAATAATGGAACATTACAGTGCAGGAGAGCCTGAAGATGCGCCATATTGTCAGCCTTCATGGTTTATGGCTTGAGGGCTTTGAGGGTTCAGTGCGGAGCTCAACGTTTTGAACAAACCTTAGTTTTGGTCAGGCCAATCTCCCGGAAACCGGAGACCTTGAACACTTAATTCCTAAGTCCCTGAAGTCCTATCCCGCCCCAAATCCTTATGCCCTAAACAACTGAACCGTCGCGCGGCTGCCGAGTTTGGAGCTCTGGACTGGTGGCATCCCTGGCAGCGACACGGCTTGCTCAAAGCAGGGTTCTGGTTCAGGAACCAAAGATAGCAAGTCAGATGCTGTCAGTGTCATGATATCAATACTTCTGATGCCACTTGTAGCCGTGCCTACTTTAAGGAGAGTCCGTGAGTACGCCTAGCCCCACCAAGAATCCGGGAAGTTCACCGTTGACCTGAGCTTCAAACTCAACCTGCGAATACCGTCCCAGAAAAGGACAACCGCTTCCAGCCCTCGGCACTCTCCTAACATCTAGCCTCGGGGCGCCACAGGCCACCTGGACTGAGCAACAGTGCACAATACATCATACGCGCCTGGGTAAGAATCATGGCAGTCATGGTAGCTGCTAGCACTGACGGTACAGTGAAAAGAGCCATGGTGCCAATCTGAATGGCGTCGCCATGATGGTGTGAGCCGTCCTTTCGAAATCATCAAGCCCTGCACCTCTCTTTACTTTTACTGTACTGGGTCGCAAGCCCTTAACCTTAACCCCTCAACTCAAAGCTCTGCACATGACTATTGCCTCAAGTACCCGAAACTTTCGGAAGTACGGTGCGGATGATGCCCCTAGGCTGGGAACCTCTGCAAATCTGAAAAGCCCGTATATAATTCAGGAGATCTGGTTACTCCTGGGGTTGGTTACTTCTAATTTTCGTAAAGGTTTATTAGCCCGTGATCGAGCCTTGATCTCAGGTCACGCGGCTACCACGAAACAGCTAATCACAGAATACTCGTGGAACAGTTACGGAAGAACCACAATAGAGGCAACCAGACGGAGAAGCGACCAGACACTGCACATATGAGTATAGAGTAACTCACGAAGCTTTGAGATTGCAAGCACTTTAAGCCTCCACTGGCCCATACGACAAATCCGAAAGATCACATGAAAGCGTATAGGGCTTGAAGCTCTTGTTAGTAACACCATTATTCCGTGGTGTTCCTTTCCATTATCCTAGTATGCAGAACCCACCAAAGCTTGGTTTGCCTGAGAGCCCAGGTGCTCGCAGCTTTGCTCACATCCTCGGCAGCAGGGCCGCTAAGCGAGGCGTTGGCTGGCATTAGAAGCTAGCGTCCATGACCTCGTGTTAGGCTTAAATCCTAAACCCTAGAGCACTAAACCTTAAGCCCCAAATGCTCTGTCACCCCTAATTATCCCGACTTCCCGAACCCTAACCCCTAAACCTAAAGCCTAGACCCTACCCTGCAAACCTGAGACTCGAAACAGCAAACCGAAAACCTGAACACCTGCAGAGGCGAACCGAGGGCGATTGGCGAAGGCCGTGGCCTTTTCAGGGGTCTTGTTGTATAGGGGTTAAAGGCGGCTTGTGGAGAGTGTTGCGGGGCTTCTGTAAAGAGAACAGACTTAGCGGCAGCTCTGGAAGGGTGCACGCGGTTATACAAACCGGGTTTTTACGTCTCAAGGTATTTTTGCATTCTGTTGTAAGCCAAGGTACTGGCCGGGATCTAGGGTTGAGGATTGGGCATGATCGTGAGCACTGGCACTCAGTCAAAGTATTTGGGTCCCGATGTTGCCTGAGTCGCAGCGAACAGCTGAGGGGGAGGGCGCTCACCGAATCTCGGTATGGTTTCTGAAACGGGCCAAATCACGCAAGCCATGAAGTGTTGATCTTTTCAGGTGGGTCTTGCTTGCCTTGAGAACCCTCAGCAAGCCCCTAGATCTTGAAAAACCCTGGAAACCCCTCAACCCCAAGTCGCTTTTCCTGTTCAAGACGAGCTTCTGTGAAGCGACAGCTACATCCAAGATCAAGTGCACGACGATGAAGTTCTGCACTGGTACTCGTATCCACGAACCCCAAGACCCTTAAATCTGACATCTAATATAAGGGCCTAAATAACTACATATACTATTTTGGGGTTCCTTTTATAATTATAGTATAATGGGCCCCAAAACACTATTTTTATTGTCAGGGCCCTTATATTGGGCCTCTCAGGCCCGAACCCCGAGAACCTGCACCTGTGAGGCTTGGACCCTCGCACATGAAGCCCGAAACACCCCCCCGCTTGACACCCCATGCCCCACAACCCCGAAGCCCTGAAACCTCAAGCCCCCAAACCCTCAACCATTCCAGCCTGCTCCAGCCGTCTTGACTAATTACGCTAAGCCCTAAACTCTGAACCCTAAACCTCTATGGGCCTCGCGGAAAGCCTACTGGGCCCTCAGGCTAGAACCTGAAACTTCGAACATTAACAGAGCCCCCTAAAACCTAAAAATCCTGCCATGGCTCGCCGGGTCCTCGCCGAATCCGGCTTCCTCGAGCCGCTGAACCCCGAGGCTTTGGAGCAGCGCCTGGGCTTGGGTTCAAATTTTAAAACCAATTTGGGGTCGGGAGTTGTAATTAGTTATACTAGTGTTGTGGGCTCCGTATTATGATCATTTCCAACTTAAAGTGTGTTCCAACTATTCAGGCTTCAATTTCGGCCAGGTTTGCGGAGAGGGGCATCGGTGGCTTTCGGGGTTTGGGGTTCAGGGGCTTTGGTTCAAAACTCTAGAGAGTGCTTTTTGGGGTTTTGGGCTTTAGAGCTGTTCAGGCTGCGTGGCTTTCGGGTTCAGGGTTTTGGCACTTCTGTCAGTCCCTCAATTAGCAGTCGCACTCGTAAAGGGTCCGTACTATAATCATGATTGAAGGAAACTTCCTACATTGACATCGAGCGGTTAGGGGTTTTTGATATGGAAGGTTCAGAAAGCAAGTGGATCGTAATACCGACCCTGAATGTCATAAGGACTCCTCATGCTTGCGGACCGTTTAAGCTTGATTAAGGCTTTCGGCTTCTTCTTTTGGCGGAGTCGTGTACCTGAGGGTCATGGCTGAAAGGTTTCAATTGCAGAGGCGTTGAGGTGCAAGATTCCGAGGCTTTAGGGAGAGTTGCTTGTACTCGACCTGCCTCCCGTGAGCTCAGAGGCTCAGAATCGAGTGCTTCTTGAAGCTCTGAGATAAGACTGGGCGTGATGGACATGTAAGTGATGCTGGTGTGTTTGATTGGCTGTTGAAACATGCGCAAGTGCCGAAGGGTTTCGAGAAGCTTTGCTGCTTCTACATGTAGCAGAATAAAGTTGTGTTTACACATCCGCAGTGTCTTGTGAGCTTTCACCTGGCTTCGCGGTTCGAGCTCGCACAACTTTTCAAAATAAGCCCCAAACCGCTTGCGATGCCATTCCGTTAGTTCTGCAGAGGTATTCCTACTTCGGTGAGATGCTGGGCAGCAGGAAAAGGATCACGAATATCAGATTCGTTGCCGCAGCTACCGGTCATGCTGCAGTCCGACCGCTATTGATAATACTGCCCGACGATCGGCAATAACAGCAACAGTCATGATATTCTTCCCATCTGCGCCGCATCATCAACACTGACGAGCCTGAGCCCTCAACAGCGAGCTGTCTCCGAAGAGCCAGTGGCAGCAGTGTTTGAGTGTTGTTGCCCCGAGACCAAATACTCTAAACCGAGCCGTGCAGTGGTGCAGGAGTTCTTCGTGGCTCGAGGCCCCTCCCTCCCCCTATAGCACCCTACACACCCGTAAACCCTACTACAGCACTGAAGTGCCCTAAACCAAGTGGAGGCTCTAAAGAGGATGCGGGGCATGCAAGGTAGGTTTCTAATGGGTTGGTTGCAGGTAGGGCTTCGGGTTTAGTGCTCAGGTGGTTTGGGTTTTGAAGGGAGTAGTGTTGAAGCCTGGACCATAGCTGAGTCGTCAATCTTTTATCGTTGTTCGGGTTCGGTATGTCCTGCCATAGGTTGAAGGTTAGCGAAGCACCAATGAGGGTTAATGGTTGCTCAGTCGGGGTTTAAGCAGGCGTAGCTGCTCTCAGCACAGATCCTTGATACGGGACCCTTAGTTCATAGACATTGCGCTCAAGCAACTCCTGTTCAAGTCCTTGCGGGGCCGAATTTCTTAAAACCCCCACATGTGTCCGTTTTCATGATGGGTCTTGTTAAAACGGATACACTGGAGTGGGCTTTCTGGACTTGGGCCCAGGATCGTTGCTTTCGAGCCCGACGGCCCCACCGAGATTCCGAGCTGGGGCGAGGCTGCTGCTCTCTTCAGGCCAGGTCTCGGTTAGCTTGGGGTTCTTTGAGTGTCTTGCGGCTTTTCTTGTGGTTTGATTGCCACTTTATCGGTGTGTGTGTGTGTGTGTGTGTTTTTTGTTTTTTTTGTATGTTGTTTTTTTGTGTTGCGGTTTGGGCTTTCGGACTTTTTCGGCTGATCTGCTTCGAGTGTTAGGATCTAAGGTCTGCCTGCAACACAGAACACCACGTTTGTTTAAGGGGGTTGAACTTCATTGTAAGGAACTCAAATTGTGGTGGGAGGTCGAATCCAATTTTGTATAAGTGTTGGGTTTGGATGTGGGGTTTGGCGCAGACGGCTTACCCTAAGCCCTAACTGAGTCTGAGCCCGTAACCCTAGACCCTCAACCTCGAATAACATAAGCTCCAGATTGCTTTTCACCCTTGGCCGATCGAAAGACCAATCAACTTGAACGACAAGTTTCCCTTCCGACAAACCGAAGCCAAGGCCTCTTTGGGTGTCACTCCGTTTCTGTAAGGCAGGGGCCTCGATCACTCGGGCCTGAGTCGTTCGTGATGGTCTTCCTCAGGGTTCCTTATTAATGATGTATTTTCGTGTGGAAGCCCCTGCTCCGATTGCTCGGGCTTCACTCTACTTTGCCACTTCGAAGGCGCATCCTCATCAGCCTCCGGTTTCCGTTATTTGTGTCCCCGCGCAATTTGCAAGTCCCTTGTTTTTTCTTTTGGTGTGTGTGTGTGTGTGTGTGTGCTGGGTGTGGAAGGTTCTCGAACCCGATCTCTCTTGCCAGCGTGATCTGGCGGCCTTACTACTACGCCACCTGCTCCTTACCTGAATTGCAGATGCTCTGGCTTTGCTCTTCGGGGCGCACGTTCCTGAGTGTCGGATCAAGGGTGAAGGTTCGGGGCGGTGTCCTGAACCTTAAAAGCTGCATGTAGGAGGGGAGAAAGTGTACTCTGAATTGTTACCAACAGCCTGTGCAAGCAAACCTCTGAATATCACTTAAGTGCAACTTTTACGATTTCTTAGGGCTATGGTGCCCCCGTTTTCGATTTCCTAGACCTATTGAGCCCTGACACCGAGTTGCCCTCGGAAGTACCAGTCAGGGCTATGGCGGCTATGATGGGCAAACAGTCATTTGAGTTGTTGTTGTTCGTGTTAGCAGCCCCATTGTAGCCGTCAAGGCCAAGCCCCATATGGAGAAACCCGACACACGCAAAACGGCATGACACACACTCAAACACCTAGAAGCTGCTAGAAAAACCCGGCATCCTGAAGCCCAAAAGCCTGGAAACAACTTGCAGGCCCATATTCCCAAACCCACAGCCTGTGGCCCAACCCCCCAAAGCCCTAAATCATAAACCCTTGAAGGCCTAAAGCCCTACGAAACGCCCAACGCTTGACATGTGGCCTGGTTGCTCGAAGGTGAGGTCTCTCTTCCTGCGCATCGTGAGTGGCAGGCCAGGCGTGTGAGCTCGGGGGTGTTGAGTTAGAGTGCGCTTGCGAGTTTAGCCCCGAGCGTAAGAAGGTTGTTTATGGCTTAGGGTTTCGCATACAATCATAACCGGAGTCACATGCAAGCAATGATGGCCACGCGATCAGTCAAAGACTTGGTTAGCACAGTATTAGCAATGAAAGTGATTACCACTAGTAGCAGCATGAGTGCGCGTAGTAATCATGACGCGTAATACTAGAATCACCAGACTACGTAGCGATGACGATGGTTCTCCTGACCTAAGTCCGAGCGCGAGAGGTGCTTCCACCGGCCCCAGGAGAGGCTCGGACCTGCAGAGCGTGGGCTGTTTAGGGTCGAGGCTGTAGTGCTTTTAGGCTTTGAGGGTTCAGAGTCTTTGAATCTAGGTTTTACGGCTTAAGGTTCTGTCGGATTCAGGGTATTAAGGCTTCTAGGTGTCTAGGGTGAGGCGGCATGGGCTCAGGAGTGGTTTTGGGTTTGGGTTGAGGTTTAAGGCTTAATTGTTTAGAGGCCAATTCAAAACTTCGTGGCTTCGGTTCGGATTGAGATTCTTATTTTGGGTTTGGGGTACTGTCCTTAGCAGCCTCATGTTGTTGTCCACTATACAGGCCCGAGCCATGAGGTGCATACCGTTGACAATAGCAGATAGCACAAGAGCCGGGCCACGAACCCCTTCTGATGGCCCTGCCAGCCAACTGAAGGGTCTAGGGTCTCGCAATCCAGCCTGAATAAAGCATAATAAAGCTCTACTGCAGTGCCAACCCTAAACCCTAGAAGCCCTAAACCCTCCCCAAGGCCAAAGCCCAAAACCCCGAAGCTTCTCCACCAGCAATCTCCCTGAAACAGGTCCCGTCCGAGTTTGAGGCCGTGCCCTGGTCCGGCGAGCGATTGTGCAGCTCGAAGACGAAGGGATATCGGTAACTACCCCTGTAATCCGTACTGTATTTCCATCAGGGTTTTAGCCATCCCTGTTTGGTTTAGGGTGATTTTTGCAAAGTGCACCAAGCCAGAGCCAGTTCGGGGGCTCGGCTCTGCGCTTTGGCCAGGACAAGTGTTCCTTCAAACTCGAGTTTCAGAGATTTCTTGAAGCCCTGATTGAATCTGCGTAAACCCAGTTCAAGCCGTGTACCGAAATCGAGTACCTCAAGCCCGGCCCTAAATCCCTGAGGGCATCAAACGACCCCAACTTCAAAGGCTTCCGGTCAATCCTCCCCACACCTCCAACCTGTAGCCCCAACCCAAGAAGAAGCTGAAGCGAAGCTGCTAAACCCTAAGCCCAAAGCTGACAAGACGAAGAGAGCCTTAACCTTCCACCCGAAGAATCATTGAAGCTCTAATGCAGGGTCACTAATAATCAGAATAGGGTTGGGGGGGGCGGGTAGATTATACTATAGTTATAATAGGGGGCCCCCCAAACCCCATTCTAATTATCAAGGCCCCTAAGCTCTACCTACACCCTGTAAACCCCAGGAAAAAGAAGGGTGCTTGGGAAAACCAGGTTCTTGACTTAAGAACGCGGTTCTTACAATTTGGTGGGTTAGCTACTGGGCTTGATTTCTGTTGGGTTCTCGCTTGATGGGTTTCTTGAATCCTTGAAGCGTCTTGATGGCTCTTTGAGTCTTTAGTTATATAGCTACGGGTTGATTCTGGGATTGGGCTGTGTTGATTGTGCTTCACACTGCTGATGTGGGCTCTTTTCACGCTCTCTGCGAGCTGTGCCCGGGCCGCGGCCTGAGCTGACCATTCGGAATAATCAATCCCGACTCGACATACTTCGCATAGCAGGCCTCGAGCGCTCGTTCCATGACTCTCAGCATCAATTTCCGTGCATGTGTTCGTCGGGAAAGCCTCGCCGGCCTTCCAATAAAGTCCTCCTCCATGGCGCATGACCATGTGAGTATGTTCAAAACGAACGGGGCTCGTAAGGCCATGTCCTTGATGCAAAACATCAGGTGGTGGCAACGGTGTAGATTCGGCATGAAAGTAAACATGGGTCGACCCTGCTGGAATGCTTGATAAGCCAACCTCCCGTAGATCTTCAAAAACAAGAAACCACGGTTCGCGATGCACAAAGCCCTTGCTGACGGAATCCAAAGCCTTTCTCGATGGAGCATTGAAATGAAGGCATTGATCTCAATAGCAGCCATCCAGCAGTTGTACAACAAAGTGCCATGGCCAATGCTTGCATGTCGTTCTTCACAAGCTGCAATGAAAAATCGCGTGAGTGTCAAAGTCGTCGACCCCTTGTGCCACCCGCCGCTCGGTGCCTCTGTGGCGTGTGGCCATCCAATAGTATCCCGCGTCAGTTTCCTAATGTAGGGATTCTCGCGCTGCGCAGTGCAGAAAGCAAAAAAAGAAGCTTCCATGCTCTCGAATCTGGCAGGAAAGGATCTGCCGGGGAATTCGTATGACAACAAAGCCAACGCTGAAGAAATGAAGACTTTTCCTGCTCCGAGATGCCACCCGTGGAATAAGTCTTGGCCAGCAAACCCCGAATCGTCTGTACGATCGTGAGGGAGCATCATGAGGGCAGGAGGTTGCGGGTATGGTGGCACTTGGTTCAAAGTCTGGCGCCACCTCGGCTCTGGGCTTTCGAAGTCCTCGAAAGGGTAAGATGGTCTGTCTGCTAAGCAACAATGACAGATTCCAGCAGGATCCTTCTTCGATGTTTCAGCCTTTGCACTGTTCCCGAAGGTACGTGACCAATTAAAAGCCTTGGCCAGAAAAGGCCAATCCCCAATGATGTTGATCACCGCCATGTAATATGTCTCGCCGGTCAACGGGCACGTCATGCCATCCCGAAACAAAGCCCGGAGATCAGCAACGATGTGACTGAAGAGTTCCTCGAGCTGACAGGTTTTGTCGTCGTCATACAGAGCACGGGGCATGGTAGCCAAAAGAAACCTTGTTGCCCACGTATGTCCCAGCATGTTGAGCTCTTGCTTCAGGAATTCTTCAGTAGTATGTAGACCGCGACTTGTTACATGGGAGCCCTTGCCGAGCACACTTCGGCAACTGATAATCATCAATGGCAGTTTTTTCTTACTTCGGCCTTCGTCTCCGTGTAACACAAGAGCGCAGGTTCTTGTCAGCTGCTCGGCACTTTTGGTAGCAAAAATGTCGTGGTTTGGAAACAATGCTTTGTAGCGCTCCCAGAAACAGCCCCATTGGCCGGCGGACCGTTGGTGATCCGGCTCTGTGAGCCCACTCAGACTGAAGAACAGATTGTTAGCCAAGATAAATTTCAGCCAGGCCGAGGGAAGCAAAGCAGGGACACTGTCAAAGGAGAGTGTCAAATGGCTCGTTTGAACCGGTAGTGCCAAGCCAACATCCCTGGCCAATCGATGAAATGCATCTTCCGAATCATTCTCAGCTAGACGAGCAATGCGGCCGATTGAAGTATGTTCGGCTGCCGGCACTTCCTCGACCACCGCCCGTGCCGAGCGCACGGCGGTGACACACGGGGCCTCAGCACATCGAACCAGAAATCATTAACAGCACAGTGCGGAGGGCGAGTGGAAAGCAACATGTATAATGCTCATGATGCATTGCAGAATTGCCGAATGCCAGCACAGCAGAATCTTTTCAGGTCAGAGGCAGCAGCAAAGTGAAGACATGCGTTCATGTAACACAATCTAGTCGTCACTTCATTGATTATCACGATATCACAAGCGCAAGCCAGGTCTAGGCTGGTTTATGCTTGAAGCTTCTGTACACGATGTATGTCATATACACCGACACTGAGGCGTCCATGTCCGGCTTCACATTGTCGCCGCCGGATCTGGTGTTTCTGCAGCCAGGCGTGTCTTAGGGATTTCAGGGCAGTCAGAAGTGCAAAGCATGACATTGCGATATAGCATGCAGCCAGCTTGAAGTAGGTGCTGCCACGGTACCCTTGAATTTCTCGATAAGTGCCGCCTCCAACATTGCTGGTCCGCACTCCTCCTCTGAGATGTGCAGCACACACATGTCTTGCCATTTGTCACGCTGCCATCGGTATCCATAGAGCCGGTTTTCCCAACGCCAAGTTGGGCTATGAGTAAAACCCACCTTGAAAATCATTGGAGCATGCCTTGTCAGCAAAGTAGACACAACATGTATTGAATGTCCCAAGACCCCACCAGCTGATACTGATCTCAGAGGCAGTCGCCAGTGTATGTGTTCATGCTGGTCCACAGACTTAAGATCAGCTACCACATCATCGTCCAGAAGCACTCCCGAAGACACATGATTGCGCCAGGCTGATCGAGCTGGATGGCTGGGTGTGCTGCTAGTCCGAGGCCCCATGTCTGTGGGTTGCGGAGGCGAGATTTCAGAATCATTCTTCAAGGCAACGACGCGACTGCGCTTTGGCATGGGTTCTTCCCATGGAAAAGGGCCTTCATGTTCCTCGGAGCATAAGCCCATCTCATGCTGGTTTATGAGTGCACTAGAGCGATACAGTTTGACTTCAGTGCAATCAAGAGGCTGAGCGATGACTGGTCAAGAGGTCCCAGAGTTCCAGCTCTGGGCTTTCCATGGTACAGCGCTGAGCACGGTGCTATATAGAAATACTGCGCTTCTCTAGCTTGTTAGCTTTAACCGGGCTTTACGGATGTTGCGTGTGCTCGTGTCCTGATGTGCAAGCATGACGGAGCCAAAGCTAAGCACAATGTTTGTTGCCCCGGACCACTCCCACACACGCTGCGAGACACAACCCCACGTCGGCCAAAAGGCTGCTTTCCAGGGCGCAGACTCCATCACCGACGGCTCGCGCCCACTGCCGCAGCGCGGGTCCAGGACCTGGCGAGGTCGGTGTATGGTTGAGGCAAGTAGGACGAAGATGGCTTCATGACATTGGCCACGAATGCAGAGCAAGTTTCTTTGCGTAGATTTGGCCACGAACAGCCAGGACTGGGTTGCTTCCCGTGTCCCCCCACAGGACTGAACTCTGTCCCAGCAGCTCCATCTAGTTGCAGAGCCGTGACAAAGCAGCTAACACAGCACTCAATCATTTCATGAAATGAGGCAGTTTTGAGAACTGCCACGTATGACAGTTCCAGCTAGGTGTGGGACAAACCACAACCTGAGCTAGTCTGTGACAGAAGCCATCAGCACAATATCGATCGGTAGCCCAACGAGCCAGACTCAACAGTTATACGCAAGATTCTTTGGATAAGTGTTCCGAAGCTACACATGCACCTCGTGCCGAAGGCTAGCAAAACAAAATCATTCACTTGGCTCCTCTCTTGGCTGCAGGCTTTGCCTTCGCCTTGGCCTTTGGAGCTCTCCTGCGATCCGGCGACTTCTGCGGGCCATCTGCTGGAGCACCGGCAGCAGGAGTCTTGGCAAAGAACTTCTTGGCATTCCTTACAATCAGATGGTGGAATGGTTGAAGCGAACCCTGCATGTCATGACACACAAACGAAAACAATCCTGAGAATCTCATACCAAGCTGCCTGACTTGTACTTCACAAGCAGTCGCACGGCTGGCCCTTGGTTTGCACGGACGAGCTTTATCCAGCACACATATAGGTTGGCCATAGTAGCATCACGGGGTCTGGGCACTTGGCACAAAGGTTGCATTCCGCAGCTTCGCTTCTATGTCCCCGAACCACCTTACAGCATGACTCGATCGGGATAGGGAAGCATCACATGTGCGTTGTTGGGTTGAGCAAACAGCTGTAGTTCATTGCAGGGGAAGGGAGCAAGTTCAGCCCAACGCAAACGTAATTGAGGTCCTAGCCCATCACTGTAGCCTTCGGCCTCTCCCTTCGCAAGTTGATCGTTGATCAGCTCATACTCCTTCCCCATGCTTGTCAGATGGCCCTCGATGGTGGTAACGGACCTGAAGGCATGTCTTAGCATCGACGGGGTTGCATCAGCGGTTGTATGACTCTTGTTGGATTCTTG